CTTGGTTCGTGTTAAGTGGATCAGCCCTTGAGGCTCTCGGCCCTGACCGGTTTTCATACTGCGCTGTGCACCGCATTTTTAAGGGACTTCTCTGCATAAAAGGGGCTTGCAGGCCCGCCACCCCGATGCCTCCCCAGCCCCACTGGCTGGACCAGGACATGTCATTTGTCCACTGCCCCCTCTCGCCTCCAGTTTCCACCTGCATCTGTGCCAGCTAAGCCCTAGAAGTCAAGTGCGTCCGGTGCCACCCAGAGATGCTAGATGGGTGGCTCCTTGTAGTTTAGGAAGCCAAGGACAGTCAGGGCCTGTCGCTCTGTCTCACTGGTGGGCGGGTGGCAGAAGGTGGCTCTTGAGTCATCCAGACAAAGTCAATCTCCCCTCCAACACACAAGCTGCCTCCGGGACAGTGGGGCAAGCCAAGCAAGCCCACCCTGTGCCCCGGGTCCCTGGAATGAAGGAGGTGCTGAATGGACTCACTGGGAGCTGGGAGCCACTGGCGCCGAGTAGCGTGAATACCTCTGAGGCTGGGCCGACGCAGCCAGAAAGTTGGAGACCCACGGAATGACAGGGAAGGGAGACCTGTCGGGAAGGGAGCCTCAGGTTCAAGTGAGCACCACTTCCTTGCCATTAATGGAGCTTTCTAGAACTCCTGCTGTGGCACAGGGGATGCAGTTGTGAAACAGCGTTTCCTGCTTTCAAAGCCTCCACGGTCCCAAAGAAACACAAGCAACTGGACATCAAGTATAACCACAGCAGCCGCAGAGGTCGATGAAGACCCGCTCTGTGCCGAGGCCGCTCTGGTCACTGGAGATGGAGGGATGAACCAGCAGACACACTCCCCACTGTCGCTCTCCGGGGGGTGCACACGGGCAGGGTTGGCTGGGTGGGGCAAACAGTAAGTGAGAAGGACCTCAGGGAAGAGCAGTTTCCGGTCCACAAGAAAAAAATCAACTCAGCGGAGTGGGCCCAGTACTCAACTCATGAACCGTTTAGTGACAAGCTACTCTGCGCAAGACCCCAGTAGGGGTCAGATTACGAAGGGCTGTCCGTGTTAAGCTAAGGAGGTTAGACTTCTTTGCATCTATAAACACAGGGCTGGGAGAGCGAGTCGTGGGTAATGCTGGAGCCGGGAGCCTTCAGAGCTGCTTGAGCTGGACTTTGAAGATGGTTGAGAGACAGGGTTGGCTGAACAGCCCTGAGTTGGGCCCAAGGATGAGAGATTTAGGGCTTGTCTTTGGGCATGTCACTACCTGTAAATAAGGAGAACCCTCCCTCCCTGACCACACACAGGACCATAACTGGGGAGGGACTGCCGAACGGCTCGAGATGGAGGCATAGTGTTACTGCCATTTCCCTCCCTACCCTGGTCCGTGTGGCCTCTCAGAAAGACACAGAGCACCTTTCCCTGCAGGGGTCAAAGGCAGCTCCCAGAGGGCTGTCCTGAGGCCAGGGGTGTCACCAGGCCAGGACACGACCCTGGATCAGGTTCTCAGGTCGCAGCTCCCTCCTGTCCCCCGGGACCCACCACCCACAGCTGCAGCTCCCAATCGCACTCCTGAGTCAGAAGTGGACGGTCACACCCCGAAGGAGGGGAAGCAGAGCCGAACCCGGGGCTTACATATAAACTGTGAGCTCTGAAGCCTTCGAATCTGGCAGCACGTCCTCATGCCTGGCGCTCGGGAGGAACTCGGGGAAGCAACATGGCATGTGGGGGGCCTCCACAGGCTTTGCATGCAGACAGGCCTGCTTCAAGTGCAAGTTCAAGTTCTGCCAGTGATTAGCTGTGATCCTTGGGAAAGCGACTTCCACCTGCTGTCTCTCCCTGTAAAAGGCCACGAGAGCACCCCTGTGAGGTCAGGTGAGGGCTTCCACGCACCGATGTGGGTTATGGGTTTGGTGCATATCAGGTGTCCAGAAAGTATCAGTTACTTGGTCCCATTTTCTCTGCCCTTTCTTCCTCTTTCCATCTCTTCTTTTCTTCTTTCTTTCTTTCCCCAAGAAGTGGGAAGAACACAAGGGAAGAAAGGCGCGTGTTAAGAGACAGGAGAAGGTTTTTGAAGCTGCAGACTTGACTCCCACAGAGCTCACCAGTGTCACGGGTTGTGGGTGTCAGTGTGGGCTGAGAAGCAGGGGGGGCGATGTCACCAGCAGGCAATGTCAGGATGGGCTGAAGCGACTGCAGGTGCGACTGAGTCTCAGGGAAGCTGAGACCACACGGAGTGGCGCGAGGAAGTCCCGAGAGAGGGACCAGCAGGAGCAGACACGGGACGTGGGGAAGGCCAGCGTGGGAATGCGGCCGGGATGGTTTGCGGCCGGTCTCCCAGCAGAGAAGGATGAAGCAGGGGGCCGAGCAGCCTGGCACAGGGTTATGGGGGGATGGGCACCAATGCCAGCCTGTGCCCTGGCCCCCTCGCATCAGGCAGCTGGAGCTGGGGGGAGACATCCAAGCCCGACCCGGTGATCTGGGGCGTTTCCTCCAGCTGTGTGCGCTATGCGGTTTGGGGAGGAAAGAATGTCTTCTGCCCATCCCAGTCGGGGCGGGGGGCTGGGTTATGCCACAGAAACAAGTAACCCCCAAAATTCAAGGGCTGATTTCATCCATGCAGAGGCTGCTGCCAGTCTCTAGGCCATGCGATGGCCACTGACCCAGAATGCTCCAGTCCAAGGTCACCTCCATCTCGGTCCACACTTCCCCAATCCCCACAGCAGGGGAAGGGGGTGTGGAGAATACCTCTCCCCACCCCACCACCCACGATGGGCTATCTCTGCCAAGCCCTTCATTTTGCCTGTGGGGACCCTCAGGCCGGAGAGGGCGGGGCGTTGGAGCAGCTGTCCATTGGCCAGCAGGATGGGTGGGGCCAGCACTCCTGGGGAAGGTTCGGCCCCACCCTGTCACTGCTCCCAGTCTGGGAGGGAGGACTTCAGAGAGGACTCCCTGGCATTGTAGGTTGTGGTGCGAAGGTGTGGGTTGGTGTGTAGACCACTAGCCATTCTTCCAACCAGGGGTCAGGAGGAGGTAGCAGAGGAAAGAGAAGGCAAGGAAGAGAAAGGAGAGAACCAGGAGACAGTCGGGGGCTGCAGGGGCCCACCAGGCTGGCTGGCCTGGGGGCCTCGACCGGCTGCATTCTCCCTGCAGCCTCCCTCCACCGCCGGCCTCACCTTCCTTCTGGCCAGCTGGTGGGCAGGGCCCGCCGCAGCCGGCTCGAGCTCCCTTGCTTGCTCAGAGCGGCCCTGCTTGCGGCCCTGCCGGCGTTGGCACGGTGACAGTAGCCAAGTGTGCAAACTTGTGCCATTGTCCCCAGGCCAGGGGGAGCCATGGAGACTGGCTAATATGACACAGGAAAATGTTTGCTGATGGCAATTCTATGGGCTTTGTCCACCTCTTTCTCCATCATGACGACTCGATTTAAGTCCCTAACTGTTTGACTACAAATGCAAGGGGACCGTGCAACGCCAACCTTTTGTCCGGCCGCGCTGAATGGGCAATTCAGGCTTTGTGCAGCTCAATTGAGGAAGCAAACATAAAGACAAGATTCCTGAGAGCTCCGGCCGCCTTCCCATGGATATCCCAGCCCCTCGTTAGCGCGTCCTTCCCGGCTACCTTTGCCCGCGCCAGTGTGCCTCTGGCCCGCACAGGCCTGCCTGGGCCCATGCCTCGGGGAGCGGGGTGGGGAGAGGAGAGAGCCACTCAACACTCAAGGACAGCAGCTTACCGTCTGATTGTCTGTCTGCACTGGAGCATGGCAGCTGCAGGCCCGGGGCCCTGGAGGAGGATGGCAAGCCCATCTCTTCTGGGCCCGGCCCCTCCTCCGTCCTGGACTTTTTAAATGCACACATGCACACACGCTCACACACGCGCACACACGCTGCCCCCTCGAGAAACCAGGGAACTGAGGTCAAGGGGAGGAGGGTGTGGAGGCCGAGAGGGAGAGTGGAGCTGAGGGGCAGAAATTTACCGGGAAATGATTGCATTTGGGAGCTGTCTTTTTTGTGATGGTCCCCATGGTGACAATTTGTGACGGCAAAGAATGTGGGAACGGGGCGCTGCCGCCTGATTGGGATGCTTTGTATCTGGAGAGGCGCTCCTGATTGGCCTGAGGGGCCCCCCAGCTCTGGGGACTTGCCCTCCATTCAGCCCACTCGAGGGCGGCACAACTGCTTCCAGCCTGACGCTTGGAGCTTGCGGCCGCAGGGCCTGGCCCAGGTCTGCAGCGGGAACCAGCGGGGCCACGTTGGTGCCCGGGGCCCAGGCCCGCACCCTTGGTCAGTGTGGAGGCTGGGAGGTTGGGCTCGGCCGGAACTTGGGGGTGGGGCAGGCAGGGGCCTGGGGGAGGGGCGAGGGGCTGTGGGAGGTGGCCAAGGAGGCATGAAATTGCGGCAGATGCTTCTGCGGGGGAGTTCTCGCTGCCACAGCCTGAGCTCAGCCCGCCAGGCAGGCCTGGGCTTGAGTGCCAGACAGGGGTCCTGCCTGTCCTGCGTGAGAGCTGGGGGTGGAGCGTGGCGACCTAGGAGGGGGGCTGATGCTGGTGGGGCTGGGGGTGGGGGTGGGAGGAGGAGGGCACCACCGGGGAGAGATGGGGCTTGGCTTTGCTTGAAAGTGAAGCAGTCACCTCTGCTCAGAAAAGAGAAACTCTGCTGGCAGGTCGAACACGTTGGCAGCCTGCTGTGTGGGAGGCACAGTGCGCTGGGAGCCAGCGGCTCGTGCTCCAGCCCCAGCAATGCCACCTGTAGCTGGGTCACCTTGGGCAAGTCACCTGACCTCTCTGAGCCTCAGCTGCAAGTGGAGGGCAGCAGACTCCAGAAGACTGTGTTTGAGCCTGTTCCACCGCAGCTGCTCAGGAGGAAATCCTTAGTGGTTTTCATGGGTGTCCCTCTGCCCAGGACTCTGCTCGCAGCTGAGGAGTACTGGGGCTGGGGCCACCGTTACAGCCAGGGAGCCTTTGGGGAGGGCTGAGTTGGCTGCTCAGAGAGACTCCAATGGCCTCTGTGTCCCCCAGGTCAGCTCTGTGCCCTTCCCTGGAGCGGCCACCTGCTAGCAGAGCCGCCCTCTTCATGGAAAGCCCCGTGAAGTGGCCCCCTGGTGATGGCATCCGACAGTGACGTGAAGATGCTGCTGAACTTCGTGAACCTGGCGTCCAGTGACATCAAGGCGGCCCTGGACAAGTCCGCGCCTTGCCGCCGCTCCGTGGACCACCGCAAGTACCTGCAGAAGCAGCTCAAGCGCTTCTCCCAGAAGTATTCCCGGCTTCCGCGGGGCCTCCCTGGCCGAGGGCCCGAGCCCCACCTGAAACGGGGGCCTGAGGACCGGCCCGGGAGGCTGCCCCTCAATCCTGGCCCTGACGCCAGTCCTGCTGGTGGAGGGGACTGCAAGGAGAAGGCTCTGGGGAACCCCTACGGGGTGGAGTGTCTCTCTAAGGAGCAGACCCTACAGGGGCAGAATCCAGAAGCTGCCAGGCCTGGCCAGGTGCCCATGAGGAAAAGACAGCTGCCCGCTTCCTTCTGGGAGGAGCCGCGGCCCACCCACAGCTACCCCATGGGGCTGGAGGGGGTCCTGGGCCCCAGAGAGGGACTTCCCTATGAGGGTAAGAAACACTGCAAGGGCTTGGAGCTTTTAGGGCCTGAGATGGCCCTGGTGCCCATGTCCCCAAGGGCACCGGGTGAAAAAGAGCCACCCAAGATGCCCGGAGTCTCCCTGGTGGGCCGTGTCAATGCCTGGAGCTGCTGCCCCTTCCAGTACCATGGACAGCCCGTCTACCCTGGCCCTCCAGGGGCCTTGCCTCAGGGCCCTGTCCCCGGCCTAGGCCTGTGGAGGAAAAGCCCAGCTTCCCCCGGGGAGCTGGCCCATTTCTGCAAAGATCTGGATGGCCCGGGGCAGAAAGTATACAGACCCGTGGTTCTGAAGCCTATCCCCACCAAGCCGGCCATGCCCCCACCCATCTTCAATGTCTTTGGCTACCTCTAGCTGGGCTAGGAGGGCCTTGGCTCCCACTCCTGCCTTGCAGGAGCATTGGGGGCCCCGGGAGCTCTCCTTGAGAGGAGTGGGCTGGGCGGTGGCGTGGCCTCTTGAGAACCTTCCCTTTATGTGTGTGCAAACTGGGGGGGGGGGGGTGGCAGGCATAGGGCCGCCTTGGGAGCGGTGGGGCTGGGCTCGCTGGTCCCTCTCCAGCCAGGCCAGGGCCTGGCAGATCACTGTGCCATCACCGCGCAGACCTCTGGCAGGCAGCAAGCTTTGCCCAGGTCTGCCAGCCACCCCAGAAGCCTGGGTTACTCCTCTGTTCATCTCACCCACTGTAAGCCAGTATCGGTTCTGTTCTTGTTGTTCTTTGTACATATTAAGGTTAAAAGAATAAAGATGTTTCTTTTGCAGTTTCTACATCTCGGCTGTCATCGTGATGCTGAAGGGTCCCCAGGCCTAGGAAGTGCTGCCTGTGCTCGGGAGGAGGGCTGCTCATGGCAGTGATTAGCGGCGGGGGCGGGGGCAAGGGGGCCAAGGGCCTGTGCGAAGTGTGGGAATGGGTGCTGGTCAGGCCACTAGGGAAGGGCGTTGTGGTTCTCCGTGTCAGGGGACAGAGGCTGCGGGGAGCCTGGGTCCTCGGAAGGTCAGACAGCGCTGGAGAACAGGGAGGATGGCGCTGGGTGGCAGAGCAGTGGCCCTGGCTCTGCTGTGGCATGTGGGGCTGGACCTTTCCTCAGGGCCTCCTTGGGCCACCCGCAGAATGAGGGGTGGGGTGACACTGGTCCCCTCTGTGGTGCCTGCCACTTCAATTAGGCCTCAGAATCCTTCCCAATATAGGGCTCTGGGGTTGGGGGGGGCTGAGGGATTTCCCACTCTGCCTGCTCGCACTCCGGCTTCCCCCAGGGGCCTGTCCACGAGGATGGGCGGCACACCCACTGGGAAGTGGCTCCCGTCCGACATTCTGGGGCTTGGGAGGCACAGAGGCCATGCAGCAGGGGCAGAGGGGTTCTGAGTGATTATCCAGCACACAGGACAGGGAGTCCTCAGCCAGGACCTCCCCCTCAGGCGGCTCCAGTCCCAAAGAGCAGGGAGGGACCAGGAGCAGGTATGTGCGCATGTCCTCTCCCCCTGCACATCATCACAAAGGCCCCCGAACACACATAGCACAGCAGCATTAAAAATGCTAATCCAGGCTCTGCCACCTACTAGGCTGTGTGACCTTGGACATGTTACTCAACCTCTCTGTGCTGAAATGTCCTCATCAGAAAAATGTGATTAACACAGACCTGCTTCCTGGCTTGTTGCGGGATGATGTGAGCGCCTGGGTCTCTGAGGACTGCTGCCCAGGTGATGAAGACCCGCACCTACCAAGGCCCCCTCTCCTGAAGGAAGTGTGATTTCTCAGGGTGGGTGCCGCCCAAACCCACTGCACCTGGGCCCCCACAGCCCGGCTCCCCTCAGCCTTTCCCAGGGGGAAGCTGCAGGTGCGTAAATTCAGATGCCAGGGGCCTTTGTCTGCAAGCAGAAACCTTTACTACACGTTCCACCTGCCACCGTGAGTCCCCAAAAGGGAGCAACCCAGGGGAAACGCACATCTAGGAAGGCTTTGGTGCTGATGCTCCTCTGACCAAAAAGGGCATCGAGCTGGTTCAAGGTGAAGCCCCAGAACTCACCTCCTACGCAAGCCTCAGTCCTGGCACCAGGCCCAACATGCTCCTGCTCACAGGGTGGAACCGCGATCCGGATTTGAAGCGTTTGGTGATGCCGCAGAGACATCTCTGAGGCTGAAGTCCCCCCGGGGCTGGGAGACTCTGGGGGTGGGGTGGGGGTCTCTGCAGAGGGTGATAGCTGTAGAATCTACAAGCAGTGGTCAAAAGATGTGCCAATCACACAGTCTAGGCACCAACCATTCAGAAGAACCTTTGGGAGCAGGCCGGAGGCCAGGCATTCACCCTCCAGCTGCTGGGTTGTGGGAGGTGGGGGCGGGGACCCGAGAAGCTCACAGCTGGGGAAGGCACTTTGGGGGAAAGGGGGCCTGAGCAGTGGCCGTGACCGACTGACATAGACACACATGAATAATCCAAGAACCCAAATGCGGCACCAGCGCCTGCCAGGAGCATGGGGCCCACCTCCTGCAAGTAAATGGGGTCCCTGGGCAGTGGCTGAGCCCTCCTTCCCCACCTCTCCCACCGCCTCCTCAACCCTACCTCCTCCAGGGGGCGTCTCGCTCAGGCCGCCCCGGGGTGCCTGGGGCCTCAGCCTGTTAGGACCCTTTAGGCCCTATTGCGGCCTGAAACATCCCGTGGATTAAGAGTTTACCGGACACCCAGCCCCGCCCCCAAGTGCACCTGAACACCTTTCTGCTCTGTCTCGTCACCGACGGCCTTGCCCTGACCCTTTCGGGGTTGAACACCCTCAGTCTGGGAGGGCTCAGGTTTCCATCCGGATCTCTCCAGGGCCACCATTGTGAGGCCAAGTGGGACCATGACCATGCACAGGCTGAAACCCCAGCGACAGCTGTGTGTGCTCGGGCAAGCACTCTCCCTCTCTGGGCCTGTTTTCCCGTCTGTACTATGAGCGAGTGGGCAAGGCTCTGCTGATTCCCCTCTGGCCCGTGGCTTTGGAGTGTTGCTAGGAAGGCTCTTCCTTTTTAGGCAGACACTGGGGCTTGCCAGCTCTATGGGAAGCCAGAGTAGGGGCCACCAAGGCCGTCAGGGGCCACAGCGATGACGAGCCCGAGGCCCCGGAGGAAAGAGCCAAAGGCAGAGCTGAGCCTACAACCAGAGCCCCCAGCCCTGCCCAGCTGCTCACTTTCCAGGAGCCAGAAACACAGTTTGACCTGGCTTAGGACTCTTCCAGACCCTGCGGCAGCCCGCACAGGCTCGCATCAGGGTGGCCTGCCACGGCTTCAGTGGCACTTGGTGAGTCACGGTCACTTCCATGGAAACCGGCATGTGGGCCTCAGCGCAGGGGATTCTGATGAGAAGGTGCTTTCTCCCCTGCCCCACCGAAGGTGGTTGGGCAGCCCCAGCCTGGCTCACCCCACAGAGCCACGAGGGGCTGGAGGAGGTGACGGAGGGGACAGGGCTTCCTGTCTCTCAAGTTGGCGACTTTGCAAGGGCTGAATCAGCGACGACCACCACCCCAGCGCCTGGGCTCATAGGGGCCAGCACACAGACAGTTTTTCCCCTCAGTATCTCAGCTTTTGTGGCAGAACAGGATTGAGCGGGACCCAGAGTGCCAGGGAACATGTTCGCCGGGGACAACTGTCAAGAGGTCTGTGGGCACCGAGACCCCGTTTGTATGAAGCTCCTGTCTCCCTGGTGATTGATCGAGGACAGAAGACCACCCTTGATGGCTCTGGCCACAGTGCAGGGAGCTGCCCCTCTCCTCGGGCTGTGGGTCTCTTCTGATGGATGACGGACACACCCTCTGGGGTCCTTCAGAAGCCCAAACCCAGGTGACGCATTCAGGGGTCTGTGTGTCTTGTCTCCACCCCCACTCCTGCCCTGAGCAGCGCTGAGGATCCAGGCCCTGGGGGGACTGATGAGAGGGACTGCGCTGGACAAAAAGGCACCTGTGCAACATTTATTGCACCCAAAGAAGCCCTCTGGGACCCACGGTCCCCCCGCCCCCCATCTGAAGTCAAGTGGAGAGTTTTACAGAACAGGGGCAGGGCCAGCTCCGCAGCAGGGCTGTCCGGGAAAGGCAGGCTCACCCCCGGAAATGCCAGACCACAGCCTGCTGCGAGTTCTGCCCGCCAGCCTCTCCCGCCCCAGGAATGAAGGTCCCTGCCATTCCAAATGGCACAGCAGATCCGGGATCTACTCATCCATTGGGAAATAACATGGTTTTCTTCCCACTTGACACAGTCCGTTCTCTGCTCAGGGCACAGCTCTGGCCAAGAGACCTGGCGAGGTCCTGGTGGCGGCCCCAGCTCAGTGGGAGCAGCCCACAGCCTTGTCCATCAGCAGGTCCCCTTGGATTTGGGGACACCCCCGTCCTGAGATTCAGCGAAACAGTCTGAGGAACACTCCGTCTCTGTGTGCCCCGGTTACTGGGTGTTCTCGTACTTCAGGTACCTAATCAGCCTGCCTGGGAGGGGCAGCGTGTCCAGGAGTTTTATACGGTATTTCCCAATGGCCTTTCGAACTTGCAGCCGGCACAGATGAGCCAGAGGTCTTGGGGGCTCTGGATAAAGGAAAGAGAGAAGAGGGTTTGTCATTTGCAATCTGCAAAGGGTTCGCTCCTTCCTCTACATACACAGGCTGACCTCAGCTCAGACCTTAGCAACAGGCAGGGAGTCAGGCCTGGGCTCTGGGTGGTTCCGAGAGGCCAGGGCGGGGTGCGGGGACTGGGCAGCTCCCAGCAGGTTCCAGAATCCCAACGGGGATGCTGCCTCATACACTGGAGTTGCCTCCGCTGGTGGGGGATGGCGGGGTGAGGTGGGGACAGGGACTGCTGCAACTAATAATGGGGTCATTGATTTCAACCCTGGGCACAGGGTCTGGCATAGGGAAGGTGCTTGCTGAATCAGAGAATGCCATTCATTTATTCATTCAACAAACACGGACCAACCCCTTCACTCTGCATGGCTCTGTGTTCAGGTCTAAGACCCAGAGGTGCCAGCCCAGGGCCTTTTCTGAAGGCTCCACACCAGACTCTGCTACCTGAGTGGGGTCCGGACAGGTGGGCAGGAAGTTGACAGGTGAACGGAGACAGGGGCATTCCAAACAGGGGAGACAGCAGTGCCAGGTCGAGGAGGCCAGGGCCACCAGGGAAGACTGGGACCCAGAGGGAGTGTGGGGGGAGGACAGAGAGGCCAGGCAGCTGCCTCACTAGGTGACAATGTGCCATCCTGCATTTCTGACACTTCCGCTGCCTGTCCATCTCCCGCAGGACAGCTCCTGCCCTCTGGGAAGTGCAGCCCCTTCCTCGGCTGAGCAGAGACTGAACTTGGAGGAAGGCAAAGGGCCACTGGTGGGCAGAGGACCCAGGGCCACTGGGGCCGAGCTTGTGACTGGATAACTTAGACGACTCTGGGCTCATCATGCCACCTTTCAGAGCCTCTTCTGTCCTTCCTGCAGGAATAATGATGCCCACATCACAAAACTGGATGACAAACCGTGTGGAGTGTTTTGCAGTTGGAGGGTGGGCTTTCAGGTAACCAAAATAGGTACTGCCTAAGAACAATTTGTTCTGCTTGTTCCTAAATGTTTAGTGCTGCTCCTTTTCCCTGGGACCTGGCCTAGTTGTAAGGGATTATTAGCCTTCTCTAGGGAGGACAGGAGGTGCAGACAGAGAGGGGCAAGGCTGACATCCAAGTGTGGACTGCTCCGCCCTCTAGTGGCTGTGGAGGATCATGGTGCCTGTAACCGATTATTCCTGAGCTCCATGTTGACTGGGCATCCAGAGCTGTGCTGAAATCAATGCCTCCCTCCCCTGTCACCGGCCCAGGAACTTCACCAAGGGTCTCAGTTCAAGTGCTTCCCAGGTGTTTGTATGAATGCAAACTCCTGCAGTAGGTTTAGTTCAAAGGGGTGTGGGGACCAAGAAGGAACGTGGCAGGTAAGAGTCAGGGCACTGGGACAAGAGGTATCTGCACAGGCAATAACCCACCGAGTGATGGACTGTAGCAGCAGCAGGGTGACAGCTTGTCGCAGGTCACTCTCTGCCCCTTTGAGCCAGAGGCAGCCCAGGGCAGCTGGGACACCTCTGGGCAGATGCTCGATTCTCAGTGTCAGCGTCAGCACCCAGTTCCACTGCTTCTACCTCACCTGCCCAGGTGAGCTCCACAAGGCCCAGGTGAGAAGCCCAGAGGGATTCTCAGCCTGGCTTAGCCAGGCTGCCCCATCAACACCACACACAGCAGCTGGACTGTAGCCACAACCCCCAGCACCCCTCCCAGCGCCACTGCAGGCACCTCAGGCTCCTCTGTTCAGGTGGGGACTCTGAGGCCAACGGTCACCGAGCAAGCTCCCAGCTCTGGAGCTCAGGGGCCTGCCTCCTAGACCAGAGCTGCTCCAGGTGGACTGTGGGCCAGCAGCACTGGTGCCCCCTGGGGGGCATGCGGAAGCGCAGACCCTCAGGCCCTGCTCCAGACCTGCTGGCTCAGCACCTGCACTTCTGACAAGACGCCTGCGTGCTTTGTATGCGCTTTGCAGCATGAGATGCTCCAGACGTCATCATTCTTCCCTGGACCGCCCCATGCTGCCTCTCAGGTGGCCCACAGGTATGGGCAACTCCCTCCAAACTCCCAGGATACAGTCATACCACGGTACTCATCGGCTTCAAAACTTGCCAAAACCCTGTACTCATTGCATTTTGACGAGAAAAAAATGTGTCAGCACTCGGCGCTTGCTCGGGACTTGTTGCACTTGCTAGAACTTGTATGAGTCAGGACACCTTCCCGCAAGAGAAAATGCTTCCTCACTGACCGCATTCAGTATTCATAGGTTTTGGCACTCGTCATGCATTCCAGAGCGAATTAACGACGAGTACCGAGGTACCACCATACCTTAGGGAGCTGAAATTCTTTAAAATATCCTGGAAAGACTTAGTGGAGGGACTCAGGTTGCTCAAACCTGGGTTTGAATCCCAGTTCTGCCACTAACTAGTGGTGAGACCTTGGCCCCGGTGACATGGCCTCTCTGAGGGTCAGCCTCCTCATTTACAAAACAAAGAGTCACGGGGACACTGTATGTGACACTCAGCACAGAGCCTGGCATGGAGCAGGCACTCATCAAATGTCAGTACCGGTCACATGCCCCAAGCCCGAGGGCGGGGCCTAAACCGGCCAGCATCTGTGACAGCCCCTACCTGCCTTCTCCTTGATCACGGCCCAGTCCTCGAAGCTGTCGATGTGCTCCTTCAGCCGAGAGCAGAGCTGCACGTTGCCCACATAATCCAGAAGGATGTCGATGATGGGCCCCGCCCAGCGGCTCACCTCGGGGGTGGACAAGACCTCGCAGAACTGAAAGAGAGCGCACACCCACACTGGGGCACCAACGTCCAAGGGCACTAATGTCCAAGGGCACCACCCCCGCAAGCTCATCCCACAGGTGGCAGCCTAAGGCTGCCTGAGGGCAGGGGGCATGGGCGAGGGCAGATGCTGGGTACAGCCGGGCTGGGATCCCGTCCCTCCTCCTACCCACACAGGCCTCTGCTGCCAAAGTGGGAGCTGGGCGATGTGGGCCAGTCCATCGCCTCTCTAGCCTTAATTTCCTTGTCTAGGAAATGGGTTTGTAATACCAGCCGCAAGGGTTTATGAGAATTAAGGTGATATGAACATAAGCTTTATACATAGTAGGGCCCCCAAAAGGTGGCCATTGGCATTATAATTATCCCCAAGTGAAGGGTATTTCTAACTTCCTTGTCATTTTAGGTTCTGACTTTTTATTTTTAAAGAATTTTGCATTTATTTTTAAAGAGGGGAAAGGAGAGACCAAGAGAGGGAGAGAAACATCAGTTGGTTGCTTCTTGCACGCCCCCAACTGGGGACCTGGCCCACAACCCAGCCCTGTGCGGGAGACCTCTCAGTTGGCAGGCGGGAGCTCAATCCACTGAGTCACACCAGCTGGGACAAGTTCTGACTTCTGCAGTCACCACTGTGGACAGGTGCTCTGATTTTTTGCATCTCACCCGAGACCAGCCTGCTCTCACCTCCATCCCAATCTTGGTCATTCAGTCTTCCATCCCAGGCACAGGTTTGCCAGGAGGAGCACGGGGCGGGGGCCAGGGGCAGTGATAAATCCCTTGCGTTTGCAGAGTTCCCTACTGGTACCCTGCTCCACTGTTCCTTCCTTAAATTCTCCAAGACAGCAAACCAAGAAAAAGGATTTCATGTTCTTGTGAACCCTACGTTTTGCTACCTCTAATGCATGCTAACCCCCAGGCTCCGCTGCCACCAAAGTGTGCCAACTTCTAGTCTATACGCGCTCCAAAGCACACAAACGACTAGACCGCACTCCCTCCAAGGCATATGAACTGCCATGCCTCAGAAGTTCAGCCCACGTAGTCTACACAGCCTCCGAAGCAAGCTGCCCTGGCCAAACTCCCTAGGCGCCCACACCCCCTAGGCACTCACGCCCCCTACCTGGACCACACTGGGCGCCTTGTCTCCCGCAAGCGCATCCCTGAACCTGTTGGAGGGTGGAGGGGCGGGCGGGTGCGGGCCGTTGCCATACAGGCAGGAGAAGCAGGGCTCGCCGTTGCAGCCGAGGTCCATGAGGAACTTGAGCAGCGACAGATACTTCATGGCGAACATGATGGTAGCGGGGAAGGAGGTAGGGTGCGTGGCGATGTAGGCGTCGATGTTGGCTCCGTGGTCCAACAGCAGCTGCATGATGCGCAGGGAGCCGTGGCGGATGGCCACGAGCAGGGGGCTGATGAGGTCGCGGTTGGGGTCGGCGCCGGCCAGCAGCAGCAGTTCGGTGGCGTATGCGTTGTTGTTGACCACCGCGAAGTAGAGCACGGAGCTGCGACGGTCCTCGTAGAGGCGCGCGCGCTCGGGCGCCAGCGGCGCGTTCACGTCGAAGCGCGCGCCCAGCAGCATCTCCAGCACCTCGTCGTTATTGCGCTCGGCGGCCAGGTGCAGCGGGCTGATGCCGCTCCTGCGCACGCGCGTGCGGCTGGTCACTGGCAGCAGCATCTGCACGATCCTGCGAGGTGGGGCGGGCAGGCACAAGTCACTGAGCGGCTGGCACAGCGGGGCCAGCCCTCCAGCAGGGGGTGCTGAGGAGCCAGGCTCGACCACTCACAGCTACTGTATAGGGAGGTACGGGCTCACAGACAGGGGGCGCGGAGGACCCGGCCATTCTTCACAGTTACTACCTTGGGGAGGGTGGGAATGCGGCTATACCTACTTCACAGATAAGGAAACTGAGGCTCAGAGAGCTTCAAACCTTCCCAAAGTCTCACAGCTAGGTAGCGGTGGAGCTGGGTAACCATGAAGTCGCCTCCCCTGTCCTGTCTCAATGCCTCTTATGCTGAAGCCTGTGTAGAGCCTCTCCCAGGCTCTCGGTGCTGCCTGTGGCCTGCAGTGGGCTGGTCAGGCCCCGCTGAGGCTGCAGGTCCCTGGCTCTACTCTCCTGTTGAAGCAGGCACTGCTCTCGGTGTGCAACCTGCATTAACCTGTTATGCCTAAGAACCCTGTGAGGTGGGTACGAGTACTATCCTCCTTTACAGATGAGGAAACAAGCCCAGAGAGGGTATGGGACTTGCCCAGGGACACACAGCCAGTAAGTGATGGAGTCAGGATTTGCACCCAGGTGGTCTGATTCCCCCTGGAGGCAGGGCCCGACTCTTAAGCCCCGCCTTACGTCTTGCGTAGCAGTCAGGGTGGCAGCAGATTTGTCACAGGGCTTTGTTTTCTTCCCAATGCCTCAACTGGCCTGGCCCCACCTGACCTTCTCTGCAGCCCTGTGGAGTGGCCAGAGCAGGTCCATGGCGCTCTTCTAACTGACGTGGCTCAGGGGAATGAAGTGACTGATCGAAGATTTTTAAGCAGTTCTGGGGTCTTGACCCCAGGACTCTTGACCCCTTCTTTGTTGTCTTCCCCTGGGCCCCAGCCACCTGCAGGAACAAGCTCCTGTCACGATTCCATACCCTAATCCACCTAATCCCTGATGACAGGTGACCTCATGGCTCCATGTGGTCTCCAAGGAGGTGGCCGTGGCCCTGGCCAGCTGGTGCCACCAGGCCTGTTCCCACGCCCCTCTGCCTCCTGGCACGCTGACGTCCCGCTTCCTGGAGATCTAGTGCCAGCAACCTCCCGCTAGGATCTCAGTGGAAAATGTTGTTATTGTTAGTAACGCCGTGTTTGCCTAAAATCTGCATCTAAAACCTCAAAAGGAAATTCTCACACAGGGGGGCTAATTGCCTACTAATTTCTATTTGTGCAGGCACAGGGGGCCTGACCTTGCTCTGTAGAGGTGCTGGTCAAAGGCAGGGCTGGGGGCTCACCCTGGACTGAGGCCATTGGCAACAAATGCTCGCTAACAGCCGTAACCTGCGCAAGCTCAGGGGGAAAACAGCAGGAGGGTCTGCCCGGGGCCGCCAGCCAGATGGGGCTGGTATCTTGGCAGGTCACAGCTGGTCTCAGATGCCCCCCTGCCGAAGGGAGGGGGAGTGGCAGAAATGTGGGGACGTGACTGGACACAGCCTAGGTTCCCGGAAGCACTTTCTTAGCCTCGCAGCCACACCATCTCACTGCTGCTCACTCCTGCAGGACTTTGCCCATCAGCAGATAAATGTGTAATGCTGGCCAGGGTCGGGAGGTCAGTGTGTCCAGCCACCCATTTCACAGAGGGCGGCTCCGAGACCCGGGTGTGGGGTGGGAATGAGAGTGAGGTCGGACAGGAGGTGATGGCAGAGCCAGGCCAGAATGTAGGCGTCCAGCACGCCCAGGGCCAGGCCTTTCCATGATGCCCCTGACACCAGGAATGCCCAATGCTGGTGGCCTTGCTAATACCCATCCACGCCATCACCTCCCTCCCCTGGCCCACCTGCTGGCTGGAGGACAGGCTGGGGCCTTCCCACGTCTCCCGCGGGCAGGACCTGGGACCACAGAGTGCTTACTGCTCAAAGTGCTCCTTACAAAGAGGAACAAAGGGCCGTTGCCTGATAGAACCCTCAGTGTCTAAGAGGCTCCGTTCCCTGCCCTTCCTCCTTTGCCCAGCTGGCGGGGGGGTGTGGCAGGGGGCACACCTACCAGCTCAGGCCCAAGACCAGAGCAGACCCAGTGCAGGGCTGTTTCAAGGGGTCCCTGAGCAGCTGCTTAGCCGGTGACCTTGGACCCCCGTCCCGATAACTAGGCCCCTGACCTGTTCTTGGGACCTGCCAGTAACCGAACCCCACTTTCTTTGCTCCAGGTGCTGACTCCCACCAGGATTCTTGTGGCACCAAGGCTGCTGCCCAGCCACGCTGCCCATCTGGCCTGAAGCCCAGGCCAGCAGCAGGGGACAGAGCAGAGAGCTTTGAGCCCAAGAACATTGTCGTTAGCATGTGGGGGATCCACCTGGGGCAGTGGCCCCAGGTAACCCCACCAGCTCTGCTCCTCAGCGCTGGGCCATCCCATGTCACTGAACCTCTGTAAGTTACACCTACAACAGAGGGGTAACACAATAACAGTGAGGATGAGGATGAGGATGATAGCTGCTCTTCCTGGGCCCCCTTCCTGTTGTTGTGAGTACCTTCCCCTCCTCAGCGATCATCACCATAGTAACTCTGAGTGTTCACTGCATTCCGGGCACCGTCCAAGTGCTTTACTCGTTTACCGTGTTTAATCCTGGAGCAGACTCTCTGGGCTAAGCACTTTATCTCATCTACTGTTCACAACAACCCAGCAGGGTGGGATGGTCCTGCCCAGGTTACAAAATGCAATTTAATGACACTTTCACTGAGGCTGCTTTTGAAGACAAAAATGAGATCTTACGCGTTAAGCTGAGCTGCACATAGTAGGCACTCAATAAATGGCGGCCGTTGGTCTCTTGGCCACCAGGGTGAATGTAGCACCCTGCCTGCTACTCCAGATGTGGAGGCGTTCTGTGTCACAGACCGGGTCACGGCAGTGTGACCTTTGTCAGCATTCAGTGTAAATCTGACTGTGAGCTAGACTTTCACAAGGGAACCGGCCGCCCACAGACAGCTCTGCTGCCAATACCACTGAGCTGCACTGTGTCAGCCTGCTGTGTGTGTGTGAGTGTGTGTGAGTGTGTGTGTTTGCTGGGGGAGGATTATCTCTTCTCTGAGTCCGTGTGACGCTCACGCCGGAGCCAGCAGAGCCGCCCCGCTGGTGCAGCATCTGCCCCAGGGTGATCCCAAGGACACACAGGGACTCCCGCAGGGTCTGCGGCTTCTCTGGGAGAGGCCGGGAACTGGATTTGGGGCGGGTCCCCCTTGAAGGAGGAGGGGCACTCAGCGTGGAGCCTGCTGAGGGTTCAAACTGCTGGTTCTCCTACCAGGTGACTCGGAATCGCTCAGGGAGTCACTAAAAATGCAGAGGCCTGGGCCCTGCTGTCTGGGGCCCTGATGGCTGTGCAGGCAACCCACGTGCCTCCTCATTTCCCCCAGAAGACACAGGCAGCCCAGAAACTTCCTGCAGGGGACCGGGCTGGGGAAAGTGGCCCAGGCTCCAAGCCTCAGTGTCCCTTTCAGTTAAAGGGGACACTAACTTGCCTGTCAATGTGCTTTGTAAATTGCATTTTAATTAAATGGGCTACACGTTCTCTATTCTGCCATTTTCCAGAAAGAGTTGTAAGAGGCTTGCAAGGATAGTATACATTAGAAGTAAAAGAGAAAGAATATTTAAGAACGACTGGGTCGAAAGAGAGGCCCAACATTTGTGCCTGTGTTATGCGTCAGCTGTGAAATAGACTCGAAGAGACTGCCTCTCTCCTGAGTGGCACGAATTGTGTGTGTGGACGCCTTTTAGGAATGATGCCGCCCCGCCCACAGCCCCGGCTGCAGCCCCCTCTGCTTGCACTGGAAGCTCAGCGGGCACGCAAGGCCGGAGCTGCTGGTATTGCAGAGACGCCAGGGGTGCCCAGGTGTAGTAGCCATGGCTGAGAACCCTGGTTTGATGACATTCTACATTCAAGGGAAACTTGGGGCATCTGTCCTTGTCTAACACAGTTTCTTCATAAATCTGTCTTTGGTTCTAAGCTTTAGTTTCTCAAGGTGCCTTTGCTGAGCTGTAAATTTAAAAAGGCAAACCTGTGCTTCGGAGGTGACCGAGACTTTGATGTCTGCGGGGCTTCTTTCTCAGCCACACCTGAATGTCACACACTCCAGTTAAGTGTGCCAAAGAGATGGTACCAACAGGTGAACGTGGAGACCAGCTGCTGAGCGTCACTTTCCAGGCTGTGGGATGTCCCGTCCAACCCCTGAGCAGCCTGTGGGAGGTTGGCGTAGACAGAGCCTGTAATGCCACAGGCGAGGGAGTGGGTGAAGGGCTCACCTGGCCATGGGCCCTGCCCGGTGGCAGAAGCTGCTGGGAGCCCGACTGGAACCCTTTGTTGGACAGGCCTCAAAAAGTGGCCTGGTCCCTGTCAGCCTTGGGGGACAACGGAAAGCGGGGCCTGGGGCTGGAGGGTAAAGAATAAGCAGGGAAATGTCTCTGGGAGGCAGCATGAACCCACAGGAGACTCTGGGGGAACTCAGACCAGTCCCAGCAGTGGATCCTGCAAGGGCCGGCCTTGCTCCCTCATCCTCAGGAGCACCACCCAGTGCTCCTTCAAACTCCCACTGACCTGCTGGGGCCAGGCATCTGGGTGTGACTGAAGGGGGCCCAGCGACAGGCCCAGCTCTCTGGCAAAGCCACTTCTCTTCTCTGGCCTCAGTTCCCTCCTCTGCAAAGTCAGAGGTTGGAGTAATCCCCCTGAAAGCATGAGTGAGCTGAATCTGGTTGGCTCAGGGTTTTTTTTTTTCCGAAGGTAGAGATTGGTTCCCTTCTTCTCTGGAGATGCTGGCTCAGGGGCTCTGGGACATGTCATTCAAGGCATAGCCCAGAGTGACGGGGCTGGACAGGCAAATATGGGGAGATGGGGAGCCAGCGGGTTTCCAAGGGCCAGCCCCTTTTCTCTTTTTCACTCTCTGGATCTCTCTGGGGTCAGGCTCAAGATAAACCCTGTTTGCTGACTGATGCTGGATCTTTCTGGAACTGAAGACAAAGATGCCTGACTCACTTTTTCCCTGGCTTCACTGGGAAAGGATGAGGTGTACTCTCCCTGCGTAAGAGAGGCAGAATGCAGACCCTCTGAGCCCCTCCTCTCTGGTGGGCACTCTGCTGGGTGCTGACTTCCCCTTCATATCTCACCAGTCCCCACGACAGCCCCTGCAGCCCCAGGTGTGACTACCTCCCATTTTACAGAAGAGGATGCTGAGGCTCAGAAAGGTTAAGCAACATGCCGAGTGGCCTCAGCAGGAATTCAAGTCCAGATCTGTCTGCCTTGCAGCCTGCTGTGTGGTCCAAAGACAAGCGGGGTTTCCTTCCTGTACCCATTGGGTGTGGGGTGTGGAGGGGCATCTTTGCTTGGCCACTTGTGCCGCCGGCCTGCAGAGCAGGGCGGGGGGCTGCTTGCGTCACCCCTGCACTCTCTGGGACGCTGCTCTCACCCCCAGAGCCCCCTGCCTTAGCAAAGAGAGCCGGCAGCCCCACCACGCAGCCGCCTGCGTCCCCCTCTTCTCCCTGCCGAGGGCAGGGCTGTGCCTCCCGAAGTGTGCCGTTTGGGGTACACAAGAAGGGATTTTAGGTGAAGAGGTTTTTATTCATTGTAAATTGGTAACTTGAACAATTTAATAGTGTGACAAATGTTTCCTTTTGAGAATAAATTCATTCTAGTTTTTTTTAAAAGTCTTTAAAGGAAAATACTAAGCAATGAGACTATAGCTGTCTCAAATCAGGGGGGGAGCCTATGAATGGTCAAAGCTGGGGAAACACTGGTCACGTGGAAATTCCTGGGCCCTGTGCATTCTTGATGAGCAGCCGGAGCTCCCCTGGACGAGTGCTCCCCGGCCCCTCCAGCTAGTGGCGGTGAGGGTGGAAGTTTAACAAGTGGCAGGGCGGGAGGGGGTGGTGAGGGAGGGGCATGATCTGTAGCCTGCACCAATTTCTGTGGTGTAAATTCTCCCACCACGGCCAACTGCAGGCTGTCCGTGAGAACAATCAGCTTAGAAGAGCTGCTACGGACTAGCTCTGCCTCTGCTTCCAGCCAGGACCACTGCGGAACGCCCGCCTGTCCGGTTGTGAATTTGTGCGCATGCGTACATGTGCACAAAGGAACGCTCACCCGTCAGGTCGTGAATTTGTACACGTGCGCATGTGTCTCCCCTCCCATAGGAACACTCCTTTCCCTCAATTTGCTCAGGGGACCTGCACTTAGTAAGCGCTCAGTAAGGGCTAGCAATTATCCCTCGTGCTGTTTTTATCATCGCAGGCCTCCCTGCATGCTTGCTAATTGCCTGAGAGGTTACCTTTGCATCCCCATCAGAAATGCCCACTAGTCCAGATTCCTGCCGTCTGCAAGCTGTGTGACTTTGAGCAAGTCACTTGACCTCTCTGTGTTTGACCCTCTTCATTTGAAAAACGGAGATAACAGTGACTACCTCAGTAGGTTTGTTTAAAAAGTCATTAAAAATGGAGCCATCAAAATGATCGAATCAGTTAACAACAGAAGGTGGCGGTCGGTGCCATGCGTTTGCTTGGTCATTATTGTTCTTGTCACTGCAGGCATCGGCGCTGGCTTGCTAATGGCTGGGTTTCCACTGCGGGTGCCCTCCTCTCTGACCTGAGCCTCCCTCGTCCTATGGGAGGGACATTCGCCGCCCCACCCCCACCCCAGGGTGGGCGGGCAGTGGTGGCCCCCGGCTGACCTGTAGTTGCCCTTCTTGGAGGCAATGTGCAGCGGCAGCAGGCCGTCCTTGTTGGCCTTGTTGGCGTCGGCGCCCTGCGACAGCAGGAACTCCACCACCGACTCGTGCTCGTTCTTGCAGGCCTCGTAGAGGGCCGACGCGCTGTCGCTGGCCTGCGTGTTGATCTCTGCGCCTGGAGAAGAAGAGACGGTGATCAGGGTGGTCCCCGTCCCTGAAGAAATGTCCGTGCTGGGCTGCTGTAACTGCTGTGCCGTGACACTCTGGATCCTGAGAAAGGAGGGCCCACCTGGAGGACCCCCCCCCTTCCATGACACCGAGACCCTGGGGCCTGCCAGCCTGGGCAGAGGCCTTTGGGTTGCACAAAGCTGCCCCGATGATGCTGCACTTTCTGCGCACTTACTATTTGCCAGACTATGTTTTACTCGTGTTGTTTCTTTGAGCCCACGATGTAAGCCCATGGGACCAGCACTGCTCTGGTCTCTGTGTCACAGAGCACAGGAAACCTGCGCCACTTGCCCACGGCCACCCAGCTCATAAGTGAAGGGCCTGAATGTGAATCCAGACAGTCTGACGGCGGAGGCCTCGCTCCTCACCCTCAGTCCAGGTGGAAAGACCCAGGCCCTGCCACGCATAAGGCCCTCACAGCTCTTCGAGTGCAGAGCCCTGCCACCATTTCCAAGACTAAGAGAGGGATGGCTTCCTGCCCCCTCTGAACACAATGCTGCACTAGACAGACAGGCAAGGTGGCCGGGCCCAGGACGGTCGTCTCCCACATCTCCTCCGTCTCCAGGCAGCAAGGCAGAGGACCAGCCTGCACTCGCTGCCCCTGACTGCCCGCCCGTCGCCCCTGGCTCTGGGAGGAAGCAGGGCTGAGACAGCAGTGGAAGGTCAGGAAGGGCTGCCATCGAAAGCGTGTCTTAGTCATGGCCTGTCACTCTTGGGGCACTCTGCCTATCTCAGGCATTCTGGTCATTTTTGATTCCTGATGACTGATTTCTGGTCTAGTGGGCTGGGCACAGACTTTGGTGACTGACAAGGACCTGCTGAAGCTGCTGTTTCCTGGCTCACAACCCCCGGTGGCCGTGCGCAGCCTGTAGGGGCCCCATTTCCTCCCCTGATGACTGGGAACAATCATACCTACTATGTGGGGTAACTGCAAGAGCTAAGTAAATACCTGCTACAGACCGGATGTGGCCATCCCCCAGCCACGTGCATGTGCTGAAACCTAACCCTCAGTGTGGCCTTGTCAGGAGCTGGGGCCTCTGGGAGCTGATTTGGTCATGAGGCTGGAGTCCCCATGAGTGGGACTTGTATCCTAACCAAAGGGACAATAGAGAGTCTCTTCCTTACCCAACATGTGAGGACACGGCAAGATGACGCTTGTCTAGGAGCTAGGAAGTAGGCCCTCAGCAGACACTGAATCTGCCAGCACCTTGACCTTGGACTTCCAGCCTCTGGAACCGTGAGGAATAAGCTCCTGCTCTCTACAAGCCAGCCAGTCTGTGGTGTCCCGTTAGAGCAGCCCAGACTGCACCAATGTCCTGCACAGGGCCGTACTTGAGGATGGAGGGGTCTGGGCACAGGGTCAGGTCCAGGCCCCCCGACCTCTGAGGGAGAGTCGGCTCTGACCGACCACAGCCGCCCTCGCAGCCAGGCTTCCTGGAAGCCTGGAATCCGCTAGCACAGCCGATTGCTCACACGGGAAAAATATTTGGGTTTGAAAGTGGACTCAGCCCATAAAGGGAGCAGACCTGGACCCCGAGTGCCAGCAGGAGAGCCCGGCAGATGTGCGGAGTTCGCCTGGTCCCCAGCCATCAAGCACCCGGCCCTTTGCCCGGGCGCCTTGCCGGGCTCCCAGGACCCTGCCTGTGCCCCTTGGCTCTCGAGCTGGTCCATCCAGCTTCAGGCCTGGCTGTAAGGAAGTGCCTCGGGCCTATTCCCCTCACCGCTCAGGCCCAGGCTAAGTGGACACTGATCTGACCAAAGTCCCACAAAGGCCATTCTTGAGGTCCGGGTGGTGGCAGAGTGCACAGAACATGCAGTTCAGGGTCAGATGGACCTGGTGAGAATCCAGGCTCTGACTGTGACCCATCGTTTAACCTCTGAACCTCAGTCTTCTCGTCTACTAGAGGGGATGCGGTCACTGTCTACCCCATACGGCTGTGGAGAAAACCATGTCGGCCTAGTCTGTGTTCATCCGTAGCATAGTGTCTGGCACATAGTAGGTCTTCAGCAAATTATTCCAACTCTGTCCCTGGGTCTGCCTTACCTCTGGCCTGTCTGTTACTAGAGAGAGAGAGGGTCCTCTCCCACAGAGAGAGAAAAGAAATCAAAGGTGTTCTTGGGGGGAGATTAGAATATAATGTTCTTTACCCCGAAGAACATCTGCCATTCTCAGGGGCTTCCGCTCCTGGGACACCATAAGGCAATATTGTTTTACTTCCTCTGTTAAGTGGATACAAATTTTTTTTACAGGCAAAGAGTACAAAGGCCTGAGTTCAAATCCCAGCTCTGCCATTAATTTGCTGTGTGTCTTGGAACAAATCACTTTCCCATCCTGGTCCTTGGTTTCATCGATGATAAAGTGAGGAAGTGATCTGGATGTTGTCTGAGGTCCCTGCTGGCCCTGAAGTAGGACGCGGTGGAAAGGATAGTTGGGGTGTCAGGAGACCGGGAGTCTGGCTGGTTCTACCACTAATTTCCTGTGTGACTATAGAAAACTCGCTCTCCCTTTCTGGGCCTCAGACTCCTCATTTCTAAAACAAGGATGGCAGGTTAGATTAGAGATTGCAAATGTGTGGCAGATGTTCCACTCCCCACCCCCAAGTCTGTGCCCAATTTCAGGCAGCACCGCTGGATCTCAAGTGTCTCCCGCTGAGCCTGGACACAGCCCCAGAATCCTCCTCACCACTCCAGGAAGCTACTCAGTCACAGTGCGGCCATGCGGGGTCACCTAAACTTGCCTTCCCTGAGAGCTGATTGCTGAGGTCCTTCCCAGCTGTACCCCTAGGGGACTGCATGACTCAGGGACCCTTGGCACTCACCGTGCTTGGCCAGGAACCTCAGGGCCTCCATCTGCCCACTCTGGGCGGCCACAAAGAAGGGGGTGATGCCGTAGGTGTTCTTGGATTCCACCTTGGCGCCTCCACCCACCAGGATCTCCATGACCTCCAGGTCATTGCGGGCAACAGACTCATGCAGAGCCGTCCAGCCACGGTTGCAGCGATGGTTGGTGTCTGCCTTGTATTGCACCAGGATCCTTACCGCCTCCACATTCTTGCGCTCACAGGCTGTGCCAGGGAGAAGCAGGATGGTCAGCAGGGCCCCTGGCAGGACCTGGCCAGCCAAGCCTTCACTCATTTGTCCATCCACTCATTCACTCATTGGCTCATTGGCCATTCATTCGGGAACTGTCCACCGACTCTGCACTAAGTTTCTGTCCCTGCACAGGATATACAACTAAAAGTAACAGCAACACTAACAAGCAATGACGTTTGTTGACATGCGCATAGTATTGGTTATGTGCTGGGCACTCTGTTCTAAACACTTCACATGATTAACTAATTTAATTCTCCCATCCTTAAAATATGCTGCTATTACCTCTTTTCACAGATGAGGAAAATGAAGCACAGAGAGGTTAAGTGACTTGTCTGAGTCATGCAGACAGTAAGTGGCAGAACTGGGATTCAAACCCAGGTTGTTGGATCTAGAAAGATCTCTGTCCTGGAACATTCCAGGATGCCCTGAACTCATATCCCCTTCCAGTGTCACCTGCTTCAGTCCTCTGTCACAGACAGAAGAGGAGGAGGACAGTGTCATATTCCTGCTCGAAACCCCTCCTCAAAGGCGGCTCACTTAATCCGGGCTAAACTTTACCTTCTGCAGACAGTTTAAGTCTCCCTCAACCTGCCTGAACCTCCCTTTGGAGCCTCCTCTCTCTCTAGACCCCAAATGTACTCTTGGCTCCGGTCGGAGTTATCACCAGGGAGCCTGCGCACTTGTCCAAATCCACTACCCCTGGAAGCTTCTCCAGGTCAGCCAGGGGGCTGCTGAGAAGAAGTGGGGGCTGCCTGCATCGTGTTCCAAACAGGACCCCGGGCAAACTCCCCGAATCTCCAAGCCTTGGTTCCCTCGCCTGTAAAGCAGAGATAACAAGACCTTCCCAAGAAGATGCTGTGGGAAGAACAAGTGAGGTAGGGCATGGAAAGTTCCAGCATGGTGCTTAGCATACAGCTGGAGCTCGTCCAGGACCAAGGCCCAGGCTTCTGCTGTGAATCACCCAACATCCTAGGAGCTCTCTCTGGGACAGCTGAGGCTCCAGAGGATGGCTCTGGTGGCTGGGCGGACTGGGGTCCCGGGGGAGACACTTCCACCACAGGTCTGCAGCGGACCCGGCCACCATTTCCCCAGGGTGGGCTGCCTACTGAGTGCTCCAGGTGCTGGATACCAGACCCGTGGGAAGTCAGGGATTTCTGCAGTCTTTCCCAGTGTGGAGGCCGTCTCCCTTGTGCAAGACCCGCGGCTGACTGTTTAAGCATGGCGGCACGGATCGGATGCTTTGTCGGGTAGGAGTTCAGAGCATGGGGCTGGCGCCCTGCTCCCTGAATTTAAACCCCAGTCTGCCCAGTCTGGGTGTGCTCCTGGGAACCTCACTGCAGGTCGCCGCGCCTTTGGCCCGCATCTGTGACGTGGGCATGTTAGCAGTGCCCACCTCCTACAAGGATGAATGAAAGGATAGTGCCCGGCATATAGTGAGCACTCCGTCCATGCCAGCTGCTGTGATTATTCAGGTTTCCACTCTGGGCACTTGTTAGAGTACCCGACGTCCTTGGGTGATGTGTTGGTTCAGCCAGGAGTGTGTGGTTTTCTTAAACGTCCTGGATGAACAAATTCTCTCTCATACCTCTTTGTCTTTGCTTAGGCTCTTCCCCTGCTTGTCCAGGGTCAGCTCAGGCACACCCTCCTGTGGCGCCCTTCCCCCATGTCAGGGCCCCCGCCTGCGCTCCCAGGTGCTTCGAGGCATGCTCTGCCCTGCCCTTAGGTGCCCCCTGGACTGGGGGAGCAACGGGTGTGGACGATTCCTTTCCACCAGGAGCCCTCAGCACACCCACCGATCATTCCCAGCCCACGGAGGACTTGGGAACTGTTGGCTGAATATGTGCCCGAAGGAAAGATTCAGTTACCTGGATTGTACATCCGAAAGAGGCTGCCCCTTCGAAGAAGCCCCAGGGGTAGGGGGTTATTCACCTCAGGAGTAATGCTCCCAAGGGCCCACCTAGTTTGCAGACGCCTCCTCAGGGAAGCCTCCCAGGAAACTCACCTTTGTAGAGTGGTGTTTCTCGGGACTTATTGGCGATGTCGGGCTCGGCCCCCGCCTGGAGCAGGAACTGGAGGCAGTCCAGGTGTCCCCTGCAGGTTGCCAGGTAAAGAGCCGTCTCCTCCTGCAGGGTGCGCTGGTCGATTGTCGCTGGGTATGCTGGGGAGGGCGGCCCACTGCGTTAGTGAAGGAGGGAGGTACCTGCCTCTCCCCGATCCACCCTGCACCCCACACCAGGTGTTCCTAATTTCCTCCCAATGCCAAGGACAAACTTGGGTGGCATCTGCCTAAATTTACTACCCAGACTGCCTATGTCATCTTGGCCCTGGACTCAGTAGCTTTCACAGGGCTGTTTCAGCTTCCTGGTCATATGCATCCAGCTCAGAGGCCACCTCCCCTGGGAAGCCTTCCCTGGTTGGGCCTCCTCCTTCTGGGAGTTCCCCTGTCTTTCCCTCACATTCCCACCAGCCACTGCTGGGAGCTCAGTCTCATGCAGCTGTTTCTGCCCTGGAGTGTGGCGGGCTGTCCGAGGTCTGTGCCGCTGCAGGCAGGACCCACCCACATCTGGCTTATGGGGGGAAGCGAGGCTCAGAGAGGAGGCATGATTTGCCCAGGGTCCCGCAGCTGTGGGGGATGGTCTTGGCTAGCACAGGTACAGCTGCATTTTTTCCACACCGATTCAGTCCCTGGAACATTCTAGAACAAGCTGGCAGGTGCTCTCCCCAAAGTCAACCTTCCTTCAGTGCTTTTCTGGGAATTAGGCCTGCAGAGATTGGGTGGGTTGTGGAAGGTTTTGCAGTGGGGCCACAAGTCATTTTCCCTCTGCCGGCCTGGTGACTTCAGCTCTGCTACAGAAGCAGAACCATGCATTGGCCCCTCACCCAGGTTGGGGGCCAAAGAGCATGAATCTCTAGGAGGGAGGAGCCTGGGCCCTTGAGTCCTGCTCCCACCTCTGGCTGCACCCAGAGCGGCTGCCTCACCTCGATGCAGGGCCTTCAGGCAGCTCAGCTGGCCATAGTAGGCCGCCTCGTGCAGGGGCAGCCAGCCCTCCTTGTTGGGCTCGGAGAGATTCTTCCCCACCTTGATCAGAGCCTTCAAGGCCTCTTCATCATCTTCTTTGATGGCCTTTAGCACAGGGTCCACGGGCCTGTGGAAACAACGGTGGCCAGTCCTCAGGACCCGGCAGGGCAGGGGCTGGGCCAGGCAGCCTCCCTCCCAGTGGGAACACAGGGCCTGCTGGTGGGCAGGAGTGGAGTTAGCTGCAGAGTTCACTCTGTCCTGCTTGTCCCTGCTGGTCTGGGCCAGGTGCCCAGCCCCCAGTGGCCAGTATCCTCAGCAATACAGAGAATAATCCTTACTAACCCATTGCGTGTGCCCTGGGAACTGGGCCCTGACCTTGGCCCTCTCCTTGGCTCCTCCAGGTCTCAGCTCCATCATGGCTTTCTTGGCCTGCCTGCCCAGGTCTGTCTGCCCCTGTCTCCAGTCACGAGTCCTCATGTAACCGCTGGCCTTCACAGCTTTGACCACGGTCTGTCTCCCCCACTGGACTAGGAGCCCCAAGAAGACAGAGACAGCATCTTTCTTACCTCCCATGACTTAATCCCCAGGGCTCAGCCCCGGGGCTGGTTCATAGTAGGTGCTCAATAAATATTTTGTGCAGGGAAAGAAAGAAAGAGAGGGAGGGAGGAAGAAAGGAAGGAGCGGAGAGGAGGGCGAAAGGAAGAATTCAGAACCTAGGAACCCCAACAGTTATTTCACATCTTCATCCCTTCTATTTCCTAAAAGATAGCCTCTCTCTCTCATCAGAGTTGTGCTTGTTTCTCTGGGAACTGTATTTATATCTTGTTCAAAACGCCATTGCGATGGCGCCCCTGGAGCCTTGACAGACACACCGGCCCACAAAAGGAAAGGTGGGGGGTCTGGGTCAAGCCTTGCTGCTGTCCAATCCCCCCGGGAGCGCCCTGGGGTGGTCCCACAGCTCTCATCTCCAAGCTGGCCATGAGGGGGACTCTGCTGGAAACGAGTGGGAAGGTGGCAAGTTCCTCCACTTCCACAGACGGAAACCGAGGGTCCCTTTTAGACGAAGCTCACTGGTGGCAGAAAGAGAATTCGGAGCCCCCTCTGCCCCTGTGGTTTTCAGTGGCCGCCTCTGATGTTACACCACGACCACTTCCACGGAGAGGATTCAGGCATATGCTGCCAGCCCACAAAGGGATGGACAGCTGATCTTGAGGGAGGTGGTAGCAATAATTAAACCCCTTCCCTGAGTGTAGCTCGCAGACCGAGCACCTTTACCTGGGGGCCCGTTTGTGCTTGGAGCAGCTCTGAGTGAGCTCTGAGCAGCACAGACCCCTCAGGGGGTCTAGGAGCCTCTGCTGTGAGCCTCTCTCTAAGGTCTTTCCAGCTCCCTCCCCTCCTTGCTCCCAGCCTTTATCCTAACCTGAGCACTTTCAGCAGCTGAAAGACTGAAATACTTGAAGGATTAATAAATCTGAAGGCTTCACAGTTTAAACTCTGAATGCCAAAAAGAGGGTTGATACAAATGATAACTCCTTTGCTTGGCTCATTAACACCACTTCATTTGTTCATTCATTCATTCATTCATTCATTCATTCATTGGTCCATGTATGCCTGCACTCCCTGAGCTCCCTGCCCCCCATCCTTGGAGAGTCAGTGAGGACCAGGGCTGTGATCCACTCCTGGGGCACGTTCTGCATCCACGGTCCCATTTCCCAGCTGGAGAAGTGAGACAGGGCCCCACCCCTGTCGGGGGCCGGGATAGGCCCAGATGGTCCCCAGAGCCGGCCCCTCTACCCTCCCACCGCTTCCTCCAGCGTGAGCGGACTTCCTCCTGACTCTCAGCCTCTCCGGTTATTAATAGCTTCAGAGCATTGATGCTGGTTAAGTTACAGACCCAGCAAGGACCATGGGTAACTGACCAGATAAGCCCTGAAGTCCCCATCATCGCCATCACTGCCACCCTGATGCGTTCCTCTTGCAAGCGGCCAGAGCAGCCCTTGTCGGTTGCAGGAAAAGCCCCAGTGGGGGGTGTGTCCCGTCTGCCTGGAAGGTGTCCAGTGGGACCCCAGCTGAAGTGGAATGGAGGTAGGCTGGCCGTTCCTGTGGCCTCGGGGGTGTGCAGCATCATGAGAAAGCTAGCAGGACCCGCCACCCAGCCTAGGTCTCCACCAGCTGTGGTCTGAGGGTCCCAGGGCTCTCAGGCGCCCCCTCCGATGGCTTCTCCAGTTGCTCAGCCTCTGAAGTGCCCTCCCTGAGAGTGGGAGTGGCTGCTGGGATCTAGGGTGGGCGGGGACAGACAGTCAGAGGCTAAGGAGCTGAATGGGACCCTGGAGCCCACTCTGTCCTTACCAACCTCTCTCACGGAAGGGAGACTCAGTCAGGCACAGAGACTCCCAGGCAGTCACACAGCAAACCTCAGCATTGTGGAGACCAGAACCTGGGTCTCCCTTCTCTGCTCAGTGAACGTCCCACCTGCAGCACCAAGGAAGTGGGGGCTTGAAAAAGGCTGGGAAGGGGAGACCAGACATTGGCCAGTTGCCTCCTCCCCTCCCTGAAACAGAACTGGACAAGGAAATAGTGGTTCCAGAGGTGGGGCCTTTCTTTTGCTTTCAGCTGCCTCTGGGGTCAGCACGGGAGCAGAGAAGCGAACGGTACAGAGCTATTTCCCATGGACACACCTTGTCCAGCGCACCCTGGTGCCAGCAAACAGAACTCCTCCTGTAGCTGAAATTATGTCTGGATTTTAGCACCTGGCACAAACAAAGGCAACAAACCAAAAAACCCCACAGTGATGGCCAGAGGTGGGGGGGAACCGAGACAGAGCTGGAGCTCTGAGCTTCTCTGGGCCTCTGCAGTTCCAGGGCCATCTCCCCAAATCTCCCTCTTGCCGGGTCCCCCGATTCAGAGCCCCCTGGGGCCACTCCTGCACACCTCATTTGGGAGCACTGAGGGCTCGTTACAATCACAGCATGGCTAGCGATTCCTTGAGGACAGTGTCTGTGACCACCAAACCCAGCTCAGCAGGAGCAGCTGGGCCTCGAGTGGACATACTGGAGAGAGCTGTGCCTGGCAGGTCCCTTCGGAGTGACCCCCTGTCTGGGGACTGTTGGCCTGCTTCCCAGCCCCACCCCCACCAACCCCAGTTGGGAGATCGAGCTGAGATGGTCTCAGAGGCAGGCTGAGGGGTCACTTACGCCAGCTGGGAGGTCTTGTTGCGGTTGTATTTCTGCATGACCCCTTGGAACAGGCCCAAGTGGCCCAAGGCCGGCGGGTTCTCGGGAGGCACCGTAGACCTGGAGGGTGCAGGGCAGGAGTGAAAGAGGGAAAAGTACTGTGCATATGAGAAGCGGGTCATGGCCAGAGGCAGGACCGAGGATGGAGGGAGAGCGAGGGAGAGAGAGACTGACTGACAGACCAACGCAGGGCTCTGAACCAAAGCAGATGGCCCAGTCCTCTCTGTGTGCTGGACACAGCTGCTGTGTCTCAGATTATTTTTGGCCCTTGGAGGAAGCCCTGGGAGATTTAAATGACCATATAAGACAACAATGAGGTTAACCTCAACCCCACTCCTACGGTCCCCTTCCCCAGCCAACCACACGGGAGGCAGATATGAAGCAAGGTGACATTCTTCACCCAGGAGGATGTGAGAAGTGTCAGCGGCAGGTCCCAGGATGAAAGGGGCTCAGCCTCAGCGACAGGCAAGAGCTTCATGGGGGTGGGGACAAGGGGACAAAGCTGGAAGGCCAAGCCGGTCTGTGTCCCTGCCCCCACTGTGCTGGCTCCAGGGTTGGAAACAAACAGTGTAAAGGTCCCAGCACATGATGCCCGAGGAAGGTCACTGGGGCCAGGGCTTGGAGTCAGACCGACATGGGTTCAAATCTAGGCCCTGGTATTTCCCGGCCGTGTGACCTTGGGCAGGTTGAGCTTCTCTGGGTTTTGGTGTCTGGAACGGCCTGGTCTCAGACAGCTGGTGAGGTCTGACCGAGTGAATGGTGCGAAGTGAGTGGCAGAGGGCCACGCATAGGGGTGTTGTGTTTGACCCTGTCCACCAATTTCAGCGAGATTTTGCCTTTCCGAGCTGCAGTACCCTCGCCCCCTGGGGCTGCTGTGAAGGTGGAAGGGGCAAAAGGAGGTGCAGCGGCCACTGCAGGATCTGGGTTAGCTGGGGTTGTATTGAGAACGGGACCTGTGGCCCATGCTGGTCCCACATCCCACGGGTCAGGCTGTGGCACTGTGGGCCCCCCTGCAGGCCCGGCCTGGTCTCCTGTGCCCCTCCAGAGCAGAGCCCCTGACACCACGCTCCCTCCCCCAGGGTGCTGGTCTCCTCCCACCCTCTGTGCTCTCTGCAGGTCTGAGGCTGCCACACCCATAGGCCCTTTGGCTTTGAGCAAGCCTTGGCCCAGTTTGTGCCTCAGTTTCCTCCTTCGCAACAGGAGGCTGTGGGACCACACCGGGGACTTCCTCTCTGCTGGTGTAGCCGGTGAGCCTTTGCTGCAGCGACCTCATGTGAAAAGCCAGCGTGTTGGGCAGTTCTAAGAGACCACGTCCCCTGGCCCTGAAAGCCCTCGGGTTCGGTGTTATTTTCTATGCTTGCTTGTGGTCCCGGCAAGGGCAGCGTGCGGGCAGGCTTCTGTCCCCATGATATCCTGGGGGCCTGGTGCCCATCATCATCGGTCCATGTGTGGCCTCCCATTTTGTAAAACGTCAGTTAAAGTTTACGACACTTACTCGGCTCCAAGGCACATTACCCTGTGCTGCTAATGATGGAAGGATACACGGGACAGAGTGGATTCTCTGTGTCCGGCGTTTCGCCCTGCTGCAGAGAAGCACCGGTGCAGCCGGAAAGCAAGAACAGAGCACCACGTGAGGGTCTAACACATGCAGGTGGGTAGAAAAAACCCGGAGTCAGAGGGATTCGGGCAGGGTGGTGAGCACTGGGAGAGAGCAGACCCCAGCCTGGCGCGGGGCCCTCTCTCTGATGGCACGATAATAACAGCGGCAGCGAGACAGGGAAGAGAGGGGGTGGGCAGTGAATGACCACCATGCCAGCCCCAGGGATCGTGCCTCATGTCCGGTGGTGCACTGTTCCCACTTTGCAGAGGAGGAAACAGACAAACTGAATTCTATTCAACAAGAGTTTCCCAGCTCTGTGCTCCAGCCTGGGGGTACAGACAAATGGGAAGCTTCTTTTCATTGACCCCCGAGGGGTGGGATGGGAGATAAAGACACACACACACACACACACACACACAGCCCCAGGGCAGAGGCCGAGGGGCGGGAGCACCCATTCTGGGAGCCCTGAAATTGGAGTTAGCCCAGTGTCAGGGGCAGGCTGGCGGGTGCTCCCCGCCTCTGAGCAGAGAGTCGAAAGTGGAGCGGACCAGGCTCCAGCTGAGCTCTGTGCTCTCTGCTCACCGATGCAGCCCCACTTCCTTCTCAGGCCCCCAGGGGGGAAAACCACCCCGCTGACTCATCAGAGGTGAGAGGAGCCTGGCGGGATGTGGGCACAGGTCATGCCCTCGAAGAGGCCCAGGTAGGGTCTGTCCTCCGCGTGGGCGGGCAGGTTGCGGGTCAGGAGTGCAGCACCATCACCGGCTCCCAGCAGCCCCTGCTTCAGAGTCCAGCTGGCCCTGGCTTCACACTCGGGGAGAGCAGGGAGTGGGGATCTGATGACAATTCCCACCAACCTCTCCTGGAGCCGGGTCTGAGTTAATGAGAAGTTTAGGCCCAGCCCCAGGAAGGCGTTAAACTGGGCCAGACCTTGCTAAACACAGGTGGTGTTCAGGCAACTTAATAGGGGAGGAAGCTGACAAACATGAGAGTGTACCCGTGCCTGCCACTGTGCCCAGGTCCTGTGTTCTCTCCTCTGGTCCTGGTACCAGCCCCCTGTGTGTCAGGAATACAGTGTCCGGTACACATTAGGCACTTGATACATTTAAATGAATGAAGCAAAACAAACAAAGCAAAGCCTTTGGCAGGGTGATGTCCCATATGGTAATATCAGTGCCTTGCAGCTGCATGCCAGGACCTGTTCTTGGAGAACCAGCCCCCTGCCCTCCTGGGCAGGGAGAGGAGGAGCTCCCCTGGCATAGCCACCTCCACCCCTTTCCCGAAGGTCTTTGGAATCAGCCCACCACCGGTGAAAATTGCTTCTCGATCTGCCACTGGCCAACCTATCTTTGCTGGGATGGCCAGAGAGGACTCATGGAGGAGAGCAGGCATTCCGGCTGTGATTTCTGCCTTCCACACATAGCTGAGATTCATCGAGCACTTCCTACGGCCAAGTTTTGTCATAGGCACATGGCACAAAGTATCTCATTTCATCCTGTAGTCTATTTTGTAAAGGAGATGTAGTTGGTCCCCTTTTGCAGGTGGGGAAACCGAGTCTCGAAGAAGTCTGCTTCCTCTAGCTTGCTCAGTGAACTCCTATTCATCCTGCAAAGCCCACCCATTGGACTAAATGAAGAGACCCTTTCTGCGTCCTTCTGAAATGGAGACAAGCCCCTTTGCTGCACCCTTCCTTTACCTCTGTGCCTTCATCCTCATTAGCCTTCGAGCTCGGGAGACGGCAGGACCAGGCCTGATTCACAACCAGATGCCAGGCAGGCATGTGCCACATTAGAAGTGTGCAGCGAATTGTTTACCAGGTGCACACAGCAGCCCAACCAAGTTCCTGCTTCCCGCTTTCTTCCTTTGTCTTCTCAGAAATGCAACTTTAAATAAAATGCAGAAGTTCAAAGACTGAAGTCCCAGCTTCCTGGACCCGCTCTGGCTGGTCCATCACAATAACCTTGGGCTCCCTGGTCACTCCTCTCTGGCCAGTGGCGCATGAACCCTGCTTCTCCGTGGGACAGGAAGTTGGGTCTGCCTTTCAGGAAGCCCTCAGTGGGCCAAGGCTCGGAAGATGATCCTCACGCACACTTCAGACTTCGCTTCTTCCACTGCTTGGGAGAGAAGCCAGTTGGGAAATAGCTGTAAAAGGGAACCTTATACTTTTTCCTGGGCTGTGACCTGGCTTTCATTTCTAGGATCCCAAAGACTCAGGTGACCTTTATGTCCACAGTTGTCATTTTGCTCATGAGACAATAACAGTAACTTACATTCCTAAAGGACTTTGTTGGTTTCAAAGTGCACTCATTGACCTGGAAACATTCACTAGGCGTCTGCAACGACCCAGGCTCTTTGCTGAGGAATAGCTGCTCCCTGACCCCAAGGAGGTCACACAGTGTAGCTGGGGACACTTTTGGGAGGCAGGTTATGCTTTGTTAGGGTGACAAAAATGTTTTTCCATGGAACAGAGGTACATGTGCGGTGGGCACTCGGGGAAGAGGCGGGAGAGGCCAATTCAGGCAGCAGGATTCGGGGCTTCCCCACCTTCCTCCATCTTTCATAGGAGCCCTGTGAGCTGGGCTCAGCAAGCTTTTATTATTGCCATTTTGAAGATAACGCTGTTGGGGCTCAGAAAGGTTAATAACTGGCCCAAGGTCACACAGCCAGTAAGTGATATGGGCAGGATTCGAACCTCCACACCCACTTCTCTTTCCACCCTGCTGCCTCTTTGTTCAGCCCTTTATTCTCCCATTCATTTATTACCAATTCACTGGGTCGGGCACCACACTGGGCACGAGGCTTCACAGGAAGGAAGACTGGGAAGGCCCCGCCCTCCCAGAGTTCACAGGTTAACAGCCGAAACATGGAAACTGTGAGTCGGAGGCAGGGAGGAAACAGCCAAGCGAGGAATCAGTGAGGGGGTGACCTCCGAGGCCCTGGCCGGGTGGCCAGGCAGGATTTGCTGAGGAGGTGACATTTAATCTGAGACCTGAAGGATGAGGAGGAGCTGGCCATGTGGGGGCCCTGGGGACATGTGTGATGTCCTGCTTTGGGTCCGGTAGGGTGGAAACCATGATATTTGGGGATAAAAGCGAACAAGGACTCTCCCAGCTCCCAAGAGTAATGCTGTGTCTTGCTTGTGAGCACAGTCCATGTGTCTCTTGTCCTTGGGGCCCCTGAATTTCTGTGGGTGGGAGGTGCAGACCCAAACCCCACTCTGAGGCAGAGCTGGTTCAGGGTCAGGACTTCAGAGTGGGGCAGGCTCCGGCCCTTCCTGGCCCTGCCGTGCTAATGTTTTCTCCCGTGGACAATGGGCACAGAAATACCGGCTTGTGGGGCGTAGTTTGGGCTCAGAGGATGGCTGTGTGCTGGGCACGTGAGGAGGCCCAGAGAGTACTGGGGGGGAGAGTGACCTGAAAATCACCAGTGGGATTTGCTCCCCCAGCAGGGCCCACGCCCAGCTTCCTTTCAGAGACGAGGGGGCAGACAGAACTGAACCTAGAAGGTTTCAGGTCGCATCTGGAGTGAAGCAAGCCCGTCAGAGAAAGACAAGTCCCATACGACCTTCCTCCTGGATGGAATCTAATGAACAAACTGAACTAACAAGCAAAAGAGAAACAGACTCGTAGAGATGGAGAACAGACCAGCAGCTGTTGGGCGGCGGAGATGGGGGGCGGGGTGAGAAAGGTGAAGGGATTAAGCAAAGAAAAAGACTCATACAGACAACAGTGTGGTGACCAGAGGGAAGCGGGTTGGGGAGGTAGAAGAGGGTGAAGGGGGACAAATGGTGGTGGGAGGAGACTTGACTTGGGGTGCTGAACACACAATGCAATGTATAGATGATGTGTTATAGAACTGTATACCTGAAACCTATATAATTATATTAACCAATGTCGCCCCCAATACATTCAATAAAATGTTTGTTAAGAAGGGACAGGAGGCAGGGCTGGATTTGCCCCCCTATGTTACTTGTACCTGGGTCTTCGGTGAGGACCGAACAACCTTGGGCAAGTCATTTTACTCCTCTCTGAAGGCTTTTTTCCCCAGGAGGCTGGACAACTGTTTGCACCTGCCCCCTGTGGTTCTCAACTTCCTTATTTACTAGAGGAAGGAAGAGACCAGGGTCCAGCCTTCAGGGTGCCATTCCGTCCTAAGATTTTAAGTGTGCGCAGGACTCCCAGGTGGGGCTCCCACGCTGGGGGAGGGCTGCAGAGGCCCAGGAAGTGGGAACCTGCGCTGAAGTCTGGGAGGCTGCCTTCTCTCGGATGCCCTCCTGAGAAAGAGGAAACTGTGGTTGACTTAGGCTGAACTGGCCCAAACAGGAACCAGGGCCTCCTGGGGCCCAGGTCGCCAGGAGTCCCTGGCTCTGGGCTTCTGTTTTTCAGGTTGGGTCCCAACAGGGGACGTCCTCAGGGGCAGCTCAGTAACCTGGAGCCTTCCAGCTGCCCAAGGCTGCCTGCTTTCCCCTTTAGAACGTTCCTTGGTGCCAGACATTCTAGGCCTCTGCCCAGCCTGCCCGTCAGAGGTGGCCCAGCCTCAGCAATGGCCTGAGTCACTGGGGGAGCGCCCTGGTAGGTTTCATTAGAGGACAGGCTGAGACGCACCATCACCCACCTTCATCCTGGTCAACTGGGGTTGGACATTGGGAAGGGCCAGTTTATTGTTATTGCCACTGATGATTCCCTGTTATGATTAGGGAAGGAAAGTGTGGTTCAGAGAGGTGAAGTGACTTGTCTGAGGTCACACAGGAAGTCAGCTGGCTGCTGGAGACAGGGATACTTGAGGTCCATGCCTCAAGATAGCACTGCACAATTGTCACAGCCGTGCCCATCCCCCTGTCCCCACTTCCCAGTACACACTCGACTGGGACTCGCTGATGGGCAAAAGCATTTTTAAATGTTTGCATTTCTTTTTTAAAAGCATTTAAAGTCCAATGCTTAATTACATTTCTGGTTCCCGTCTCCTACAAAGAAGGTGGCCCCTCGATCTGCACTGTCCCATAGCCACGGGTGGCACGAGGCCAGTGAGCCCTTGAGAAGTGGGCGTCTGGGTTGGATGTGCTGTGAGCGCAGATACACACTGTACTCCCAAGACTCGCTATGAAAAAACAAAAGAATGCAAGCATCTCTTTCGTCATTTTTATATCCATGATGTGGAAATGATAATATTCCAGGCACAAATGAATCTCACCCGTTTCTCTTCACTTGTCAGTGTGGCTATTAGGACGTGCAGCATGGCATATACGTGGAGCTGCAATTGTGGCCCGTGTCCTAATTCTACTGGTGTGACTGATGCTGCTCGGGGTGGTCCTGCTGCTGGGAGCACGGGGTCACGCTGAGACAGGGGAGCGAGAGCAAGGGGGCAGGATGGCTGTGCCGAGTGGATGCCATTCGCTTCTCAGACATGTTTCCCAGGGAGGCTGCACAGTTGGGCTTGGGAGGTCTGGCCAGACTCAGATGTCTGTTCTGCTGCATTCAAACCTACAGCCAGCCGTGCAAAGCTAGGCCTTGGACTTTGGAACCAGACAGTTCCAATCTCTGCCATTTATTCAGTGTGTGACCTTGGACCAGCTGCTCAACCCTGAGCTTCAGTTTCTTCATCTGTAAAGTGGGGATCCAGCCCAGAACCTCCAGAAAGTCCTTAAGGGGATCAAATAAGGTGAAGTACATGTAGCACCTGACCCAGTATTTGGCACTGTTGGAGTGCAGTAAGTTTAGATGATAAATGTAAGTCATCAAGGCTGTACAATGCATCCCAGAGACCAGGACAGTTTGGTTTTGGGCTAACAGTGTTTGGGATCTGCCCCTTGCCGAGGCCCAAGGTGGTCTCTCCTTGCTTACCTGGTCCTTGGATACACATGGGCAGGTTGGCGGTTGGCTCGTGTGGGCGCGGCGGCCTCGGCAGTGGCTGGGCCCCGCGTCTTGTCAGCCAGGCTCTGCTCGATGGCCATCTGGACCAGCTCATCCTCGCTCAGGCTGCTGTACAGGCTGTACTCCTCGTTCCCGATGGCGCGCTGTTCGCCCGGAGTGCTCACCTCTGTGGCCATCCTCCGAGCCTCTGGCTCTGGCCTCGGGGGGAGACCCTCAGTGGGGAGGAGGAGGCAGCCAATCAGAAAGCCCTGTGAGGAGACCCAAACCATCCTGGTCACCAACAACACCGCAAGATAGCTACGTTTACCTGCTGAGAAGGCTGCACTATCTTCTGGCAACTGCACACTTTTTACCCATTTGTTGTATTACGGGATCACCTAATCATTTGTTTGTCTGCCCATGCCCCCACTCATCTACTCGCCAGTCCACCCACCTATCAACCACCCATCCCACCATTCACCCATCTGACCAGCTATTCATCCCCCCATGCATCCATCTGTCCACTTATCCATCCACTTATCCAACCATTTGATCACCTATCTGCACAATCATGCATGCCCCTATTCATCTGCTTACCTATCTGTCTAATCACCCAACATCCGCCCATCCCTCTGTTATTCACCCTTTGATCGTTCCATCTGTCCACCCACCCATCTGTTCTCCATCCGTCCTCCCATCCATCCCACTCTGCGTCTGGCCAACCATCTGCTCATCCGCCATTCTCTCTCCCATTCCAGACAGCCTCTGCATACGTGTGCCCAAACTTCATTAATGGAGAGGGCACTCACTGAGCACCCACTCTCTGTCGGGCACCCTTCCAAGCACTGGTGATACAGCAACGGCCCCTGACAGATAAAAATCCCTGCCCTCGTGGCGCTTACACAACAGCGCTCACACTCCTTCCCTCCGATTGGCCAACAGCACCCCATCCTGGCACTTTGCTGTTCCTCTGCCCCGTGCTGGGGCTGAGAGTGCCAGGGACAAGTCGGACACAGGCCTGTTACTTAAAACCCCAGGGTCTAGTTAAAATCAATTGTTAAAATAATTTGCCATGTTAATTCCAGGGAAGAAAGAAAGAAAGAAAGAAAGAAAGAAAGAAAGAAAGAAAGAAAGAAAGAAAGAAAGAAAGGAGGGAGAGAGAGAAAGAAAGGGAAGAGAAAGAAAGAAAAAAACAAACAAACATAAAAACTGCCTCAAGGAGATATGGACTCTGGTTGAGTCAAGTGCTTTTAGGAAGTAAAGTAAAATCGGCTCAGCCTGATTTTCTCTTTGACTGGCTGACATGCAGCGTGACTCTGGGTCAGTGGTTCTTAGCCCTGGCTGAACATTAGCATCACATGAGGTTTTTTGAAAATACCAGTGCTATAATATGGTTTGCTTGACAAATATTCACCCCTCTCCCTGGAGGCAGAGTTTCCTTCCCTCCCCATTGAAATTTGGCTTGACCGTGGACTTGCTCTGGCCAGGGAATGTGGTGGACACGATAAAGCAGCCTCTTGCTTGACTTGTGCTTGCGCCGTGGGGCTTGCTCTTCTGCCATCGCTAAGAGAAGAGCGCCCCCTGGAGGCACTGCCCTGTCCTGGGCCCCAGAGTGAACCCACCTCTGGCAGCCTGAGCCCCACCTGCACAGAGGAGCCCCGCCCAGCAGGGCCTGCACTGGAAGCTGAGCAGCCTAGGTCAGCCTGCCTGCAGCAAACCTGCAGCCCCAGAGCATGGGAATAAATGTTCACTGGGGTGTTTTGCATGCAGTGTCTTCACAAAGAGGACAGCCCCATGGCTGATAACCAGACGTGAGGGTGATTAACTTACTAACACTTTGGGGGAAATTCGAATTAAGACCCCAGTGCGGCACCACTGCACACCCACCAGAATGGCCCAGGCGGAAAGATGGGAAGCAGCAAGTGTTGTGAAGGACGTGGAGCAACCAGGGTGCCCTCTCCGTTGGCAGGGGTGTCGAAAGGTGAAACCAGCCGGAAAACCAATGGGATTTGCTAACACTGAACATCCCATGTGCGGTGACTCCCCAGTTCCACTCCTAGCTCTGTGCCCAAGGGAATTATGTACATATGTCCACCGAGAGACAAGTTCAAGAATACTGGTAGTAGCACTGTGTTATTCATAATAAAACCTATTGAATGCTCCCCAGATGTCTATGAACATCTGGGTAGATTGCTACATTGTGTGTATTCATGTAAAGGGTAGTACACACTGATGAAATAGACACACTGCCACTACACAGGAGATGATGAGTGTCACCGGCCACAGTGAGCAAAAGAAATCAAATAACAATGAACATAGACACAGGATTCAATTTACATGAGGTTCAAGGGCAGGCAAACCTGGACTGTGGTGCTGGAAGTCAGACTAGTAGCTACATTTGGCAGCACTACAGTGCTGGGTGACCTCGGCGAGTCCCTGTCATTGCCTGGGCCTCGGTTTTCTTATTGCAAAAGGAGGATTTGGACTCACAGGTTTCCAAGAGCTCTTCCAGGTCTAGCTTCTGCATCTCACTAAGATCCCTGGTTTAACACTGTGCTATCCGAACCCCAAATTACTGTCCCTGGGGGTCCCCAGTGGCAACCTCAACAGGTTCGCTGTATGTGCAGAGCTGAGCATTGTCCCTGAGGGAAGAGGGAACCGGGCAGGAGTGGAAGGATCTTAGATATGGATGTCGGGAACTCTCAGGTCTAGTTTCAATTCTGCAACTTCCTAGCTGTGTGACCTTGGTCAAGTCACTTCCCCTTTCTGGACCTCATTCCTTTATCAGTAAAAATAGGAATGAGACAACCCACTTCCCCATGGTGTCAGAACAATTCATGAGCTGTGACATGTGTGGGCAGCTTATAGGGCTAAAGCAAGCAGTTGATGGGGACACCTCCATCCCCTCACCCTGTGGCTGCTGTTGGCCCTGCTATGGGCTGGTCAGAGGCTTATGGACAGCACTCCACTGCTGTGCCCTCCCCTGACCAGATGCTAAGGGAAGTAAAGGTGGCCAGCTAATGGTCGCCTGGAGCAGCCAGTCTCCAGCAGCCAACCGCAGACTTGCCAGGCCTTCCCTCACGTCCAGGATGGTGTTCAGAGCCTTTTCCATTTATCAATAATTTCGTGGCATTGCCCTGACAACAGCCCTAGAAGGGAAGAACATTTTTTATCGAATTAACTTATTGATTCTTCAACCCCACCACTCCTCCCACGAGGAATCGATGCTCCCATTTTACAGATGAGGCATTTAAGGTCTGGGGAGGGAAGGGAAGGGTTTGCACGAAGACCGACGGCTGGAAAGATGGGATCTGGGGCCCGGACTTCCTAACTCAAATCCAGCACTCCTTCTGGGAATTCCAGGAACATGGATCCAAGTACCTGGCACACGCAGCATGTGCAGACAGGCTGCATACACATGGGGTCTGAGCAGATGGGCATCCTGGTCCCGCCAGGCCACCTGGCCTACACCTGTGCCGTGGGCACCAACCACATCACGGTCTCAGCCCATACAGGTGAACAAGGTGAGGGCTGACCTTGAAGAGACCTTGAGGGAGAGGGCCTACCCCACAGTGAGCTCAGCCATTTCTTTTTTTCCCCACGAGATCCTCCGTTTTTGAGGGTCCCTGGGTAAGTTGCCCATCTCTGGAATCCTTATGCGCAGAATGGAGACACTAGTAGTAAGTGCTATTATTTTAGGGTTGGCGGTAGAACCAAGAGGGCTCAGTGTGCACAGGCTTAGTGCTGGGACTCACGTGACACCAGGCTGCTTCGGGGGGGGGGGACTCCCACCACTGAGTCTACGCAGTTGATGGCTGGGGTCTCTGCCAGGGACTGGGGGCCTCTCTCCAGGGGCAGATGGGGCAGTTCAGCCTTAGCACAAGTGGACAGTTATGAAGTCACCTGTGGGGTCAGCTTGACCAGGTTCAAATCACAGCATTACCGTTTATTAGCTGTGTGACCTCTCAGAATCTCAACTTCTCCACCTGTCAAATGGGTATAATAACGAGTCCTATGTCATGGTGAGGTAAGGGTGGGGCAGGAAATAGAGACCCTGGGTGATGCCTTCCCCCTCTTTTGACCTCAGTTTCCCCTCATCTTCATTCTGCCCAGCTTGATTTCTGAAGCCTCTGCTTAGGGGCTGGGCCAGGTTCCAGGCCTGAGTCCTGGAGAGAGGCCAGCACTCTCAAGGGCCCTCTGGCAGGCTGATGGGGACAAAAAATAGCCTTTCCCAGGGAAAGGAGAAAGCAGCAGGCTTTGACCGCAAAGGGGGCGGTGCTCAAGAGTGGCCAGCTCGGGGTGCAAGAGCAGGGTGGGGCCGCTCATGGAGCCTCAGGGACTCCTCTTTTGCCTCCTTCGTAGCATCCCAAATGTTGGTTCCAGGGGAGTCCCCACCTCTCCCAGGTGGCATCTGTAAAATGAGGACAGCAGTGGCTGTGACCGGCTTCCCTGAGTTAACACATGAAAGCAATCAGAACAGCGTTCTTTGAAGTTGAGCCTCAGTTTCTTTATCTGTGAAATGGGCGTAGATACATGGGCCCCCGCTGAGCTGCGGTGAAGGTTAAATAACAGTGTTCGAAAAAGCAACCCTTCCTCCCCACCAGTTTCTTCCCTTCCCCTCTCAAATCTGGACCCACCCACAGCCAGGGTAGTGGGTTCTGGCCTCAGCAGGTGGGGTCTCTGAGGCTCTTTAGGGGGCTTCAATGGAAGAAGTGGCTTGCTGGGTGTCTCATAAAAAAATTGAGAGTAGGGAACAGGGCTGAGAGGTGGGGAACAAGAATGGACTGGCAGCCATGCTCCAAGACACCAAATGCCCCCTCAGCCAGGGACTTGGGTCAGGAGTGTGAGCCTGGACAAGCCCCTTCCTGTCCTCAGACCGTTTGTAGGTGGAGGCTGCTGGTCCCCCTTTCCATCCTTCTCCTTTCTCCCCTCCTCTCGCCTCCCCTTCACTCTCCTTCCCTTCCCTGCCGGGTCACCTGGCCAGCCATCTTTCCAGATTCAGTTCATGCATCTCCTCCACCAGGAAGCCCCCCTGATTTGATGGCTGAGGCATCTTGAGCTGTGTCCAAGGGCACCACTTGCATTCTGTTGCTATTAACTGGTCTCCCTACAGAGTCGGAAAACTTCTGAACAGTTTATATATACTTACCTATCTGCCTATCTATCTATCTATCTATCTATCTATCTATCTATCTATCTGTCTAAGGCAGTCCTAACAACTGGCGGCTTAGCCTCGCCTGGGCTACGTGAAGAAACAGGGAACTGACCTGGGCTGTTCCTCCACCCCGTGGTCCTTGACCCTATTCCCTGGAATGCCCGAGAAGTTTATGTTGAAGCTTATCTTTCGGGCCTGCCATTCCCCAGGATCCATGGGGTCCTGAGGAGGCTGAGGAGACGCTGTTCGCTGGAGGGCGAACCAAAGACGTGCTCTTGTCCCTTCCTGGACTTACTGCTTTAAAACCTAAGCCGTAAACATAGCTGGTGCCCATGGCCCCTGCACTATTTCTGGCTGCTTTCCTGTACTGTACCATTTGACCTTTTTAATCCCCAGCAGGTAGGAGAATAAGATTCTTCCCATTGGCCAGGTGGGAAGACTGAGGCCCAGATTGTAAGTGGCAGAGTGGGTGGAGACCAGGCCTACCTGCTTCTCTTGGCATCAGACCCTCTGACAACGAATATATGAGCCGTGGCCAGGGGTCAGTTACTCTGGAAGTTTCTGCTCTGGCTAATGGGTGAGCCGACCTTGGGGGAAGGGAGAGTGGAATCCAGTCCACCTCACTTGACCACCACCCCTGGACCCCACAGAATGGCCCACGTCAAAGTCCCAGGCAGGCTTCTGCCGGGGGCAGTCCTGGCTGGGCCTCTGCTGCTGAGGTCCAGGGCCTCACAGCTGCTGGGCATTTAAGCCTTTTGTAAGGCCTCTAAAGATGCTAAAAAGCTCCTCCCAGCATCACTAATCCCAGACTTTGATGCTGGTTACAAGCTCTTAACTTCTCTCAGGCGCCAGGACCTTAGGCTCCTGAGCTTGGGCCAGGGTTGCTGGATGTTCTGGGTGGGGGAGGTGAGGGGGTCTGCTCAGGGCTGCAAGCCTCAGCTGACCCCACAATGCAGGTTCATCTCCCTGTTGGCTGGAGGGGAAGCTGAGGCCCAAAGAAGAATCATGACTGGCCCAAGGTCACCCAGGAAGGAGGTGATGGCCAGGGGTTTGAACCTGTCCAAAGCTGGCTCTGCTCCTTCTCCCACTCTGTGCCTATTGTAGCTGGGAGACGAGGTAAAGATGGGGGGAGGGGGGCAGGTCGGGGGAAAGGGCATCGACCCAAGACTCCATCCAAAATGGAGTTGCTGTGAGTACCAGCTGAGAAAAACGCCCATGAATGTCAAGTTTCCATTTTATTTCTCTGGGCCCCAAGCTGTCGAATCTCCTGGCCCATGGGTCACCTTAACCTTAGCCCCAAGTGGAGGACACCTCTCTCCCCTCCTGGCCCCAGGGATCTGGGCCAGCACAGCTACCCCTCCCACGCCTCTCCTGGTCCATCTCCCCGTCTTTCTCCTTCTGCAGCCAGACCCATTCATGGGCTCCGGCCACATGCAGGTCTCGACACAGGATTTAGACCCCTGACCCAGCTTGTGCCCAGGGCCCGGGGAATGCCAGGCCCCACCACCTGTGCCAACAGCCTGGGATGGGAGTGAGGAGGGACCGGGCTTGCTGGTCCAGGGTGAGCTTCCAGCAGCGCTGCCCCTTTCTCCTGCCCTCATAGCCCCAGTGCAGTGCCCCCAGCCCTGTTCTGGGCAGGAGGACAGTAGGGACCCTCGCCTTGGCCCCTGGACAGCAGAAGGTTCTGGAAGCTCTAGCTCCAGACTGCAGTGTGGGAGGGCCTGGGTGGGGTAGGCAGGGGTGCCCTCCCCAGACCCCTCCTCACCCGGGCCCAACCGCGGGGCTGGCTGTAAATCTTTAAATTGAGATCACACGAAAATCATCTAAGATCTTTCTCCTTTCTGTCCCCACCTTATCCGCCCTTAGTTAAATCTTTTCTTCTCTTCTTCCTTATCTCCTCTCTCTTTCCACCCCTCCCTTCTGTGTCCTCTTCTTTATAAAGTTCAGGGAGGTTCAGACTCACTTATTTTTATATCACCACTGCCTTCCCCAACATTTCTCTCAACCACAGAGCTCTGAATGGCTTCATTCATTCTCCTAGGCATTAACTGGTCCAAGAGATGGTGCTAAGGATGAGAAGTAAAGATACCAACCAGTCCTGTGACAGCTGCCTCCTCCAGGCAGCCTGACCCTCAGCAGCTTGGACACAGGAGGGTGTTGATCAGGTCCAGAGATATTTTTGGGTCTCCTTTGGGAAGGTGCTCCTGGATCTAGCCTGGACCTGATCTGTAGGCATGTTAGGACACCCGGACAGTGCCAGGGACGGGTCTTTTTACTGCTGTGTCGGTCCCCTGAGAGGCTGCCGGGGGCCTTGGCTTTGAATGTGGGCACTGGTGGCTAATAGACCAAGAGGCCAAGGTTTCATTTCCAGCCTCAACACCTCCTAGCTGTCTGGCTTTAGGAAATACCCTTGATCTCTCAGACCCTCAGTTTCCACGTCTGGAAAATGGGAGTGACACCCCTCTCTAACCCACAACACCGGCGGGAAGAGTCGCTGAGAGACACCGCCACAAGGTCGGGGCCCTGTGCCGGGCTGGTAGCAAGGGCTTGGTGAACGGTCATGGATGCCGATCGTGTTAGGATCCATTGTATGGTCACCAGGGGCGGGTTACATGGGGCCCCTACCCCAGAGTGGAGAAAGAGGACCCCCTCCCCCACAGGGCACTCACAGCCTGGCCTATTTGTGCAAGAACGAGTGATGCAACCAGCCCGGTGGAGGCCCCTGCCAGCCCCCGAGGCGGGTGTGCCATAAACAGGCCTGCCGCCAGCTGTTGGGACCCATCTAACTGTTGTGACAGTGGCTGGAGCATCTGCCCCTGGCTGCCTCCCTGCGCTTTGCTCCAGGCCTCCGAGGGCAGACGTCGGGGCTGGGGCCGGTGTGCTGGGGTCGGTGTGCTGGCCCCGCTGGCTCAGCCGGGACCCCTGTGAGCTCCCTCCAGGGCCAGCCTCGTGTGCCAGCTTTCCCTTCATTGAGGTGGCTCTTCTGTCCCATGCAGCAGTTGGGACGGGCTCGGCCCCACCCAGCCTCAGGTCTCCATCATTTACCTGTTTGCCCTAACAGCCACACCTTACTGCCTCCTCATTCCAGTCTATTACCTTGGCTTCCTGAAGTCAGATCCCGCCTGCCCTTCCTCTGCTCAAGAACAATCAGATTATGTCCTGACCGGTGTGGCTCAGTTGGTTGGAATATCACCTTATAAACCAAAAGGTCGTGGGCTTGGTTCCCAGTCAGGGCCCACACCTGGGTCATGGGGTTTGAACCCCGGTTGGGAACTGCATGCGAGAGGCGACAGACCAATGTTTCTCTCTCACATAGATGTTTCTCTCCCTCCCTTCCCCTCTCTCTAAAATCAATAACCGTGTCCTTGGGTGGGGATAAAAAAAAACCCAATCAGATGTGTTCCATCTTCTTGACTGGCCTGGAGGGGTCTGCCTCTGCCTCCAGCTCCCCCTCCCAGATTCACCCCCACTTCTGACCTCCGAGGGCTTTTGCTAGAGCCACACGGCACTATCAACAAACACCCAGGCCCGCCCGACTGTCTGCCTTGGCCGAGCTGTCCCTCCACCTGTAAGTCCCTCTCCCTGCCCTTCTGCCTGGTGACATCCCTTCCATCCTTTCAAAAGCCCTCTCCTGGTTGAACGTGCCCTCGTATTTACACACACACACACACACACACACACACACACACGCACACACACTGTATCCTTGCACCTCTGCATTCCCATGTAGCATTTCCCCTTGCTTACACTGAGCTATGGTGTTTGTTTCCAAATTCTGTTTCCTCTCCCAAACCCCAAGCCATTGCAGGCACAGCCCATGGCAACTTGGTGGCTCTTGTCCCCAGGATACTGGGCACACACAGGCGCTCCATAAATGTCACATGAAATGGATGCACCCATGCGTGACAGTATCTATTCACCCAAAACAAAAGCGTTTCCGAAAGTCATTTGTCTGATACATATTGCCCAAGGCCTGCCAACCAACAATGGCATCATTGAAAACTCCCTCTGCATTTCCATTTTTAGACGTGCACAGCAGAGTGATTTCTGAACAAGAGTCGTCCCCGAGAACGGATAAGCACATGCAAACGGCTGTCCCCCAGATCCGAGAGGACAGTCACTGGCACGGTTTCTAACTCCAAAGGACAGGAGAGGGAGACGCAAGAAAGTAGCTCGACGAGAAGCGGCTCTGAATACGCCGGCCCAGCAGCCTCGCTCCAGGTTTGCACAAGGAAGTTGAAAGCATGCGTTACCTGCTAGGCTCGGAAACAAGGGCACCGTTCGGGGGGAAAGACAGGATTTTCCCGAGAGTGTCTTAATTCAGCACATGCTCCCCGAGCGCTCCTTCCGCCCGGGCCCTGAGCGCCTGGCTGCTCTGCCTGGCAGCTCGGAAACGCTCTCCCTTGAAGCAGGGAGTTTATTTCGGGCCCACCGCATGACCAATGATAGCAAGCCAAAGTATAAGATGTTATGAATCTCAGATTTCCTGTTTGGAGACTGCAGAGGCAGCGGCTGTGGTCCTGCCTTCAGCCCCTCCAGGGTGCACCGGCCCCGCACTTTGCTTCAGCGAGCACCTCGGAGCGTTGGCCCTCACGTGACGTCACCATTTGGGATCCTTGACATGGAGGCCATATATGGGTATGTTTCTGGAAGTACCCAGGGGGGAGCGAGAGGGGAGAGAGCAGCAGAGGGTGAGAGACAGAGTGACAGGGAAACAGACTGGAGGGACAGAATGGAGGTGAAGAGACAAGAGTGAGGGTGGGAGAGGTGATGAGAGGAAAGAAAAGAGGAAAAATGAAGACGATGGAGAGAAAAAAGGGAAAGGAAGAGGCAGAAAGCAAGGATTAGGAATAAATGGGGAGAAGAAAGAAGAAAAGACAATTAGGAAAACCAGGGAAGACAAAGAAAGAAAGAAATTTTGACCAGTTAAGAGATGAAAAGGGGATACCCTGACTGGGGTAGCTCAATGGATGGAGCGCAGGCTGCGAACCAAGGGGTCACCAGTTCGATTCCCAGTCAGGGCACGTGCCTGGGTTGCAAGCCACGTCCCCAGTGGGGGCCACGTGAGAGGCAACCACACACTGATGTTTCTCTAACTCTCTTTCTCCTTCCCTTCCCCTCTCCCTAAAATAAATAAATAAATAAATAAATGAAAAGGGGGGGAAAATACAGTAAAAGAGAAGAAGGAATAAGATAAAGACAGCATGGATGGGAGAGGAGAGAGGGACGGAAGAGAAATCAAAGGAAGGAGGGGAGACGGGTGGGTGGGAGAGAGAAAGAAGGGGGACTGAGAGACAGTGTTGGGGGGAAGGAGAGAAGGCAGGAAGGAAGCTGGACTAAGGGAGAGAGAGGGAAAGAGAGGGGAGCAGGGAGGAAAGCATTCAGGGTAAATGGCCTTTACAGAAATCTCTGGGAGTGTAGCAGGTGGCAGAGCCGACAGCTGGAGGTACCAGGGACCCAGCTGCTGGATGCTGTGAAATGGGGCTGGAGGCACAGAGGGTGGGGGAACAAACAAACAGGCAAACAGGCATGGGGGGCAAGCCCTGGGCAGAGGCATGCAGCGGGGGGTGGGGGGAGCTCTTCCCCCAGGGATGGGGGAGAATATCCCCTGTTTCTGCAAGAGAGCAAATGGCATGTGACGTCAGTGCCAAAGGGCAAAGGCAACACACACAGGCACATGCTGAGCAATCTAGGGGCTTACCTGCCCACACGTGCGTCTCGGGTCACAGAGTCCATTCCTCTCAACGGGAAGGAATTCAGTTTCAAAGGTCCATTCCCCTCGGAGGATTTATGATTTCCTGCCCATTCAAATGACTTCTTACCAACTCAAACTCAGTAGAATTCAGGATGCCTTTAAACTCACATGGAATATTCCACTGGAAAATAAATCTCAGTGAATACAGGGTTCCCTGGGGTCAGGCCAAGGTTCTGGAAGTCGGACCTGGTACTGAGGACAGGAGGACAGCATCTGTCCCTGGCTGTCCCCCAGCCACTCTGGCACCTGCTGAACTGTGCATCTTTCCAGCTGGGATAGTCCCCTCAAGGTTAGCTCAAGCTCAGCCCCTCCCGGACCATGTGCCATGGTAAGGATATGAAAGAAGGGTGGAGAGGGGCCGTCGGATGCTCTGTGCTGTTTGGGGATTTTCCCTGGCAATAGAAGTTCTAGTGGAGTGTGTCCCTGGGGTCCTGCTGCTTCAGCGGCTCCCTGCTGGGGGTGGGCTTGGGCCCCCTGCTCTCTCTGTCGCCGGCCCCTCTCTCTCAGGTGGCCCTCTGCCTTTTCTCTCCCTCCCAGGCCAGACAAACCTCTGAAAGTCAACAGAACTGAAGAAACTCACTCTCTGAACCTTGTTGACATATCCCTGGACTCAGCTCTTGCAAATCAAGAGCCCAAATTGTGGGTGAAGAGTCACAGGGAACGCAGACGACAAAGGGGGGACTGGCCAGGCACACTGACTGGTAGGTGACAACGTCATTCCTGCTGTGCTCACACGGCCTCCCCAGCAAGTGCCATCATCACTTCACGGATGAGTGAAGTGGCGAGGCTCAGAGAGGTTGGGGAGCGTGTCCATAGCCCCACAAGGGCTGGTTTACACCTGAACCAGGTCTGCCTGCCACAAGGCCAATGCTTTATCCACAGCTCTGCCCCCCGTGTCACAGGGGATCCTGATGTGGGGGCAGAACTAGGGGTCTCACCAGCCTACGAATACAAATTGGTGACTATGTGCTTTTCCCCTGGCCCTTAGCTCAGCCCACCTGGGAGGCCTGGTGCTGAGGGTGCAGAGCCTGACAAAGGCAGGCTGGCCCAGCGGCTGGCATCCCAGGTGACTCGCCTCCACCAGGAACAGGTGGGGCTAATTCGGGGCCAATTCTGACTGTGTGTTGCCACATCCACTTCTGCCTCCGAGATTCTGATTTCACTTGTGAGAGTCAAGGCCTGAACAACAGTGACCTCCAGCACCTGGTATTCAAGTGTAACACACCCCCGCCCACAGGAAAGCGTGCACAGTGCGCGGTTCTATCAGTTTTCACAAACCGAACAGATCCAGCATCCAAATCTACTGAAGAGGGAATATTACCAGCTCCCTAGTGCCTCCCTTTCACTCCTGTCCCCATCTCCACTCCATCACCCACCAGCTCCTGCCGAGGGGGACCACGCTCCTGACCTCTGGGCACACAGGTTTTTCCAAAGTTCGTGCCTTCTTCCATTCAACAGCGCACTGCGCTCATCCTTGCTGCTCCAAGTAGCTGAGGACTGGCCCTTCTCACTGCCGCATCGTGTTCCGGGCTACGCACATGTCACAACCTACTATTCCACTGCTGGTGCACATTTGGCTAGCTCCCAGTTTGGGGCAATTAGGCATGCTCAAGTATGCTTCTTCTGGTGAACACGTGTACCGATTTCTGGTGGAAGACACCTGAGAGGGGCCTTGCTGGGTCACAGGACAGGCAGCAAGGTGTGCTCAGCTTCAGTTTAACTGCCAGGCGGTTTTCCTAAGTGGCTGTAAACTGCCGTCCCCACCAGCTATGAGTAAGAGTTCCAGGCGCTCACATCCTCCCCTTGGTGTTTTCCATCTTTCTTCATGGAGTCCGCTCTGGTGGGCATTCGTGGCATCTCGTTGCAGTTTTACTTCACATGTCCCCGATGGCAAATTATGTCAGGCATCTGAGAAGCCCTGGCCTCAGTGATCTCTGGAGACCTTCCAGGGTCCCCAAGTTGGTGCAGGCCCCAGAGGTGGTCCTGTGGTCCAGGTGTCCAGGGAAGGCGTTCATGGGGACAGAGAAAGGTAAATGAGGGACAGGTGCAGAGGCAGAAACCCAACCACTGGTTGGCCTGCATGGGACCACACATGGGCCCTGAAGGGCTCTGCTCCCCGAATCCTAACTAGAACCCCCCTCCCTCACTCTCTAGCCCGCTTTACCTATTACGTGTTTGTTTGTCATGAGCTTATTGCCTGTCCGTCCCATGTAGAATAGTCGTTCTGGTCACTGCTGTCTGTCAGTACCTACAACAGTGCCTGGCACATAGCAGGTGCTCAGTAAACAACTGTTGCATGGGTGCGCTCACACTTGGGCCACACAGCTCCTGGGTGTGATTTCGGGAGGGCTGTGGCGCTGTCTGCCAGCCTTTGCTTGGCCGTTGGCCATACAATCCTGCACGCACACACCAGGCTTTTCCTTCTTGCTTACTTTCATCTGAATTCCCATGAATAAAAGGGGGAGTGTGTGTGTGGGTGTGTGTGTGCTGGGGGAGCTGTTCACTGAGCCCCACAACCAGTAAGGCCCAGAAAGGGAGCCACACCCTGCACATTTTCCTTATGAGGTGACACCTCTTCCAAGGAAGGGGGTTGGGGGTGGAGCTGGGGTTGGGGGGTGGAGCTGGGATTGGGGTCCATGCCAAGAGCTGGGACTGCTTCAACCAAGTAAAAAAAAATATCACTGGCTAAAATAAGCACCCCTCCAGTCCTGGGCCCTGGCCCCCAGCCCTGGCCGCCTCTTGTATCAGTTTATTTTGGTTTTAATAGATGAAGGGGAACAGACAAGACAGCGGCAGTGCACTGGAGGGGAAGGACGGCCAGCAGACCTCGGGGGAGGGGGGAGAGGACGCACAAAGGCCCCAAGTCCTGGGAGGGAGGGAGGGAGGGAGGGAGGGAGGGAGGGAGGGAGGGAGGGAGGGAGGGAGGCAGAGAGAAGTCCCCATTTCTCTCCTTTCTTTAAAATGAGCCCTGTGCTCTCTGGGGTGTGGTGGACGGACAGTGTCTTTCTTCTGGGACTTTTAGAACCCTGCCCATCCCCCTCCCCCACCTCCCAGCCTAGAGGTCCGAGGCAAACTCCAGGGAGAGAAGAGTGTTTTCATTGAAGGTGAGGAGAGTTCGGGCATAACTTTTGCCCCTCTGGCAGGAGAGAAGGCCAGGCCAGCTGCATGCCCCATGGCCCCCCAGGTGTGGGGGTCACACCACTGGGATGACTCATCACCAACAGCAGGGCCCCCTGGGACCAGAGCACTGCTGGATCCTGGCCCCATTCTCTCCAACACCCTGCATGCGTGCAGAGGGCGGAACAGTGGGGCCTTGATCGGGGTTTTCACCACCATTAGCAGATCCCAGGTGCAAATTCCTTCGTGGGACACTGGGCTCTTGCAGCCCTGGGTCACATCTGACTGTCCAGACTAGAGTGGCCAGGACAGAAGGAAAGGGCCACGCCTCAGTCAACATCACTGTCTCGTGAGCTAAATGCCACTTTCTCTGGTGGGAATCTACAACCATCCCCGCCTGCGCACTGAGTTATCCTGCCCCAGGGGCAGAGTGGGAGCCTCGAGGTCCCTGCTGGGGCTGCAGCCTGCGGTCGGAGCCATCTGCAGGGGAAGCCCTGGCCCCAGAGCTGTCTGTCTGTGAGCCCTGACTTTCTCCGAGCGTCTCGCCCCTGGAGGTGCCCTGGGCCTCGTGGCGACACGCTAGGCCATGCCTGCCAGCCCTGTGCAGACATCTTCCTTGCTGGGAGGTGCCGCCCACGTGCAGGCACAATTGGCCCCGCCTTGTCCTGTTCCCAGCATGGGCACCGGTGTCAGATAACCCGGTTCATTCCACGCTTGCTGCAGCCCATGCGACAGCTGGGGACCTTCCTGAATCTCAGTTTCATCTTCGAAGGTGCGGGGGTGGGGGGACAGTGACAACCCCCTCCCTCATGGCTGTTACAGGGGTTCAATGAGATCCTGGGGCTCACACGGCCCACCAGGGGCCTAGAACTCAGGAGACACAGACCCGTGGGACGTCCTCCACCCCGCCTGTGGGGGCCTGAGTGGAGGAGGCAGTGCCTGTGGGTCAGGTGGGTCTGGATCTGACCTGGAGACCCCAACCCCTGTGGGCCAGCTGGTTCACTTGGCTTCTCTGTGGCTTGATCTCACTGCGCCGAAGTCACCCACTGGAATTTGGGAACAAAGTTAGACCCAGCGTGGCCCACATGCCCGAGTGGGAGACATCCCACATCCCTGCTGCTGGGAGCAGGTTTTGCATGAACGTAGACATGCTTAGAGTGGACCTGGAGGGAAAGACAGGGTTGCAGCAGTCCCACCCTCCTTCCCGGGGAGCAGCCCCTGGCCATGGGGACACCGCATGTCCTGCTGGGTGCCGGGGCTCCTGGCTGGCCCTTGGTCCTCCGGGCAATGCTGGGGGGGGCCACATCGCAGTCCGTTGCCTCCATAACTGTGGCAGAGGAGAGAAGGCAGAGGCCCTGGAACGCAGTCCCTGGCCCGGCCACTGTGGAGACACAGCTCACAGAGAGCGAAGTTGCTGCTCCAGATAGGCAGCTGTCACCCATTTGGCACCTGTACAGTGGCACCCAGCTGAAGGGAGGCTGACTGCTCTCAGGCCTCAGCTTTCACCTTGGCCTTGCTCCTTGGGGAATCCAAAGCAGGCCGTGTTGTGACAGTGCAGAGGTGTCAGCCAGACCTGGCAGTCTGGGCAAGGCCCTACACTAGCTGTGGTGGGGAGGGCCAGGGTTTGGGTGTGCAGCCACGCTGGGCATGCAGCGGGCAGATTGGGGTGCTGGCATCAGGGGGTGGGTGGGATGGGCAGATGCCCAGATTTGCCAGCCGACTGGGGACCCAGGCCATACGTGGCCATCATGTGAGGGAAGCCCTTCTGGGACTTGCCAGAACTCTGTGATGGTGACACCCCCGTCCACAAAACCTCTGACCCCACTGGGCTGGAAGGGAAGAGAACAAAGATGGTCAGAGCACGCAGGGGCTCGGGGTCCATCTGCTGCAGCGTGCTTCTTCTGAGGAAAGGGAAACTGGGCCTGGAGACAGAGAAGACCTTGGCCTGGCTTCGTAGAAGCCACGGATTCCAGAAATTCACTACGGTTTTTCCGTATCCCCCGCCCAAGCCTACAGGGTGATCCCAGTGGCTGACAACCCCTTCACGCCGTACACTCTAGAGCCCAAGGTGTTGGAGCAATTTGCCGGAACCCCACCACACCGGAGGTGGGCGGGCCCGGAAGACAGGCAGCACTTCCTCCTGGGCACATTTAAGATGCCTGCTGCCCCTGGAGACTCCCAGAAATGCTTGGCAGTGCGGGGTTACAGTGGACCACAAGCCCTAGTGCTCAGCTTGAGACTGCAAGCAGGAGCAATTGGGGTGTCAATGTCATTGTGTCTGCTTGTTCCCCTTCCCAGAAGTCAAGCTAGGGTCACTCCCAGCAAAGGCTCGCTGGTAAGGTGCTTGACTGCTCCAGATGTCCCTGTGGAGCCCAGTGGCCAAGAGCCCAGACTGGAGTCACCCGCCAGCTCTGCCATTTGAAAGCTGTGTGACTTTGGAAAACTTACTTAACCTCTCTGAGCCTTGGCTTCCTAATCTATAAAATGAGGGGAAGTGACAGTACCCATGTCTCATAGGAAGGTTGCAACGATTAATATATATTATATAAACATATATCTTAGACTAAAGACTTACAGAATGGTAAGGGTTGTTACTACCTTAAATATCCTGATAGAAATGAAGAGGATGGTGGTCAGTCAGAAACAACGGTTCTTAACTGAGGACACTTCCCCCCAGAGTCAGTGGACAATTCTTGGAGACATTTTTTGGTAGCTATAACTGAGGACGGGGTTTGCTACTGGCATCAAGTGAGTCCAGGCCAGCGATGCTTCTACTCTATCATGTACAGGGTCCCCCTCCCCCTGCCCTACAACGGGGAGTTAATGGCCCAATTGTCCACGGTGCCACCGGGGAGAAAGCCCAGCTGGAGGTGGGGCGGGTAGTGGGAGGAGGCCTTGTAAGCAGAACAGAGTCTGCACTGAGTGGGGCAGGGGGTGGGGCGCTGGTGCTCTCTTTCTATCACTGAAGACACCTGTGGATTTCAGGGCCAGCTGCTGTTGGGGGGGGGGTGGTGGTGCGGGTCTAGGTGTTTGGATTTCAAATGCTTGTGACTGCTACAGGGATGGCTTGTTGAACAGGGCTTGTCACCAGTCCCGAAGGTCACGAGCAAAGGGAAATGCAGCCGGGGTTTGAACAGAGCAGAGTGGATAGGCTCAGCGGTCACCATGAAGGTTGGAGTTTCTCCATTAAGCAGAAAAAAGGGGGGGCCCTGGCGGGTCTCTGCCCCGAGAGGGACAGGCCCCCTGCTGGAGCTGGTGCGTGCACATGCACAAGTGTGCACAGGCACAAGCACCCACATGGGCACGGAGGATGCTTATATCCCTGGAATAGCTTACATTCTTGTCAGGAAATGAGATGAATGTGATATACCAGTTGGTGAGATAGTTGGCAAATGAAGAACTCTTACAAAAATAAGAACTGTTGAAGTCTTTTGTTTTCTAAAAGGTCTCCATTTCTTTTTTGGTGCACATGTGGGGCGAGAGGCGCCTGACACATTAAAAGAGCTGGGGCCTAGCCACCAAGGTGCCAGTCTTGGTCCTTCCGGAAAGTTCTATGGAAATTGTTTTCCTGCCTGGAGCCCCAAGAAAAGGAGGAAGGGGCTGCATCGTGTGGCTGCCAAGAACACAGGCCCCAACAAACTCAGAGTGCCCTCACCCCCGACTGAGCGGCTACACGCTGCTGCCCCCACCCATCTCTCCTCTGAGATGAAAAACTCTAATTGTGAATCAACTGGAATTCAAGTCAAACCCACCTGAATATGTGCAACACCAGAAATAAAAAATGGGGTAACAATGACTTGGGAAGAGTCTCTGAGTCCTGGTATTTGACCCCCCCATCCTAGGTCATTTCAAAATAGCGCGGGCTGTCGGGCAGAATTCCATCAAGTATGTGTTTGCTGCTGATCTTTGTGTGCGTGGACGCTGCCTCACGCACATGCACGCACATGGCCTTGCGTATGCCCAGCGAGGCGGACCTTCTGGGAGGCTGCTGGGGGCACCTGGCACAAGACGATCCAGGGGGGAGGAACGTGAAGGTACCTGCCGTCCCACATCCCCTGAGGGGCAGATGTGGCCACCCCTGGGTCACAGCCCAGGAGACCGAGGCTCAAAGATCATAAGAACCATTTCCAAGTTCACTGTTAAAACAGGGCTTGGATTTAAGGGTTTTTTTTCCTCTCTCTCTCTGTCCTTTCTTTTCCTTCCTTCCTTCCCAATGTTTTTGGTGCCATTGACGCTGACCAGCTCCAAACTGCACTGTCATCGCCGCTGGCCTGGCCAGGCAGAGCTTGTGACCTAGACACACACTGGGCCTGTGCCCCGCCAGCCCCTGGCTCCTGGGAGGAGAGCTGACTCTTCATGTTGATACAGGGCCTCTTTTGTGGTCCTTCTCGGCTGGCCGACTGGCCCCAGGCCCCCTGGGCCTATAAATAGCCATAGTGCAGGGCCCGGGGATCAGGTGTCTGCTGGTCCGCACGTCTGGGAGAAGGAGTGCTGGGGCCTGAGGATAATCTCCACACTGCCGTGCCCGGTAGTGGCCCGGTTTCCCACCCAGGCGGACCGGTGTCTATTGGGCGAGCGCATCTGTGTCTCCCTGAGGGTCCTGCATTTTTCGTTCTGAATCTGGTAATCCCATCTGCAGGCCCCTGAATGGTGCCCCAGTGTGTGTCCCTCAGGTCATGGGGCACTCCCAGCCGCCTCTGGTTCAAGGCCTCCATGGGTTGTAGGTGCGGCAGTGTGCTATGCAGAAATGGAGCTCGGGGCTGCTTCTTGCTCCTGTGGGGGCAGCAGGCAGCTTCCCAGGGGTCGGGAACATAGCCATCACCTAGAGATAAGGTGAGAGCAACTGAAGTTTCGCCCCAGCTGCCTGGCATCAACCTCTGCTGGGGTCAGGGGCAGAGGCATTCAGGGTCACAGCAGAGTCCTGAGGGCTGACAACCAGGACAAGGGCAATTGGAGAGAGAGGGCTTAGAGAGACCTGCAGCTCCTCTGCAAACTGTGAACTGGGTTTGGGGGTCAGACTGAATTCCCCTTCTCTCACCTCCCAGACATGTGACTCTGGGCCCCAGTTTCCCATCCGTGAAACAGGGACAGCCCTTGCTCCAAGGTGGCCTGTTCCTGGCCCTCGGACACTGAGCAGCAGGGTCAGCACCGGGCTGAGGTCTGCCCGCCTCCGTAGCACGGCCTCCCACCCTCTGAATTACTGAAGATTTGCTGCTGTAACAAATCACCACCACCACTGGCTCAAACACAGTTGTTTATGTTTCTTGGAAATTAACACACAGCCGGTATTCTTTGTTGGCAATTGGCTCTCCCTGTGGTGATGACCCAGGGACCCGCTCTGCCATCTTATCACCATGAGACTTCCAAGGTCACCATGCCCAGTGTATTTCAGCAGGAGAGGAAGCAGCATGGACCATTGCCACCAGCCAGGCGTGGCAAAAGTAGACATTGCTCTCCTATCAGCCTGGCCAGCACGTGGTCCCCTGGCCACTTCTAACTGCGCGCAGGCCGAGTGAGGTCTTCCAGCCCTGATCTCAGGAAGAAGTCCTTCTAGCCCAGGGAACAATGGCCCTGGAGAGTTTGGGAGGAGGGCCCGAGGGAAGGGGACCCCTGGTAGCCTCAAAGAAATGAGGCCGCAAGCCTTGGTTTGTGCTCTGGCCCAGGAGCAGACCTGGGTCTGTGAGCAGACAAGCATCTGTGTGCACACAGCAGGTTGGGAAGAGACCCCACCGTCCGTGGCAGAGGAGGAGGCACATGAGACGGAAGCAGGGAGTCAGCTAAGACAGGGCATGTTCTTAGGCCGCTACCTCCATGGGCAGCTGCAAGGAACTCTGGGAGCCAGTGTGGAGCAAAGCCTCAGAGTAGTCCCCTTAAAGGAGGGGGGAGAAAACTGGGGTATTTATACACCCCCACATCAGCTGGTGTTTGAAGGCTGCTCCTGGGATGGCATTATCCCCTGGCCCTGGTGGCCTCTTCTGTGGCAAAAGGGCCCTGGGCGAGATGAGCAGGCACGGGTGGGTGGAAACCTGGGGGTGTGTGTTGAGTGGTCAGGGTGGGGGACCTGAGCAGGGCACTCACAGTGTCTGCTACACTCCGAGAAGGTGCAGGGCTCACTCTCTTGACTGGTCCCCTGAAGGGAGAAGGCAGGGGTCAACCCCAACCTGCGGCCATGTATGTCGTCTGAGCTTGAGCCCACGGCCCCCAGATGCAGGGTCAGGGAGCCTGGAGGCAGCTGCGTGGCTGGCTGATTACCTGGCTCAGTGTCCGCTGACCTGATGGGAGCCCAGGTCTGGAGCTTCTTAGTGCGAGGCCTTGAGCAAGAGAGTCACCTCCTGTTTCCTTGCGGGCTATTGTAGGGGAGACCCTTCTCAGAGGTCGCCTGGGTCTTTGCCTCGTGAGTGCTGCAGCAGGGCCTCCCTCACCCAACCCCCCACACACTCCAGTCACTCGGATGTGTCGCTCTGCCACCAGCCCCAGAAGGTGCTCTGCCTTTCCCAGTGTCCGTGTCGTGGGATTAGATCAGCCCCCCCTGGGGAGTCTCCCTGTCTCACGGCCCACCATCCGAAACCCCAATGACATCTGCAGAATCCCTTTGCCGTGAAAGGTGACACAATCACAGGTGTGGGTATTGCCCACAATCACAGGCCTGGCTGGGGACTTGCGGCAGGGTTACGAATCTCTCCACCCTCTTCCAGGCTTTTAGGACACCACGCCCTCCTGGGTCTCTCCTTTCCTCACTGCTGGTGTCCTTGACTGCATTCATACCCCACCGCCAACATTTTTAAGAACATCAGGACTCTCTAAAAAATTATGAGAGGGCTTGGCCCAGGCCACCCAGGGAGCTGGCGGAAGTCACCCCAGCTGAGCACCATCAACCCCTACTTGGCAGCTCATGTCCTAGGGGCCGGAGTGACCACCCCAGGTCAGGTAATTCCCGGGAGACTTTGGAAAGTGCTAAATCACCCTCTGACGGCTGGGAGTGAAGGCGGGGTGGGTGACCCAGGCAGAACTGGCCCTTTTTCTAGCTTGGCTAGACAGTGTTCAAGATAGGACCTGGCCTTAAGTACAACAGAAACAACTGGGGGCCTGAAAAAGGCCCAAGGGTTGGATCTGGGAGTGGAACAGCACCAGGCAGAATACTAGTAATAATAGCAGCTTTTCTGGAGCACTTACTGTGTGCCGGGTGCTCAATGGATGTGTATATCAGCTTATTTAACTCCACAACTACTTATGAGGAAGGTCCTAAGGTTAACTCCGTTTCCCAGAGGAAGAAACTGAGGCTCGGTGAGGCTAAGGGACTCCCCGAGGCCAGACAACTCCTGACTAGAGAGGAGTTGACAAGCAGGGGTCCCACCTGTAACCCCTTAGTATTTCTGCCATGCGCAATATGGCTCCTTCAATGTAACACTAATAAGTAGTTATACTAGCAAGAGACTCCATGTGGGGAAGCAGTCAAACTAGGACTACAGAAGAGGCATTACAAGGAGACATGTTTGGACATGGCGTAAGGAAGGATAGAGGTCCTATTCTAGCTGTCAAATTGGCCCAGCAGGGAACATGGCCACCCTGGGAGGGAGGGAGCTGCCTGTCGATGAACATATGCAAGTGAAGAGGCCGCTCTCATTTTCTGAGACCCTAGTAATAACAGACGCGGTACCAAACACCTCACCTATGTCATCTTTAGGTCCTCACCACTCTATCACATGAGCACTACTGTCCCCACCTTACAGATGAGGAAACTGAGCGCAAAGAGAGGGACCCGCAGATGGTTATGCAGGTGGTGAGTGAGTGAGCAGGACTCACACCCAGAGCTGTGCCTCTCCAAAGCTCTGCTTGGACCCTACACCTACTGAGCGCCTGCTGCGTGTCCGGCAGAGACCACTGAGTCCTGGTTCTCACACTTGGGGAGAACACATTCCAGGAGCAGTGAGACAGTTTGGAGCAGTGGGTGTTAAACTAGAACCAGACGAGGATGAGGTGAAAGCAAGAGTAAGCCGGGGTCAGGGAGATCCGGGACGGTCAGGGATGGCCACTCTGAGCTGGTGGCATCTGAGCTGAGACCCGAAGAGCAAGGAAGCGTAGAGAGCACTATAAAGAGCTGTGTGAGTTGAGCTCTGGTCAGAGGGAACCACAGGTGCAAAAGCCTGGGGTGGGCGGGGCAGGGGGAGCCCAGTGGGAGAGGAATGGCCAAGGGGGGGGCCAGATCGTTCAGGGCCCGGTCAGCTGGGATTCAACCTCATTTGCCAAGATTGGTGGATTTTAAACCGGCGATGCACCACAGACAACTCCTACCAACTCCTGAAACCACCTCTTAAATCTCCAAGACTTTTGAGTTAGCAACTGTTAGCAAGCAGTTGTTAACAATTAGTAGCTTGAAATCAGTCCCGGTGGGAGCATTTACACCATGGAAAGTGGCAAACACCACACATCATGCTCTGTCCTCAGAGGCTGAACTATTTACCTGCACAGCACCAGTTTAAGGCAGGGAAATGGGAGATTGGGTTTGCCCTTTAAGGGGCACTCTCTCTGGCTGCTGGGTGGGGAGTGAGCTGCAGGGGACAGAGAAGCTGGGTGACCAGCAGGGAAGAAGTCGCACTGGTCCACACTGGAGAGATGGGGGTTGGGACCAGGGTGGGCCAGTGGATGGATCTGAGTGATTTTGGAAGTGGAACCAGTGGGCCTTGCTGAGACCTTCCCTGATACAGAGTGAAGACGAGAATGGAGGAGCCAAGCTGGGGGGTCTCCCAGGAGGAGAGTCCCCCTGGGCCCTGGGACTCACCTCCCAGGGTAGGAAGAAGGGAAGGGACAGATCTTGAGAGTCTATCTCAGTGGAGGGTCGCGGGTATCTAGGCAGTGTCAGGTCTTAGCGCGTCTCCAGCCGAATAAATGGGCCAGCGCCCAGCCCCTACACCCCCACCCTCGAAACTGCCTTTGGGGGCTGACCCCAGCAACTGGGCTCCCTGGCTTCAGCCCCTCCTTCATCAAAACTCTCTCATGAAAGGGCCCTGAGATTGTAGATATTTCCCTTCAACCCCTGTCTCTAAGATAAGGCCTGCAAATTGTCTTCATACCCTTGTAGACTTTCTTCTGCACAGACACACACACATTAATTTTTAAAAATGAGATGCTGTTACATGTAGATTATCTCATTTCATCCTAGGTGCTACTATCTCCACGCTGTATTTCAGGAAGCTCAGACTCAGAGAGGTTACCTACTTTCCCCAAGGTTACACAGCGGTTTGTCCTGCCTGGCTCTGCAGACTCACTCTGCACCCTCGCCCTCGCTGACTGCTAGAAAAGGCCCGCCAGGACCTCGGTGGGGGCACTGGGGGCTGCAGGGCCAGGGGGGTTGGAATTCTGGGCCGGAGGCCTGGTCTGGCCCATCCTTCTGCTGTGTGGTGAGACTCAAGCTCTGGGGTCAAATTCTAGCCCCAGGAGTCCTCGTTAAGATGGCTTTTTTAAAAGGGAGGCGGGTTCTGTTGCCATTTAATTGTGGCTGTGCCCTTGAAGCAGGCTCCCAGCTGCCAAGGTTCCCAGCTGCCTGGAATGGACAGGCCCAGGGGATGGAGGAGGCTTGGGAGGCCTGAGACCTGGGCCCTCACCAGCTCTGCAACCTTGGCAGTCCCTGCCTCTCTCGGCCTTGGTCTTCTCTCTGCTAAAGTTTCTCTCAGCCCCAAAGTAAGCCCCTGGTTCCCCACCTAAACAGGGAGGGCGGGGTCTGCAGCTGACTGGGGAAGGAGTGGGGGGCGGAGGAGGAGGAGGAGGAAGAGGAAGAACTAGAGCAGAGACCAGGGCTCTGAGGCAGGAAGTAGGTGAGGACAGGAGCAGGGTGGAGCTAAAGTGCAGGTTCTGGAGTCTGCAGATCTGGGCTCAAATCCCAGCCCAGGACCTGGCGGGTGCAGGGCCCTGTGGCAGGAGAAGCCACACTTGGCTCTGCCTTTGCTGACTTGAAATTCTTAATTCTCTGAACAGGGAGCCCAGCGATTTCTCCTTTGCCTTCCGGGCCCTCAGTTTCCTCATCTGCAAAATGAAACAACACTTCCACCAGCTTGAAGATTGTTTTGAGACGGAAAAGGGGAGGCTTCAGGCAAAGGGCCAGGCAGGGCGAGTCTGTGATGGGGTCAATCCCTGGCAATTAGGACAGTCATTCTTTAGGTCTCGCCCCCAATGCTCCCTGCACGCTGTATGGGACACTTCAGGTCAAAAACAACATCCTCACTGGGAAGCAAACTGCCCCCCACCCTCCCCACAAGCCCCTCCCTGCAGCTGTACTGGGTCAGGTGGGTTAGGGCCCTGAGCACTGGGCGGCTCCCCAACAGCTGCCCCTCCCCTGCTCTAAGTCCCGCCCTGGAGGACCCCCACTGGATTGGTTCCCAAGCCCTGGTAACTCAACCTGCCAGGCATTTCTGGAGTTCCGACTTCCTGGATTAACACCTCAGCTACGGAGCCTCTGCGGGCTCAGTTTCCCCATCTGGGAAGTAGCAGTGTTACCCCGTGGGTGTGCCCTATGAGGTGAGCCTGAGCAGGGAAGGAGGTTAGAACTGTGCTGACAAAGGTTGGCCAGCGCTGCTGCCTCCTAAACGCTGAGCACGCGCTCTGAAATGCCAGTGCGACTGTGCGCCCCCCACCCCCACGGAGACCCTCCCGCTGCTGCTGCTGCTGCTGCTGCTGCTGCCTTCGGGGTAAAGCCCGCACTCCTTGGCCGAGCTGATCTGAGCCCCTCCGTGGTGAGCTCAGCATCCATTTCTCTTTCTCCTTCTGCAGGGGATTTGCTCTGGGGACCCTCCAGCCCCAAGGTGATGTGACAGCCTCCTCTGCTGAGACTGTCGTTCAAACTAAGGGGTGGGCATGTGACCCAGGCTCAGCCAACCGGGTGACCTCTCCAAGGGCCTCCATTCTTGAGGATAGGGACCCCGATGAAAGGCTGCTGGGGAGAGTTTATCTGCAGGGTATCCCTTGAATTCCTGCTGCCTGAATCTGCAGGGGTGCCCTGGGCCCTGTCCTCCGTAAGTCTGGGTCTTTAGCTTTTCTTCTCATTCCATGCCCTCCCTGGTAGCCTTCCACGGTGCCTTCTTGGCCCAGAGAAACCCGGTGGGTTTCTGTTGCAGGCAACCAGACAGCCTGGCCCATAGGCCCCGCCTCCTGCTGACAGCTTCTCCAGGCGGTCCCGAACCACACCTGCTCTGGCCTTCACCTTCTCTTTCTAGGGATCTGCCTGCACACACTTCTCACAGGCCATGCGTGCCACTTGGTGCCTCTGAACCTTTGTCCCTGCCACTCCTCTGCCAGGAATGCTCTTCCCGCCTCCTTTACTCATTCTTGTCCTCAAGAACCACCTCGGACATGGTCAACTCCAGCCCTCCTCCCCACCCCCAGGCCAGCTCTGACCTTCCAGGCAGCCCTGGGCCCCAGGCCTCTCTCCTCTGCCCCTGCATTCCCCGCCCTGCCTGATCCCAAGGCCAGAAGCAGGCTCCACTCGCCTTCCTTTCTCAGTTGGTGCTCAACACATGTTTGATGGGCTCCAGAACGGGGGGGGGGGTTAGACAGAGAAGACCCCCCGGGGCCCACTCAGGGCCTCCTGGGCCAGCGGGGACTGGATCCATTGCCCCCTGCCATGTGGGGAGTGTCAGATGGAGAAGCAGTGCCATCCCAGAGTCCCAATGAGCCCCACCCCTCTCACCTTGCCCTCACCCCAGCCCCACGAGGCATGGCTGGGGCCCAGGCTTAGGTCCCAAAGGCTACATTGCTTGCCCACTCCCCTGCCCTGGCATGGTCTTGAGCCGTGGGCAGAGCTGAGCCTTCGTGGGTTGCTGAGTGCCCAGGCTGGAGAAATGCCCCAGCTGCAGCCACCTGAAATCTGGTAGAACGAGGTAAGAGGGCAAGTGCCAGCAAGGCCAGGGAATTTGGGCAGCCCACAGAGTGGGGCATCAAGAATGACCCCACTTTGCCTACCCGTGACTAAGCTTGAGAGAAAGGACAAAAATAGCCCAATTTCCCCTAAAGCCACCAATGCTTCTCCACCCTTTCTCCTTGGAGCGGAACCCGGGAGGCAGGAGTGGGGAGGGGCGGCACAGAGCCACGGAGATTCCAGCCCTTGCCCACAGGTGCATACTGCAGCAGACGTGTCATGAGGACAGCATTGTGATGTCATGGCCCGTGGTGGCTCTGTGCTCCTGGAGTTGTGAGTGAGTCAGCTGGGCCCCTTCCTCCTTCCTGTGTTCATGTAGGTACGTTTGATGCTCTGATGCTTGGGGGAGGGGGGGCTGGAAGAGCTGAGCCTGTGGCCCCTCCCCTTCTCTCCTTGCTTCTCCCATGGGCTGGGGCTGGTCCAGGAGATGGCCAGTGGGTGGCACCCTTGGGGAGACTTCCTTTTGTTCATAACTGGGAGTCAGACTTGGGCGAGTGGCCCAGGAACTCTTTGCAAGCCTGGGTCAAAACTGCCTGTTCACTAGGCCACCTTCCCGGCTTGACCATGAGCCTATTCAAAGTGTCCATCTCGGCCTCCAGTCTAGCTTGCTCTGTGATGTGGGTTAAATGCTTAAACGGGTAGAGGGGAGGGTGTGGGGATAGGTAACAAAGGTGCCTTCTCCCTGTGGGGGCAGCTTTCTGGACTCTATCTTGGGTGCCATTGGAAACCTACACCTGTTGGAAGTCCCAGGCATCTTGGTGCCCTTGAGATTTGGTGGTGGCAGGGCGCTCCCACTATGGGCAGCAGGGCCATAATGCTGCTAGGGACTGGCACGTTTGGCCCCTCTCTAGCTGGGATGCAGCTCAAAGACCCCAGATTTCAGAATCACTGAATCCCAAGTCCAAGTTCAGTCCTGCTGTATGTATGTCCTTGAGCTGGTCACTGGATCGCCTCTGAGCCTGTTTCCTTTTCTGTGAAGGGGGAGTGTCATCTGGCTTCCACGGACTATCAGGAGCATCAGAAGGACAAAGCTGCTGCCCCGAATGTCACTGTTGCCTTTCACCTTCTTCCTGCCTGGCCCCCATGGCCCTTATCCTCCAGAGCAGCCCGGCATAGTGAGAGCAATGCCAGTGACCATGGACACAAGCCAGGGGACTGACCTGAGTGACGCTGGTGACAAGGACACATGCCTGCAGGTGCTGTCACAGGAACTCTGCCAGCTCCAGGCCAAGTACGAGTTTTTCCAGGGCCCCCCCGCCCCCCCATCCCAGTGCCACTTGCAGTGAGCTGAGTGGCTGGGACTGAGCCAAAATGCCAGGCATGTGGTGCCTGGAAACAAAGGGGGAGGGGCAGCTATGGTGAGGGGGCAGGGCTTGCTCCTGTCCCGTGACCTCAGACCCCGGGCCAGTATCAGCCCTCCTCAGGCACCATCTCCCATCACGAAGGGATGGGAGGGCTGTGGGCAGCCACTGCTGAGCCCCTGTCAGCCCAGACCCTCTGAAATCAACCTGCAAGATTGTCACCTGGGTCTGAGTGGAGACCTGTGTCCTTCCAACGGCCTCCACCTTTGGCGGCTCCACAATTTCAGGTTGCCCACAGATGCCTGAATTAGATGTGAATGGATGTGTCTGAGCAATTTGTACGGAACATGGTCCAACCCTTCCATCAGATTCTGTAAGGGCCTCCCAGCCCCAGTAAGGCTTGGCTTGTGGCTCACAGGGCCCCACAAGGTATTTGTAGGAAAAGACTATTTTTTCCTGCCTTTTCCAGGGCTGTGTGGGTAAGAAAATGGGGCCTGAGAGGAACAGCCGCTTGCCCTGGGTCACTCTGCTGTCACTCAGAGACACCTCTGTGTTGGCTCCGCCCACCGGCCCTGGCAGCCTGCTCCGCCTGCTGCCCTTGACTGCTGGTTTGGACTAGGCCCAGAGCGGCTCCGACTCTAGCCTAGGGGGTCCCCTAAGAGTCAGGTGGCTGGGCAGCAGCATGCAGCCTTTTCCCCGCCAAGGGCTGCTGGGACCTCTGACCCCAGCCTGAGTGCTCACGGTGTGCTCAGTTCCCCAGACAGAGCCCTGGTCAGCCTGGGAGGGAGGGCTTCTCATTACCCCCATTCCAGAGGGGCGCAGAGAGATGAGACACCTGCCAGGTCTCCAGCCAGTAGGGGCTCTGGCCACCCACCACCTGCTCAGCCTCCAGGAGAGGCACCGCAGACCCCCGTAGCAGAATGACCCGGCTTCACTCTCCCCGGGCCCCTATTCTTTGTGGCTCGGTCTGCTCAGCAGTAAACTGTGGATGGAGAGACTGAAGCCGGCGGCCCACCGATGGCGGTAGCGGCCAGCATGGTTCTGAGCAGGAGACCGCAGAGGGTGGCCTTGTCAGGGGTCCCCATCCGGAAGCCTCCCAGCCCCATTCCCATCCTGGCTCACGCCTCACCCCAATGTCTCCACAGGCAGAGGAAACTGAAGAGAGAGGTCGAGAAGCACAAGCTTTTTGAAGACTATCTGATTCAGGTCCTGGAGAAAATCCCCCAGGGTATGTCCGAAGCTTCCTCAGAAAGCCCGTCCTTCTGTGTCCACTTCCTAGACTCGGGACCGGAGCACCAAGCGTGGTCTTCTCGAGCCTCAAGCTCCAGTCGGAATAGGGCTCCACGGAGGCCAGTGCCACCGTGTTTAGAAGGGTACAGGTGCTGAGCCAGCCTGCTCAGGGAACCCCGGGCCAGCCAGCGCCGGCCACGTGGCCCGTGGCAGGTTCTCAGGGATTTGGTTTCTGTGGCTGTACAGTGGGAACAGCAACAGCGAGGTGCGCTAGGTGAGCTCACCCTTCATATGCTTGCAGCGCGGACCCGGCATTTAGGCAGCGCCCAGGAAGTGCGCGCTGTTATTCCTCGTGCTTCGTTTGTCTTTGGATTTGGTTTGTGTTTTGCTCTTGTCGACTAAAATTACACAGCCATCTGAATGCGTTTATGTATTTTGCATTGCATTATCCTGATTTATACCAGAGTCCACTATTACACATGCTGGAAACTTGTTGAGGGAGGGAAGGGAACATACACATTTTTATTGTCATCATATTATCAGTTCAACATCATCAATAATCATAAAAATAACTATTACCATTTACTAAATATTTAATCTGTGCTGAGCTCTGTAGTAAATCTTTTCTACTCTGAGTTTCTGGGAACTGTGTCTCCGGGCTCAGGGAGGTTAAGGTCGTTGCCCAAGGTCTGCCAGCCGGGAGGTGATGGGGCTGGGTCTCAGGCTCTGGTCTGACTTCATAGCCGCTGCACTCGGTGCTGTGGCGCTGTGGGAGCCCCAAGAACTCAGCCCCGGAGGTCAGGGAAGGCTTCACAGAGGAGGTGGCTTCTCGGGGTCACCAAGGAGTTCTGCAAAGGAGAGTGGCATCGCAGGCAGAGGGAAGAGCACAAATTTAGGCTGGAGATGCGCCCTGCAGGGTGGGTTTGGAAGTGGTGAGCTCCAGTGTGCTGGAGCGCTGGAACCTGGCAGGGGCTGCTGGGAGCTGTGCTGGGAGGGTGGACCAGCACCAAAGAGCCTTGAGCACCAGGCCAAGCATGGGGCTTGAGGCAGACCCAGCCCCCAGTGCTTCTTCTAGCAGCTTCCTGGTTTGGGGTCTTCCTAACTCAGCACCTCAACCCTGTTCAACCCATCCAGAATGGGTGACCATCAGAGCTGGAGACTGCACCATGCAGGGTGGCAACAGTTCCTGTCCCCTTCTTTGAGGCTCCCCCAATGGGCAGTTTCTCCTCAGAGGCAGTCTCCTGCCTCCCTGGGCAGCCCAGATGCAGAATCTGAGACCCCACTAGGCAGCCTTTCAAACGTTGTTGTGTCTTTTGAAGAGGCGGGAGGTAGCTGCTGGACCAGCCCTTCTGTGTTAGTGTCCGCCCTGCACGGGTTGTCTGGCATCCCTCCACTCTGGGGCTCTGGCTGGAATTCTGGGGCAACAGCAGAAGTCCCATCTACCTTATTAGCATCAGTCGCTGCAGGGAACAGGTGGGGACCCCCGTTCTCCTGCCCACCCATCCCCCATGATGCTGTCTCCTTAGACTACAGTGATGGGGAGGAGCTGGAGGAGATCCAGAAGGAGGGCCTGGTGGACGCCCTGGTGGAGCGCTACGAGAAGCTCTTCACAGTCAGCCAGGACATCCAGAAGCACCTCGAGGCCTTCTCCAAGATGAACGAGGCCATCCACCAGAGCTTGGAGGCCATTGAGAAGAGCCATAAAGCTCTTATCCCGGTAACAGCTGCCTGCAGCTGGCCCATTTTCCTTGGCCCAGAGAAATGGGGTGATAGGAACCCCTGCCCCCCAGCACTCTCCGGAAGGCCTGGAGCAGTGGTGGTCTGTTGGGTAGCTCCAGTGGGGCTGCCACTCCAGAGACTTGCTCCGTAGCCTTTCCTCTCCCCCTCTGCTGGCTGGGGGTTTCCCCTGAGGCTCAGCTTATGTTTAAAAGGTGTTCTTCACGGTAGAAAAGCCACAAGTTCTGGATTCAGACAGACTGGGGTTCAAATTCCAGCTGAGCCTCCGACTAGATGCATGGCTCTGGGCAAGCCCCCACTCTCTGGGCCTCAGTTTCTTCCTGTCAAATGGAGGCAATGCAACCTAGCTGCTGGGCTGTTGAGAGATAGCGAAGTCAAACTGCCTCAAAGTTTTAAGTGCCCCCAGAAGTTCTCTCTCTCTCTCTCTCTCTGGTTAATCTTATAATAAATAGAACTTTCACAAAAAGGATGGGCGCGGTAGGCAGAAGAGACTGCCCCGTCAAAGGCATGGCATGAAAAATGTGTGTGCTGTAGGTGGGGCCTGGGGATGGAGGTGAAGGGGACACCGGATGGAGAGGAAGAATGACAGGTTGGCTGCTTCTTGCCAAGCACCAGGGCATGACATCTCCAGCGAGCCTCTTCCCCCTGGTGGCAGCACTGAAACCTACACCCTTCTGTACCTTTTTTTTTTTGAGAACCTGCCCCTTTGTGGGCAGGGCCTGCGTAAGCACTAGACATGCTTTACCTGTTTCGGCCTCACCCTGGCACCTCCTCCGGGCAGGTGCTCCTACCCCAAGGGCTGAGACAAGGGAAGTGTGTTAGTGCAGAGTTAAGTTACATCTTTATTTAAAATTTTGCTATTTTGTTCATCACAGAATTTTTTTGCATTAACTTTGTTTTTAAAAAACACTGCATTAAAATATTCTTTATCTTAATTGCTGAGGTTTTTCTGACGCCCCCTTACATTTTGCCCCTTAGGCCCAGCCAAACTGTTCTTGCCACTTTCAAGGAGAGGAAACTAAGGGCCAGAGAAGTTAGGACACTTGTGTCTGTCCTGTGTCTTCAGAAGACACTCCATGGGGCCTGGAGGTGGCACTGTGCTTAGCACAGCCTTGTTCCCGGTGCCCTCCCAGTGACCCCTGAGGCTGGGAGGGCACAGACCATGTCCCTGGTGACGATGGGGCACAAGATACTCTGGGGCTGAGTTGGGATTCCAACCCCATCGGCCTGGACGTGCCCCCTGCTGCATTTCCTGTGCCCTGAAGGGCTCTGACCTCCCAGAATTTTTTCTGCATCCCACCCCCATCATCACGCAGACCACCCTGGGCGGTGCCTCTTGGGGCCTAGGCAGGCTTGCTGCACTGAAGTGACCTGGCCATTCTCCCCACAGAGCCTCAAGGTCCAGCTGTGTCAGCTGCAGAAGAGGTATGACCCCGGGCAGCAGCAGCAGTGCCAGTCAGAACAAGATGTCACCTACCAGAAAGACACGGACAGCTGTAATGTGAGTCCACTGAGCTGGCCCCGGGGTACGGTCAGGGGCTGGGGGCGGCTGTCTCCTCACCCCCCCAATACCACCCCTCCCCACTTACCAACTTGCTCTCCACAGTGACCATTAGTTTTGAAAGGGCTTCTTTAAGATGGGAAAACTGAGGCCACGGATAGTTATGGGCCCAGCTCTACCAAGAACCAGAGCTGGACCCCCTGTCCCTGGGCCTGGCCTGTGCTGAGCACTTACTCAGTCCTGCTATCCTGCTTGTGATTAATAATAAAATGATAACATTTAGGTGAGTGGCTCTTGTGCACTATCTTCAGTAATTCTTGTATTTCTTTGACCAGGGAGTGCTTAGGCCTGCCCCAAAATAGATACTCCTAACTGGTCTTGATTCTAACCCATTCCTGTTGCACAGATGAGAGAAGCAATGCTCAGATGTATGAGCCATGGCTGAAGTTCATGACCAAGGGCCAGGATCTCTGAGCTCAAGCTCTCAAGCTGTTTCTTCCTGGCCTTGGAAATGTGAACCAGTTACCCTCCCAACCCCTAGGCCCCACCTAGTTCTCCAGCCTCAGGGGCTGCTGGGAGGACACAGAGGGAGGCCCAGGCACAGAGCTGCTCTGGGCATGCTCCACCTGGGCGGGTCAGCACATGTAAATGTAAGGCCTCCTCAGTCCTGTGGGATCCTAATTTGGAAGCCGTGAGAGTTGGGGTCTGTAGGCTGCTGACCTCCGGCCACGGAGCTTAGACAGGGAGCAGATTTGCCACAGTTTCTGGAGCCCCTTCTGGTCTTTTTAAGGTGGGAAGCAAGGCTGCCGCAGCTGAGTGCCACCCTGGAGGCCTGGAGGCCAGCCCTCTGGTGCCACCTGGAGTGAAGAGCGCTGGGTTCCCCCAATCTCCTGCCCAGCCCCTGCCCCAGGTAGGGACCTCGGACCCTGGGGGGAGGGGGGCTGATTCAAGCCCCTTTGGGGGTGGAACACAGACCGGGGTGAGAAGGTGCTCCTGGCTCCAGGACGCCCAACCTGAGTGAGCTGGGGCCAGAGGCCAGGGGCTGCTGGGAGAGGGCTTGAGCCACTGCCTCTATCCTCCTCTTCCTCCTCCTCCCCTTCCTCCTCCTCCTCTTCCTCTTCCTTCTGCAGAACCAGCTGCTCAACTACGTGGGAACTGCCATCAACAACATGGCCCAGCACTGCTGTTCCTCTGCCCATGTCGTACCCAGGAGCATGGGCCTCTTCTCCAAGCTGGACCTGATTCAGGTGATGGCTCCCTACCTCCCAGGCTGGCTCCAACCTCAGCCTGTCCTGAGCAGTGGCTCCTAGTGCTCTTGTGTTTAGCCCTTATCAACCCCTCCCTCCACAGCCTCATGGGCACGGTACAGTGGGTCTCCAGGTCTCTATTAGTCTCTCAACAAACTTGTGATGAGCACCCATTAGGTGCAGGGTCAGAGGTGGATGTCAAGGAATTCCTGTCCTGCCTGGTCTTTATGCGTGACCCCACCCTGGCACCCCACACTCATACACACACAGTGTACACACTCTTAAAGACAGTCCCCTGTGCTCTCTGCACACCTAACAACACACACCATACGCTGACACACCTGCAAACTCACCCACTAAAATGCACACAGACGACATCACGCATTCGCACATGCACATGCTGGGAGGGGGCACTTCAGTGACCGAGAGAACCTGCGTGCAGGGCGCTCAGTTTAAGCTGAAGTCCGCGGAACTTTCCCTCCTCGCTGCCCCCGCTGAGACCGAAGCCCCAGCATTCATAATGCTGATGCCGCCATGACAGAGAACACGTGACCTCTGATCGGCGTCCTCTGACCACAGAGCATACCTTTTAAAATTTTTAGTAGTTTTATTGTGATATAATTCAGATACCATCACATTTCTCACTTCAGTGTTTTCAGTACAGAATGGCACAACCATGCTTAGTATCTAATTTCTGGATATTTCATCACCCGCCAATGCACTTTGCATCTGGCCTCCTTCACTTCCTAGAATGTCTTCCAGTTCCGTCCATGTGGCAGCGTGAACAACACTCCACCCCTGTAAGTGACTGAATTATAGCCCATTGTTTTGGACAGCCCACATTGCTTTTATCCGTCCGTCAGGTGACGGCCGTTTGGGTTGTTTCTGCTTTCTGACTATTATGAATAATGCTGCCATGAACACTCAGGAACACATTTTTGTACGGACACATCTTTTCATTTGTTTTGGGTACATACTTAGGAGTGGAATTTGAGTTATGTGGTAACTCTGTATTTACCATAATATGGAGGAGCTGCCATGCTGTTTTCCAGAGTGGCTACATAATTTTACAAGCTTATGGTCAATATATGAGGCTTCTAATTTTCCACTTCCTTGTCAACACTTGGTGTTGTCTGTGTTTTGTAATTTAGCCAGCCCGAAGGGTGTGAAGTGCTGTCTCATGGTGGTTTTGATTTGCATTTTCCTGATGACTAAATGTTGAGCATTTTTTCATAAAGTTTTATTGACTATTTGTATATCTTCTTTGAAGAAATATATATTCAGATCCCTTGCTCAGTTTTTAATTGGATCATTTGTCTTTATTGTTGAGTTATAAGAATTCTTTGTCTATTCCGGATACAAGTCCCTCATACAATACATGATTTGAAAATATTTTCTCTCATTCTGTGGATTGTCTTCTCATATTGATGGTGTCCTTTGAAGCAGAAAGCTGTCAATTTTGTTGAAATCCGATGTTTTTATTTGGTTGCATGTGCTTTAGGCCTCAAACCTGAAAACCTACCTAATTCAGGGTCGTGAAGATTTATACCTAAGTTTTTTTGTAACAAGTTTATAGTTTTACCCTAATATTTAGGTTTATGATCCATTTTTAGTTAATTTTTGTGTATTTTACAAGGTAGGAATCCAATTTAATTCTTTTGCTTAAGGATATTTAGTTCTCATACCATGTGTTGAAAAAAAACTGTTCTTTCTCCATGGAATTGTCTCCTCGCCTTTGCCAAAATCAGTTGGCCACCCATGCAGAGTTTGTTTCCACACTGTCTAGTCTGTGCCCCCGGTCTAGCTGTCTGTCCCCCCAGCCTAGTTGTCTGTCCCCACGCCAGTACCACACTGTCTTTGACTGCTGGAGCCCTGTCGTAAGTTTTGAAATCAGGAGTGAGTCTGATGACCTTGTTCTTCTTTTCTGAGGTGGTTTGACTCTTCTAACAGGCCTGCATGTCTTGCACCATGCTTGGATGTTTGGTGGCTGGGTTTCAGGTGTGGCATGACCCGAGGTCAGTGGCACCCTCGAGGACCTGGCCTCGCCACGCTCCCCGTCTGCTGTCTTCGGCCTTGGCGTCCTCCCAGGTCATAACTTGCTTCCCTGCTTGAGGCGGGCTCAGTGGAGACATTCAAACAGCACCCCTGGCTCCTCTGGACCCAACATTGCCCAGTGGCAGCAGTAAGCAGGGAGCAAGCCTGCAGCCCACCCAGTCGAGAAGGACTTGTCACAAGAGCATCGCAGGCCGTATCAGGGCCACTGTGTGGCAGAGCTCATCGGTGGCATCTGCGGGGGGGTTTCACTCCTTCAGGTTGCAGCATGCATGACACAATTTTGAAAGAGGCCATATTTGTATAAATAGTCACAGTGTATCAATTTCATCTCCTTCCCAAGAAAAAGGAAGAAATGTCCGGGGGTCCCAATGGCCTCCTGTAATTATCACTCATCCTGGGTTTAGAGTCACCTGCATGAGCTCAGCACCGTGCCAGGCAGAGTTGGAGGTGGGGGCGATAAAGGGTCACCTGTCCTCAAGAAATGAACACGGCTCAGAGAGGGAGGTGAGGGCAGTCAGGGTGTGCTCCATGGAGGGAGCAGTGGTCAGAGGCAACCACACTCAAAAGCCACACAAGAATCTAGACTCTGGGTCCTCCAGCTCTGCCACCACTGGGCTGCGCAGCTTCAGGCAAGTCACTTCACCTCTCTGACCTAGCTTTGCTTATTTGCCAATTGTCACCGATACCATGTCCATTTCAGGGCCCTTGTGAAAGCTAAAGGGGATGTAAGCAGATTTTGATGGTGCCTTGGTCCCTGGGAAGTGGTGTCAGGATATAAAGAATGGTCAGGTGAGAGATTTATTCCCCCTCCCCCCTCAGGCATTTATGTTGGACAAAAAGGAGACCGTGAAATTTATCTTACTGCCACGGAACCCAGAGTGTGCTGATCCCGTGACAGCCTCGACGGCCAGGGATTCGGAAGGTACCCCAGGCCCTTCTGGAAATGTCCGAGGAGCCAAGATTTAATCCCAAGGACACCCTTTCCCGGCACCCAGATTTCAGAGTGCTCCACCGGGTGCTGACCTGGCCGGCGGCATGCAGGCCTTCCAACATCATGACCATGTACTGACCTGCGGGGCCTCCTTTTCTCACTGTCCTTGCCTCGCCGGTGGGTGGGAGCCAGCCTGGGGGCAGTGAGAGGGCAGTGGTGGGGGGTGCCACTCCCCACACTGGGGGATTGGTGGGGATTCAGGGGAGCTCTGCCTGGGACCACAGGTAGGAAAGAGGGGCTCCTGAGCTGGAGGCAGGTGCCCGGTGGGGAGTCCTAGTTGGAGACCTGCCACCAGGAGCCAGGCCTCCCTTTCCATCATTGGTGGGTCCGTCTGAGACCCAGGCGCTTCGGATGGATGCCTGGCTGTAGGGAACGTCCGAGGCACAGGAGCTCGTGCAATGAGCCGCCTGGAGCCACAGGAGGCACGGGAGCTCGCCTTGCCCACGGCAGGCGGGGAGCACTGAATCTGCAGGGGCATTTCGTCACCGGTCCCGGAAGCAGACTACCAAGCCGATGCCTTCTGCCCACACCTCTGAGGGTCCCAGAGTGCCCAAATAAAATGCCATTCTTAGGGAAGCCTTGGCAAGGCGAAGCCCCTCTGCAGGCTGGTTTTCCCACCTGTAACATCAGGTGAGAGGACCTGTAAGGGAGTCGCCTCTCCAGACAGATGTTCTAGGTCAAGGCTGGAAAAGCGTAGTCTGCGTGGAAGGCACTGGTCTGGGTTTATTGTCAGGGGGGCAGAATCATCCTAGTAATCACCGCAGTTGTGAAAAGCGCTCACCACTGGAGGTCGGCTGATGCTAGTTAGTATGGGTAAAAGTTCAAAGTTAAGGGCAACATTTGAACTGCAAACTGTGTTGAGTCAGCAAATTAACTTTCAAAGAAATGTTTTGGAAAAGATGCTGCTACTCAGTGAGCTAACCCCGAGGGTCCACGGTACCCGGGTGCCAGTGGGAGAGGGGAATGGGAGGTTCGGAGGGTGAGCAGGACTTGGCCACCGAGTTAATTAGGAACTAAATATATTAAAGGTGGCTGAGTGTGGTCACATCTGTTTTTTAAAGAGGGGAAGGGAGGGAGAAAGGCAGGGTGCATACCCACAACCCAGGCATGCACCCTGACTGAGAATCAAACTGGAAGCTTTTGGTTGTCAGACCAACGCTCAGTCCACTGAGCCACCCCAGCCAGGGTGTGGCCAGGTCTTAAGCAGTTGAAACAAAGGGGATCTGAGGAGGCAACATCCTGTTGAGTTTCTGGTCTCACAGGCCTTTGTGGCAATGAGGACTTCTCAGCTGGGGCTTGAGTCTGATTTTGAAAGGAGGAAGTTGGGGAGGGGAAGAAAGGGAAGGAGACACAGGAGGAAGGACTTCCGGTTTGGCCGGGGGTCGAAGAAGGTGGGCTGGGAGACCACCATGGGGTCCCAAAGGCCAGGCCGTGAGGTCGGGCCGCCAGTCACACATGAGGATGTCGCAGTGCATTCGTGCCGCTCTGACAAAAGACCATGGATGGGGAGGCTCACACGACAGACACGTATTTCTCACAGTTCTGGAGGCCGGGAGTCCAAGATCAAGACACCAGCAGGTCCAGTGTCTGGTGAGAGCTCGCTTCCTCATTCACAGATGACTGTCCTCTTGCTGTGTCCTCTCATGGTGGAAGGGGTAAGGGGGCTCTCTCAGGTCCCTTTTGTAAGGGCACTGGTCCCACTCCTAAGAGCAGAGCCCTCAGGGCCAATCAGCTCCCAACGACCCCACAGGCACATCGGGGGTAAGGATTCCAACATATGAGCTGGGGGTGGGGGGCATGAACATTCAGTCCATTGCAGAGACCCTCTCACGTTAGTTCATACTCCCTCAGTTCTCTTTTCCCACAACATCCACTTTCCAGTGAGATCTAAGCATCCCATTAACCTCCCCTAATGTGAGTATCCGTAAGGCCAGTGATTCTTTGATGTGAACTTCCATCAGGAAGGCTTGTCACAGCACAGAGTGTGGCCCCGCCCCAAGGGCTCCGGACCCAGCAAGATCCCAGGTGATGCTGATGTTGCGGGTCCCAGGACCGCACTTCAAGAGCTGCTACTTCAGAGTCACAGCCAATCCTAAACACCTAAACCGGGAGTCTGAGCCACCTGGAGCACATCTCCCCTGCCTGGGCTCCAGGCCCCCATCCACACCATGGATGAACTGCCATTCCCGGAGGGCCACCCCCACTCCATCTAACTTGTCTAACGCCCTGCAAGGTGTTGGATGCAATGGCCCCTTATGGTCCCAGGGCCTGGATCGAGGCTTTGTAGCTTTGCCTGCCAGGGCTCTGTGGAGAGCAGGTTGTCGTCCTGCCTCCTGCCATCCGCCTGCTGTGTAGCTGTTGTGCATTTGTAGGTCAAGTTTAGATGTGTTGTCACACTCCTTGGGAAGCAAGATGATCAGAACAGACAGCCGGTGTGGCAGTGGCCTGGCGGGCTGTCAACCTAAATCGAACAAGGTCCCAGGTGGTTCTGATGCAGACGGGTCTCCAAGCACGGGGTGAGAAGTGGTGCGTGTCTAAACGTCAAGAAGAAGAAAGCCTGGCCCACGTTTGCGGGGTCTTCAGTCGGGAAGGACTTTGGAAGCATGAAAGCACCAGAAGTGACACCTGAAAATATGACCACAAAAAAGTTAAAAGTACATCCACCTCAGAACACACAAAAATATTTAAAGACAATAAACTGGGCAGACACATTGAGAAATTCAAAAAAGGAATAAGTTTTGACACGAATTCTTCATATTCAGCAAATCAACATAAGTAAAAATAGCCTATAAACATGAGAGATAGTTCAGCCCACTAAAAATAAAACTAAACCATATAATTTCTGCCCATCTCAAATGTTTAAGCAAAAATACTACTCATAATTTAGGGTCTCCGACCCTGTGGTACCCTTTTTGAATAAACTCTCTGGGTAGCAGTTTGATAAGAGGTCTCTAGAGGGTTCAACAGTGTTTCTGTCTTTGGCTCAGTAATTCTACATCAAGAAATTTAATAAAATCAGAGCTGGTTGGTTCTGAATGGCAGAAAGCCCAACTCAACTGGGGCTTTCTGCCAAAAAGAGAAGGCACTGGATTTTTAAAAAGATTTTATTTATTTTTAGAGAAGGGAAGGGAGGAAGAAAGAGAGGGAGAGAAACCTTCACATCCCTGGTTTGCCTCACATCTACCCCAACCCTCAACCCAGACCTCCGCTAAATCCACTGAGCCACACCAGCCAGGGCTGCTTTGTGTTTTTTAATTGAAAGGCCAGGATTCTAGCTTCAGGTGCAGCTTAACTCAGGAGCTCAATGTCAACAGAATCCAATCTGTCTTTGTCTTTGGGCTCTGCTCTCCACACATTGGCTTTATTCTCAGGCTCAGTGTAAACAATGGCAACTCTAACAATGAAGTCAGAGGAAAAGATGGTGTCTTTTCCCAGTAAGTCCCGAGAAAGTCCCAGAGTTAATTCTGATTGGATCACCTTGGGTCATGTGCCTCCCTTCAAAGAAATTCCTGATTGGCCAGGCCTAGGCTACCACATTCATTCTAACCAATCTCTGTAACTAGGGGGGATTCTTTGCTCTGACTGGCCAGACCGGGCTTAAATTTTTGTTTTAGTGAGGAAGAATATTTTTCCTGGTTGGAGGCCAGTTCCGTGGGGCCAGTGGTATGTGCCGCATGAACTTCATGGACTGAAAGAAAGGGGTAGACGTAGGTCCCCCAAAGGGACATCAAACTCCTGTCATCACAGGAAGGTGGGGCCTGGAGCTCACGAGCAAAAGCAAGAGACCATTGTTGCAGATGCAACAAGGTGGCTGTATAAACATGCCTACCACAGTGTTATTTATAGTAGCCTAAATAACTGGAAATAGCCTAAATATCTCCGAGGATATGATAATTGATAATTAATAAATGATAATTTATTAATGATTTATTGATAATAAATGATAATTCTGCAACCATAAATTAGAAGCCCCAAAATATTTAATGTAAGGAAAAATAGGATGTAAACTAAGTGAAAAAAGGGGGAATTTTTTTAAAGTAGACTACGAAAAAGTACAAATTGGTAATTACAAAATAGACCTGTGGGGGGATCATTTTGAAATTATATAAATGTTGTACACCTGAAACTGATATAAAATAATATTGAATGTCAACTGTAATTGAAAAATAAAATTTTTAAAAAGATAGGCAGAAGTTAAAATAGCCACTTGCCTACATAGGATGGCTTAACTGAGGTAAGTCAAGTTCCACTTCTCTGCTTTACGACTTTTCTATCATGTTGATACCATTTAAATGAAGGGACGGGTAGTGCAGTGGGGCGGGGGACGTGAATCAAAGTGCGCTGAAATGATTCAAGATCATTGCAAGCTTACTCTAAAATTTTTTTAAATAAAAAAGTAGACTATATACCCAATTTGGTGAAAATTACCTGTATAAAAGAGAAGAGAGAACTACACTAAAGCAGTGCTTCCAGGTGGGAGGTGCCTGACCCCGGGGAGGGGTGGGGGAGCGTTAGACTTCCCAGGTGGGGAAGGGTGGATTGAACTGGTGGTCCCAGGTCCCCACCCCCCTGTGGTGGCATCCACATCCACATTCTTGCCAGAGGCTCAGGGTGGGCAAAGTGTTCATCACCGCCTCTTTGCATTGGCCATGTGACTTGCTTTGGCTAATAGGATGGAAGTGGCTTATGACTCAAGTGGAGGTTTAAAACATCCTTGTGTAGCCCTGGCTGGTATAGCTCAGTGGATTGAGAGTGGGCCTATGAACCAGACAATTGCGGTTTGATTCCCAGTCAGGGCACAGGCCGGTTCCCTGCAGGCCAGTTCCCAGCAGGGGATGCATGAAAAGCAACCACACATTGATGTTTCTCCTCCTCTCTCCTTCCCTTCCCCTCTAAAGATAAGTAAATAGAAATCTTTAAAAAAAAATAAGTAAAACATCCATCCTTAATAAAACATCCTTGTGTGGCTTTGGCTCTGAATCGTGAAATCCCAATTTTTTGTATTTTTCTTTATTTTCCCAAAGTTTTTGTAATGAGCACGCTTAAACTTTATAACCAAAGAAAGTGCTTTATTCAGAAATGGGGGAAATTCATTGGAAACCCACTCTTCTCGGCATCTCACTGATCCTACCTAACCTTTGGTGTCTCCAAGAACAGAACTAATGGTCAAGTCCTTCACCCACAGGAGTGTCTTCAGGTCTCTGAAGGCCAAATTCTTGGCTCTCTGAATATTGTCTTCAAGTTTGGCAACTCTGGTTTCTTGGATGTGGCCCCATCTCCGAATGGGTCTCCTCCACCCGTCTCCAGCCTTCTAACATGGCGTCCCCGTCTGAGTTCCCTTCTCCAGGTAAGGAAGTTGGCCAGACAGCAATGACGGGAAACATCTGGAAGAGGCTTCCCTGCCTTGGCCCCAGCTGGGAAGGTGCTGGGCATTCCAGCCCCTCATCCGGGGGCTATGTCCTGCCCAGCCCTGCTCTTGTAGCCAGGAATGGCCAGGCTACTTTGGGGCTTGTGCTCTGGGGCTGGAAATGTGGCCAGCCCACAGACACGTCTTGAACACCTTCAAACCTGAACTGCCTGGCCCTGGTATATCCCCTGCTGTTCCTACTAGGTGTCTCTAGAAGATGCTGCAAGGTTCCCATGCCCTTTGGTGCCAAAGCTCACTTATCCCTGGCTGCCAGCTGCTCAGGCTCTCTGCACCATTCAGTACTAGGATGCTGTGTTCAGAGCCCAGAGACAGGGAGGCCTGGCTCCCCAGGTGCACTGTGGAAGAGGAAGTGTGAAGGCTGGAGCTCCGTCTCCTTGGCCCCAAACTCTCCGTGCTTCAGTCTCCGGGGCCTCCCTGGCACATGGCAGGTGTTCGGTAGTGGACGAATGGGTGCATGCGAGTGAATCAAGAGTTAGGCTCCCCACAGGGTGGTTCAGAATGCTGCCTGCAGACCACTGTACTCACCGCGTCCTCCCTGCAACCATCAGCTAGAAAGTGGCATTTCCCTAGCTCCACACTACATACAGATGGGGAAGCTGTAGCTCAGCAGTTCTGTGGCTCAGCCAAGGTGCCAGGGGTTGAGCAGGGACATTAACTCAAGTCCATGACACCCAGTGGAACAACTGGAACCGGAAATGGTTTGGTGTAAAAAGAACTAAGAACAAGAGGCAACGTGCCCTGGATACTTACTGGCTGTGTGCCAGGGACCTTGCTGAGCCCGTTGCCACTGAGGCAGCCTTCATACCAGCCCTGCGAGAGCGACTACCCCCATGGCACCCAAGAGGAAGTGGAGGCTCAGAGAGGTTGAAGGCTTGCCTGAAGCTGCACAGCCCAGGAGCCAAGCCCCATACCTGTCTCCCTTGAGCTGGTGCCACTGGCTGAAGGTAGCATAGCCGTGCTGTGAATCACGAACCGCAGGCAGGAGTCATGGCTCAGTGTCAAATCTGCGTAACATTTCCCAGAGATGACAACTTCCCCCTGCTTTTTCGAGTTGTAGTTGAGGAAAGATTCCATTACACATATACTGAGATTCTGGGTAAGACTGTTTTGTTTAAAAGCATCACTACTAAAAAGTTTTTTAAATATTGGGTTTTTTTTAAAAAAATCCCCCAGATTGTCCAAACCTCTCATTGAGTGAGTAATCAGAGGCCAGAGAGGGCATGGAAGTCAGTTGAGGCCACACAGCATCGAGTGGCAGAGTCAGTCCAGCCTGGGGCCCAGCGTTGCTGTAAACTAGCCCAGGGCTCCATCCACGGGGTTGTGCTAGAAGGAGAGTGGTGTGATCCTGCTTGAGGGTTCCTAGAGGCCTCGACTCACTCAGGGTCCTCCTTCTAGGGACCCTGAATGCCTTGGGTGTGGGCTTGACTAGGGCTAAGGCTGAGACCAAGCCCCAGGCAATGCTGCCATAGCACTTTCCTTCTCTCTCCAGCGGACTCCTCATCTGCACCCCAGGTGACCACACCTGACTTGGTCATTCCTCTACCAAGCGAAGCCTAGCACAGCCTGGAATGAGCACTAGATGAGGAGTCAGAAGTCCAGGATCCAGCCCAGCTGGGCCGCTTCCTAGCAGAGTGAGCAGCACGGGCTGCTTAGGTCCCCTCTCTGGCTTCCTAGGCTATAAAACACAAAGTCAGACCCTCTCCCAAAGCAAATAGGGGCGAGGGGAGTTCAGTGCCCACCCCTGCCTCTCCTGCAATCACATGCTCAGTGATTTCAAAACCAGCTCTGGAGTCAGCTGCCTGCATCAACTCCCACTGTGTGCTTGTGTGAACTGGCCCCCATAGAGCAGAGGTGAGAAAATTAAGAAAGATAATGTAGGTTGAGAGTTTAGGGCACAGTGGGTGCTCAGTAAAAATTAGCTATCAGTCTCATTGCTCCTTGAGCCTCCATTGGCCCCACCTAGCAAATAGATGCACTTGGAAGATGGTGTTGGTTTACCCTGGAGACTAGCCCGGTGCCTGGGGCCAGGCAGTGAGACTGGGGTGGGGAATTGCTCAATACCTGCTCCTGGAAGTATAAATACTTGTAAAAGGGCCCTTGTAATTCACTGTAGTCCCTCTTCCCACAAACCTCCTCCCCCCACCCCCGTCTCCCCCACCTAATAATGCACCTCAAGGGCTGGTGAGTAAATGTTTAAATGACACATATTCCTCTGTTTGATATTTAGTAATAACGACCTGGCCGCATGAGTCACAAACCTGGTTCACAGTCTGTGGCTCAGATACAGCCGCGCAATTCCAGAGGCCCGAAATCCATGAACTCCACAAACATTAATTGAGTGCCGGGCAACCTACTGGTTCATGAGTTGGAAGGGGATAAAATATTATTTAGAAACTACACAGGGCAGGCAGTCACTGTTTTGGACACGTGTTCCCTGATTGTCCATCCTCTGATCCTGAGCAAACTATACTTTATGACCTTTGTTATGAATCAGTGAGGGCCAGCTACGCTTTCAGAAGACCCCCATTTGCAGTTTTGGACAAAAGCCTTTTGGCCTTTACAAATGAAGACCTCTCTTTCTATATTGTGCTAACTCCTTCGTTAGTTAAAAGCTTTCTGTGTCTTTAAAAGGGGGCCGGACCCTGTCATATGGACCCTGAAGCATAGGCTGAAGGCTCATGAAGTCCCACCCACTTTCTGTGACGTTTGGTGCTCCGGCCTCTGATTGCTGGCTTTAGACGTCAATCGCGGGGCGTGTGTCTTACTGGGACACAGTGGAGGTCTCAGCTCTGGTTTTCAGAGCGGTCGGGTGCATTTGCCTACCCTGGCCCCCACGTCCTCGAAGCCCCTGCCGCCAGACCCAACGGCGAAGCCAGCCAGTGGCTCCTGCGGCGCCCTCCCGCACCCGGTCGCTCCTCGCTGGGGCGGGACCTAGCCCAACAGCTCCGGTCACTATGGTCAGTGGTCGTGGGGGGAGATGGGGAGAGCAGAAAGGGGAGGGGGTGGGCGAGGTAGGCGGGGTCGCCGCCGTGGCGCACGTGCACTCGCGGGACTGGGTTCGGGCGCGAGGCTCAGCTCCCACCGCCGGACCCGTGCCATTCAGACCCCCGGGAGTGCTGAGTTGTGAGGGATGCCGGAGCCCGCCCCGTTCCTCCTCGGAAGGCCCCACAGGGCCCGGTAAGCACCCTGCCGTCCCCCACGGATTCTCAGCAAAGGGACCCAGCTCGGCCCCCGTACCCCCTGCCCCCACTCCCTGCGCATTCTTCTCAGGTGTCGAAAGGGTGCCGTCGTAGGTGCCCTCAAGCAGGACCAGGATAGGGGGAGGCTCTAGGGCTAAAAATTGCCCCCTCTTTGTTAAGGAACCCCCAGTTGGCATCTCAGCCATCAGAGACCCCCATCCCAAGCATCACGAGTGGACCCTATGGGGTGCACTCGTGTCCGGATCACTAAACATTCTCTCCGTCCTGTCGTCCTCAGGTGTTCGGAGTTAGGACTCACGGGCAGAGGCCGCCTCAAGTTGTGAGGCAGGTGAATTAAGAGTTAGAACAAAGCAAAGACTAGAGGAGCCCCTGGTTCAGAGTCCTGTCTGAGCAGAAAGGGCTCCAGGGCCCCTCTGAGCTGAACCCCAAACTTAGGGCCTGAGCAGGTGGGGAAACTGAGGCGCAGACGGGGACAGGACTTGGACTGACTATGGTGGACCTGGGGCTTGAACCCAAGGCTCTGGACTCATAGTCTAGTGACTTCAGTGGGCCTTCCCCACTTGGGGGAGGGGTCGGGCAATCTGCAGGGGACTGGGTATGATGACGGCCTAAAACCCTTCACCCTGACCCCCCTCTTCCAGGAAACTTGTAGAGTGTAAGGGCTGGTGGCCCTTATGGCGGCTTGGGGTCACAGCCTGAGTTCAAATCTCATCTCAACCCCTTGAGAAGCTGAGAGGTGGTGGTTGGTCCATTCCCCTCCCTAATACTACTCTGCTCATCTGTGCCATGGGCTGCTGCGAGGGCCACCTGAGGTGACGCCGCTTTTCCTCTGACGACAGAGTCCTGGAAATAGGTGTGCAGGGTGCTTGGTTCTTTGTGCTTGGCCTCTTCCCTCCCACATCTGGGCATGGAAATGAGTCACCACTTCCCTGGTGCTGCTGGGCAGGGTCATGGGTCAAAGCCAGGTCATGGCCCGACATGTTCTGGGTGTGGCACGGGCAGGCAGGTCATCTACGCCAGAGCTGTCCTGGACAAACCAGCTTTTCGCTGGGGTATGGCTGAGGCCTCAGGGGCATCTGGAAGCACCAGCTTCCTGCTTCCAGTGCCCAAGGGTTTACCTTTCTTTGCTGCTCCTGAAGGGCCCAGGTGTTCCTGCATCATCCACGAGGGGGTGGCCTGAGATGGGGTAATAATGGGTTTAGCCACCCTGGAGCTGGACTCTGGCATGCCTTCTGCCACCATTAAACAGCAAGGACTGTGGGGGCTGGAACCCCAACTTCTGATCTTTGTGCAGACCTCTGATCACTCCCTGGTCCTGTGTGCCCTGACTCATGAGACCAGAACCTAGAATGCAGGCAGGTAATGAACTCCAAACCCTTACCTGGTCATTGGGAGGCTTGGATGCCTTGGAGAGGGATGAAGTGATCAACCCACTGAGCAAGACATCTCCAAGGCCTGAGCCTCTCAAATCATGGGGGACCCAGGTTGTACAGGGTCTGTTCTCTTGCATTCACTCAGCACTTACTGAGTACCTGCTGTTTGCCAGGCACCATGGTGACCCTGGGCTGCATGGTGTGGATGGGGTTGTGTGTGTGTTGCACAGAGGAGAATACTTTTGGAAAACACAGCATCTTCCTTCCTTTCCCCATTTCGAAGTCATGGGCTAAGCTTGAGGAAGGGTCCCAGGGAGAAGTCACAGAACCCCTGGGGAAGATGGGGGCTGGGGTGAGGACCAGGCCTGGAGCTGCCGCTGGTGGGGGCTATAGGAAGTGAAGGGTCTCAGGCTCACTCCCAGTGCATTCAGTGTTGGGGGAAGGAAGGAGTGTCTGTAGTGAACAGCACATCACAGGGCCCTGCAGTGGCTGTGTTCTTTCATTTGTCAAACAAGACCCCAGCAGGCAATCTAGGCCGCCAGGCCCTGTGCTGGGTACTGATGAAAGGACCAGGGCCTGCCCTCTCCTAGGAGCCAATGCCTGTTGGTGAAGACAGAGCTGTATACCAGCAATTCCTGAGCCTCTGGCCATGGCCTGAGGAGTCTGACCAAGGGCTTGGGGAGCACAGTGGGAAGCCGGCACCCTCTGGGGGAGTGGGAGGGTTGGCAGGGTTTCACTGAGCAGAGCTTTAGAACTGGTGTGGAAGGGTGAGTCCTTCAGGAAGGACCCCCGGAAGGGTGCATTCAGGCAGGGTGGGATAGCATGCCCAGAGGCCTGGAAATCTTGTTAAGAACGGGATGTTCTAGGTAAAGGTGGTGGCCTGTGTGAGTGTGGGGAGCTGGGGGGGACAGGAGAGTGGAGTCTAAAAAGTAGGTGGGGTCAGCCGGTGCTGAGCAGCTTCACAGGCCGCACTGTGAAGACTAATGCTTCTTCTGCTAATGTGGAGAAGCATACCGATTTTTGACAAGAGATGGTTGCCTGATGATCTCTCTGGCAAAGGAGTGAACCCAGGGATGGCGGTGGCCAGGCTGCAGACTGAGTCCAGCTCGTCCATTCGCTCAGTCGTCCGCTCAGCATGCTGCTTTGGAGCATTACTGGGTGCCAGGCATTGGGGATCGAGTCATGACAGGCAGACATGACTGGATCTCCTTATAGAGTTGACATTCTAGTGGAGGGAGACAGTACGCAAGTCAGGGAGGGAAGCTGCATGCCAGGGAATGCTCAGAAGCAGTGAGACAAGTCAAGGCAGTAGAGGTGGGGTGGTCAGGGAAGGCCTCTCCAAGGAGGTGATGTCACCTGAGTCATGTGAAGAGGCAGCAGCAAGAGAAGGTGCAGATGCCGCGAGGTGGGAATGTGTGTGTCCTGTCAAAGGAACACACAGAGGGTCATGTGGCTGGAGCCCAGGCACAGTGAGGTGAGCAAGGCCAGATGGCGCAGGACCTGGGGGGCTGCCCTCCCCAGGTCAAGGGAAGCCACTGGGGGTGTGGAGGCGGGGCATGCTGTTGGCGGGCTTACACGTTAAACACCTGCCCTGGCTGCTTAACAGTGCTGATAGGAGTAGAGACCAGAAGTCAGTTGGGGACCCTGTGGCAGCCTCTGTGGGGGGTGGAGTTGGTGGCAGCTTAGGCTGGATCCAGGAGCAGAGCTGACAGGGGAGAAAAGGAGGGGAGAGAAGACTCCTGGGCCTCTGGTATAAGCCCTGCTGGCTGGAGGGACCCTTGGGGGAGCTGGGGGCACCTGGGAGGGGAGGCAGGGGTGGAGTGAGAGAGCAGTTAGGGGCGCAGTAATTCCAGGGTGCTGGTCAGACTCGCCAGTGGCTGGTGGCTGTTTGAGGCCAGATCTCCAGGGAGAGGTCAGAGCCAGAGACAAGTTCTGAGGATCCATCAGTGAGATTCTGTGCAGGTTCAGGCATCAAATGAAAGGAGGCCAGTGTCTGATTCAGGGTCTCTGTGAGGCCAGCCAGTGACTGTGACCCAAGGCACATGGGGACCCAGGTGCAGCGTCTTCCCTATTTTCTGAACTGGACAGCAGAGAAGGGGCATTTGGATGGTGGGCTGAGTAATAGCCCCCCTAAGAGGTGCCCATCCTAATCCACAGGACCTGTGACTAGGGTACCTCACAGGCAATAGAGACTTTGCAGGTGCGATGAAGTTAAGAGTCTTGAGGTGAGGAGAGACCCTGAATCGCCCAGGTGGGCCAGTGATGCAGTCACTGGGGTCCTTAAGAGGGGGACGGCAGGAGGGTCGGGCTGAGAAGGAGCTGTGACGATGGAAGGAAGGAGGGGTCGTAAGCCAAGGAGTGCAGGCAGCCTCTGGAAAGAGTTCTCCCCTGGAGCCTCCAGAATCACAAGGTAGTAGTAAATCCATGTTGGTTCCAGTTCCTGGGCTGTACTAATTTGTTACAGCAGCAAGAGGAAACTCATTCGGGGCCCTGGGGCTTTCCTAAATCTTTGGCCTCCAAATATTTTTGATTACTCACCTCAGTAGAAATGTTTTGATCGTGCCACATATTTGTATATTATACATCATACCCTCAAGTAGACATTTGAAAGGGCATTTTTTTCAGTCCTTGAAACAGCCCACCCTGGACACCCCAGCCCCAGGCAGGCAAGGCCAGGGCCGGAGCCTCTGGAAGTGACAGGGACCTTCTGGAAGGGGACAGTAGCAAGGTTCTGGGCCCTGCCCTGCTGGTGGGTGAGGCTGGAGGCTCTGGCTTCTACCATGAAAGAGTCGGTAGCTGGAGGTCAGGCCATGCCACGAGAGTGGCTTCAGGATGGCTGGGCCTGTTTAACGAGGTGACTCACAGCCTAGGGTAGCCCTGCAGAGTAGCCTCAGAGAGAGGTTGGGCTGGCCCAGCACTGGCATTGCCTGCTGGGGCCCTGGGGGCCCGTGAGAGGCCTGCTGACACCTCAGAGCCTGGGCTGGAGGATGCTCACAGTCACCAAGGGCGTATTGGTGGTTTATAGGCAGACACGTGAGCCTGGGGTCGGGCTGTTGAGGAGCCATTGGGTAGTAACAATGGGGTATGTGCAAGGACCAGGTGGAGGCTCTTCCTGGAAGGTGAGTGGGTGCAGAAGGGAGGTGGCTTTTATTATTTCATTCAACAAACGTCTCATCCCCTGCTCTGATCCAGGCCCTGCGTTGGGCCCTGGGGAATCAGCCAGGTGAATAGGAGGTCTCAGAGGTTTGACAAGCCGTCCTGTGCCAAGGGAGGCCCCTGTGGCTTTGGACACTTGGGTGGGTAGGGGCATCTAGGCCCCCAGAAATGCCATTTCTTAGTTGTAGTCCCTCTCCTCTGTCCTGGATGCTGGGTGCAGGAATCGGGGCCACAGGAACTCGTTGTCAGGTAGCAGTTTGGAGTCTGACTGGCGTGGAGACGGGGGTAACCCTGGAAGTCACTCAGTGCTTCTGGTGGTAAGCTGTGCGGAAATCTAGTCATCCGAAATCCAGACACATTTGTCCTGATGGAAAGGGCTTTGTAACATCAAAGGGTTCACTGTGAGCCCTGGCCGGTGTGCCTCAGCTGGTTGGAGCATCGTCCTGTAACCAAAAGGTTGCGGGTTCAGTTCCCAGTCAGAGCACAAGCCTAGGTTGCAGGTTGATCCCTGGTCCTGCCTGATCCTTGTCTGGGTGAGTAGGGGAGGCAGTCAATGGGTGCTTCTCTCTGATACCGATGTTTCCCTTCCTCCCTTCCTCTCACCTTTCTTCTCTCTGTAAAACCAATGGGGGAAAATGCCCTTGGGTGAGGATAAAAAAAAGGCTCCACTGTGAGCGAGGTGGCCTTGGCTGAAGTCATATCCAGTCAGGAGCCTGAGAGGCTGCCCTGGAAGGCTCTTGTGGTCGAAGGCAGTCGTCAAAACCGATTTCCATTTGCAAAAATCTGTGAGATTGTCTCCTTGGGTCGTGTGCAGGTACCAGGGCCCCCTATTTTAAACTGTTAACTACCAATGGCTTTAACACCAATTCAATTTCGTTATTTTTGTGCTGTGATCAGAGCTGTTCCTGGGGTGGGTTGGAGCCCCGGGTGCATCTCCTACCTGTTTAAGCCCCAATTCTGGGTGGGGAAAAATCTGAGCCAGAGGCATGGGCTGCGGGGGGTTGGCTATTCAGACAGATCCATCTCCTGCACTTGTGAGGCTCTGCCAGCACCTGCTCCCAGCCAGATGACTTCCCGGCTCCCCAGAGGCCCGAACTCTGGGCCAGGAGGCTAATCCCTCTGGGGTGGACTTGACCTAGACTCGGAGCTGGGCTGCAATGCGAACTTTCACCAGTAGGTGGTGCACCTGGCCCGGTGTTACTGCTTCCGCATTTCTAGCATGGGGCTGGTGCAGGCTGGATGTTTAATTGTTGGATTTAAGAAAGAATGTACGAATAAGACGGGAAGGATAGAGGAGACAAAGGGACATGTCACACTCCAGCATGAAGGCCCACTAGGTTGGAGGCATTGTATTCTATAAAATGAATCGGTTCGGCAGTGACAGGGCGGTCCCTCCCCATGATGGGGCCGACCTGGCTCCCTGCCCAGGGAACGTGGTGTGCAGCGTCCTTCTCACGCCACGCGTGCCTTCCGTGGGGAGCTCACGGTCACTGTGTTGGGCAACCGGCACTTCAGAGGCTTCGTACGTGGTGAAGGCCCATCAGTTGCTTTTGAAATTGTCACAGCTTTGCTTGTCTTTTAGAGTGAAACATCTTTCAACCTAATATCAGAAAAATGTGACATTCTATCAATTCTCCGGGATCACCCTGAAAACAGGATTTACCAGAGGAAAATCCAGGTGAGGCCGAGGGTCAGGAGAGGCTCCTAGATTAGACAGGCTGGAGTCGGGAGCAGAAGGGACGGTGCCAGTTCGAAGGCTAACAGGCTTAGCATTTGAACCAGGTCCTGGGCAAATTAAAGGGCTCCCAGAATATTTTGGTGTTGGGCATTTGCCTTGGTGAGAAATCCTTTAGTTGCAAAAAAAGGAAAAAAAAAAAGAATTTTAAGCTAGGCACTGTCCTAAGTGCTTTATTTACTCACTGAAACCTCGCTGCAGCATTGAAGGTCAGTACTTTCATTACCCACGTTTACAGCCCAGGGAGCCGAGGCTCGGAAGTTAAATAGCAGGCCCACCGTCCCACAGCTAGTGCGTGAGCAAGCTGGGGTTTGGTCCGGGCAGCCTGGTCACTTCCCCCGCACCACTCGCTGCACCAGTCACCACCCTGGAGGGAGAGCCCGCTCCAGCGGGGCTGCCAGAGCAGAGCAGGCACAGCTCACAGAACAGGGCCCCCGGGCAGCAGGCGTCTGCTTCCCTCTGTGCCCTGGCAGGACTGTCTCTGGGGCAGGAGCAAGGACGGGGCAGCACACTGACTCTCGTGGCCCCTGGGGCGTTCTCGTCCTTCCCTGCTGGCCTGTCTCAGCGGGCTCGTCAACTCTGAGCCCTCTCATCCGTGGTGAGAAGGGGACTCCACAAGCTATTGGAAACCATCTCTGCTGCCAGAACTGGAGCCTTGTGAGGGAGGCAGTGAAGGGGACCCAGGCCATTTCAGAGGGAGACTGACAGTGGGGGGTGCAAAAAAAGGGGTGTCGTGGGGGGACCTCACCTTTTGAGGTGTATTTGAAGGACAGGTCAGACTGCTTCCTAAGTTTGAGAAGGCCCTTCTAGCTGACTCTGCAGCCCCCGCCCACCACGCAGCCACATGGAACCCGCCTCCGCTTACGCCGTCCACTCCCACCATGCCCAGCCCTCCTGCTCCTCTTCTGAAGCCTGGGGTGGAAGCCATCGCTCCTGGCCACCCCTAGGGCCTACCCCGTACTCCTGCTGTCCTCCTTTCGAGACTGTACCCCCCAGACCATAGAGAGCCTGAGGGCAGGGCTGAGGGGGACCCCAGTCACCCCCTGGGGCTGGACACAGCAACTGGCTCAGAGTTTCTATTTGCGGGATGAATGAGAGTTGGGAGGCAGTGAAGGGCCAGGCAGGCTGTGGGGGAGCTGGTGTTACCTGGGGGTGAGGGCCTGGCCCCGACAGGACACCGCGGGAGGGGTGTCGCTGCAGACATTGCCCACGTTTCCTGATCTCCCCACAGGAACTCAGCAAAATGTTCACCGCAATCCGCAAGACCAAGGGGGACGGGAACTGCTTCTACCGGGCCCTGGGCTATTCCTACCTGGAATCTCTGCTGGGGAAGAGCAGAGAGATCCTCAAGTGAGTGGGCAGAGGGTGGGCTCCCTGACTCAGGGTCCACGTTCTCTGTTCTGTCGGTGCTGAATTTCCTTAAGGGTTTTTCCTTGGCACAGACTGCTTAACCCCGGGAGCGAGCTGGAGGGCTGCCTGGCAGCGCTGCTGATGTTCGGCAGTGCCCAGCTGCCTGCTGTGTTGGAGGAGGGGGCAGCCAGGCAGCTGGGGAAGGCACTAATGACCTAACAGTCACTGAGCACTCAGGGCTGGTCGGAGGAGCCTGGCGTCAGAACTCCTTTGCTAATGCAGGTTTCTCAGTGGTGGCACTGCTGACATCTTGGGCAGATCCACTGTTGTCCTGCGGCTGTCCTCTGGCCTGTGCTTGTAGGACGGTTAGTAGCATCCCTTGCTTCCACCAACTGGCTGCTGGGAGCACTCCCCTTCCCCAAGCCATGATAATCAAAAGTGTCTCCAGACATTGCCAGGTATCTCCTTGGGGGGGTGGGTGGGGTGTGGGGGGGGGGGGGCTGTCAAGCCTGGTTGAGAACTGCTAGGTTAAGGCCATCATCTTCTGTTCCCAATATAGATGACCCGAAGGCAGACAGAAATTAAGCCACCTATTCTTTATTTCGAATGAGTCATTCATATCATTTCCTGAATGACAGACTGGCTGAGCCCCTTTTGATGGAGAGTGAGCTATCTCAAGTCACTCCCCACCCCCACCTTCTTGCAGCCGTGCAGGTGAGAGGTGGCAGAGTGAACGGGTCGCCCCACCAGCTGTGTGCCCCAGAACTGTGACATGCAGAGGCCCTGGGCTCTGAGCTCAGACCTCACTCTCTTGCTTACTTGCTGTGTGACCTCGTGCAAGTGACCTGACCTTCCTGAGCCTGTTTCCCGTCAGTGAAATGTGGATCATGTTGCATAGTTCTGGAGATTGACTTTATTCAGCATGGCAGTGCCAGCAAGGCTCACCCCTGTGTCTCTGTCCCCTTCACCCCTGCCCTCCCTGCCGTCTCACCCAGTGGGGTGCCGCACAGGGCTCCCTGCTGGAGCCCTGGGGATGCAGCGGTGAACGGCACACAGAGCACCTTCCCTGCCTAGGGCTCACATCCTGACGAGACAGACAGTTCATCAGGACAGTGTTTGAAGGGGTGAATGGTGACGCGTGTGGGGAAAAAATCGTTAGGGAAGGCAGCCAGGTTGTCCAGGGGCAGGGAGTGTTGGAGCCGTGAGGGGGGCAGGTCACGTGGGGCCTTGTGGGCCTCCATAAGGACCTTAAATGCTCATACTGGGCGGGCGCAGCCTGGAAGCAGCAGGGGTGGTGCTCAGGGAGAGATCCCCGAGGAGAGAAGCGGTCAGACTCCAAATACCTGTGGAGTTGGTGCCAGCAGGGTTCCCTCGTGGTGCGGGCCTGGTGCAGGCTGCGTGGCGGGTGGTGTGAGCGGAGGGGGGTCAGCATGACTGCCGCGGGCATTTGGCCTGAGACTTACCGGGAGAGAGAAGCCACTTGCTGCAGAGAGGCCGGAGAGGCGGGGAGCTCCAAATTGGGGGTTCCCAGTCTGAAATGTCTGTGAGCCACCAAGGCGGGTGTGCAACCCTGGCAGCGGGATGAGTGAGGCTGGCGTTACCCCCACTTTGTAGTAAACTGAGCTTCAGAAAGGTCGAATGACCTGCCCAAGGTCACACGGAGGCTGGTGTCAGCTGAGAGTCGCAGTACCACACTCCTCCTCCCTCACATCGTGGGGGCATGAGTCCTGGCCTGGGTGTTCCCCCCCCCCCCGTGTCTTGTACATCGCGGTGTCCCTGGTGCCTGGCACAGTGGGGGTGGCAGTCATTGGTGAGGAACGGTGTGGGATGCTGTGGAGGTTCAGGGGTGGGGGCAGGGGAGCTGGGCGAGGGGGAGCAGAGCTGTTCGGACCGCCACCTCGCGGGGACAGCGACCAGAAGGATCCTCACAGCACCTGCACCACCCACACAGCACAGCGGGGAGTCCATGGCCCGAGAGTGACCCAACAGACCTCAATGCCCAGCACAGCACCACCCCCACCTGCCCTGGCCAAACCACACTTCGTATAATTTCAAGCTTACGTAACTTGACTTTTAAATAATGGCTGTTTCAAACCTGGCTGGCTGATTTCTTGAGAATTTAACAACTAGTTCTTGTGAGAGCAGACAAACCCGTTCCCTGGCCGTGGGGTGGGAGGGGCTCTGTGGCTGGACGAGATGAGGCTGGCGAGCTAGGCAGGGGCCCTTCCTGGGCACCGGTGCTGAGGGAGAGGGCTGTGGCAGGTCACTCAGGGGTCCCTGTGCGGAAGGAACCAGGAGCAAGGACAGGCTAGGCACGGCCTATGCCAGAGGTGGTGATGAGCCACGGGGACAGAAAGGAGGGACAGAGCCACGAGACCTTTGTCTCAAGCAGGTGATCACCTCACTCCCTTCTCTGCGGAACTGGTAGAATACCCATGTCCTGGCATCGTGCACTGTGCGGACAGGACAGGTCCGGGTGTGGCCCATGTGGAGGTGCTGTGAGAGGCAGGGACGTCCTCCCCGTTAGTGACATCCACCTTCTCACTGTGCCGGGGACAGCTGGTGAGAGTGGCTGACCGCTGACAGTCACAGCGGCGCTCCCCGGCATTTCCCAGTAAGCACCAGTCTACCCCTCAGGTTCAAAGAGCGTGTGCTGCAGACCCCCAACGACCTCCTGGCCGCCGGCTTTGAGGAGCACAAGTTCCGAAACTTCTTCAATGCTGTGAGTTACCCTGGGCACAACGGCTGAAGACCGGGGCCCTCCACGCTGGCAGGGCGGACAGGAGTGGGCGCTGCCGGTGCTCCCTCACAGCCACGGCTCTGTGCTGCACCCCGCCCCTCCTCCCGGCCGGGGAAGGACCGAGATTGCCCCCTGCTTGTAGAAACATGGGGGCCCTGCCCTCCTCCTGGGAGGGGTGCCTCCTTAGGGGAGCTCTCAGGCTGGAAACTCCTTCCCACCATTTTCTCTCCAGCCCACCCTGACCCCATTAATGAAGGCGAGGGGGATCTCTCCGTTTTAAGTAAGCATCTCAGCCGGACAGTGCAGAGACCAACTGCAGCTCGCTGGACACGACTGGGCCACATCACTCATCACAGGGTGTTTCTAACCCCGTGACTTAGCTTTGGGGGATCTCAGATTGATTTTGGTACCTTGACTTGGAGATTTAGAGGTGAAAACTCAGTGGAGGGGCCCTGGGCGGGGCTGTGCGGCCTGGCGCGGGCCCGCCCTGGCTGACCTGCGGGGGCCAGTTTTACAGTGTGGTGGAACTGGTGGAGAAGGACGGCTCCGTGTCCGGCCTGCTGAAGGTGTTCAACGACCAGAGCGCCTCCGACAGGATCGTGCAGTTCCTGCGCCTGCTCACCTCGGCCTTCATTAGGAACCGCTCGGACTTCTTCCGACACTTCATCGACGAGGAGATGGACATCAAGGACTTCTGCACTCACGTAGGTCCTCAGGGCCTCGGGCTTTGGGGACTGGGCCCCAGCCCTGGGCTCTGCCCCACCCCCTCTCCTTGGGAGACAACAGAGCACCTGGCCAGGGGCTGTGGGCAGGGCTCTGTATTTGCAATTCAACGGGCACAGATAAGCCAGAGAAGCACCCTACTTGAACTGCCTGAACCGTGTGGCTTTGGGCAAGTCACTTCTCTCTCCCAGCCTCAGACTTCCCACCTGAGAAAAGGGGCTTCAGACTAGACCGTGACATAATTAAGGAGTCACATTTGCCTGAAGATGTGTTTTGTTTACCATGTACGGTATTAAGCCCTCATTTAAACACTGGGCACCTCTCATGAGACCCAGCTCCAGGCCTTATTCCTGCATGGCCACCATCAAGAGACGCTAAGTGGCTGACACGCTGTGACCCAGGCCCACGAAAGCCAGGGTTGGAATTCCCACTGGTCCTCTGCCAGGCCTCCTTCCTAAACCGCTTTTTGTGTTTTTTTCCATTTTGGCCTTTGCAGGAAGTGGAGCCGATGGCCACGGAGTGTGACCACATCCAGATCACGGCCCTGTCTCAGGCCCTGAACATCGCCCTGCAGGTGGAGCACGTGGACGAGACGGACACGGCCCTGAACCACCACGTGTTCCCCGAGGCCGCCACCCCTTCCGTTTACCTGCTCTATAAAACTTCCCACTACAACATCCTTTATGCAGCTGATAAACGTGATTAATTTTAGGCCACGAAGTGGAGTCTGTACCCTAACGGGGACTGCATTCTGAATGGAACATTATGGCTCTTCAATTTTTTAAGCGATTTACACTGTAGTTAGAAAACAGAACACAGACTTTGGGGCAGAGTCCCTGGGAATGAGGCCTCCCAATTATGGACTGTGGTAATTTGGCAGTATTTTTAATATTCATTTTCACAAAGGACCAAATGGTTTTTAACTCGAAGTTAGGGTCCAGGGTCCTGGCTCTGCTCCAAGTCCCTCAGGACCTTGGGTGAGTCCCTCCCCTCCCCGGGCCTGTGTCTCCAGCACTGACATTCTCCTGTTCTACACAAATAAGCCAGGGCTCTCTGGTTTCTCTTCACCGTGGGCAGCGCTTCTAAGGGAGGAGAAGCTCAAGGTCAACTGTCTTAAGCGACTTACAAGTTCTATAAAAGTGAATCCAATCTAACCAACTGTTGGGACTGGACTCTGGTGGATGGCTGGATGAGCGCCGGCCAGCTGGGGCCAGCCAGAACGCACAGGCTTCATTCAGCGCTGTTCCAAACTTCCGTGATGGGAGCGTTTTCTTACCCCTGACTTCAGAAGGAGAGACTTATGCCAAAGCCTAGAAAGCGGACTTTAGCAGGAAGTTCAAGCTGTTGGGCCCCCTCTACCTCTCTCAGGGCCAGGACTGCCTGCCTGGCCCCTCAGGGTTCTGCCGCCATCCCCACTCGGACAACTGCTCAAGAAAAATGAGAATCTGGGAGCTGGAAGCTGTGCATCCATCCCCAACGCGTACCCTGAAGTAGAAGCAGGCACTCAGGTGGAGATGCTGGCACGTGCAGCCAGACTCCAGCTGGGCAGAACAGACACGTTTCACACGGCTGCATTTTTTCTTCTTTCCCCATCCCCCGCTTCAGCTTGGTTTATGGGCTGGCGAGAGGTCAGACGGGAAAGAACACAGGCAAGCCAAAGAAACTGGGATTGAGGGAGACTTCTGGAAACTGCCTGGGAGTCGAGAGCCCTGGCTGGCAGCCTCCTCATTCGCCCACCTGGACACGCCCACCTGGACACGCCCCTTAATAACCTCACCTGCTGCCTCAGGACGTCAGAGCCCTGGCTGGGCTGGGGCACTGCTAGCCAGTTCTCTTCCTCTGCGGGAGGAGACAGAGAAGGCAAGGGTGTGGCGCCGCCCTGTGTGCCACTTCCTTCATCAAAGGCCTCCTCACCGGCTCCGATCTGCAGGGATTTGTCAGAGTCTATTAGCGCTGTGTGCAGCGCGGGTCTGCTCCGAGTCCTGGGACACAGGTCACGTCAGGGTGCTTAAATTCCAGGCAGGGGTGTAGGTTCCTGTCCTGCCATCGGCTGGAATGTGAACCCAAGGGCTCAGACTGAGTGGTATGTCACTTGTCCACAGGAATGTGAACCTGACCCTTACGTCCGAATTACTTCCGTGTCCCGCCTGCTCCGAGCAGGGTTGGGCTCCATGACAGCACACTGAGGGGGGGACGTGTTACGTAGTGTGTGAGTATTGGCGTCCCCACCCCCAAACTGAAGAGCGGGGACACACGACACAGCGGCCACTGTGAAGGTTGTGAGGTGGGTCCTGAGCCCCAGCCAGGCGCCCCGCGCAGCGTGAGCTGCACTGGCTGCCGCTTCCCTGCACGCGTGGCTTGTGCAGCTCTCACAGAAGCGGTTTTCTCTTTGGCAGACTGGCTGGAGAAATCCCCTCTGAGACTTACCTACACTGTGCTTCCAGGCCTGGGGCCCACCAGTGCTCAGCTGGGACCCTCTTCCCAGGAGAGAGCCCACCAGCTAAGAACCAGAGTGCCCGAGAGAGGCGGGCCAAGTTCCTTTCCCTGCGGGAAAGCACTGCAGAAAGAGTGGCAGGGTTCAGTGGAACTCTCAGACGGGTGGCTCTATGTCCGAATAAACCCATTAAGTTGAAAGTATTTTAAGTGGAAAATGCATTTAATACACCAAACCAACTGAATGTCAGTTTAACGTAGCCTACCTCACATGTGCTCAGAATACTTAGCCTACTGTTGGGCAATTATCTTGGGTTTCATCTCAAGAACCCTCTCTTCTCAGCAGCAGGAGACAGACGGGTGGGATGAGAAAACAAAACACAACATCTGAAAAGTGCTGGTGACGGTGTGCCCTGCAGCGCACCGGCGGCCCGGAGCCACAGCTGGCCCGGAGCCGCAGCTCGCTGCCGCCACATCACGGCAGAGCAGCTCACCACATTTGACCAGCCCCGGAAAGACCAAAACTCAGAATTCAAATACGGTTTCCACTGAATGTGTGCATTCACTTTTGTACTATCAGGAAGTAAAAAAATCTAAGTCAGGCACAGTCCGACTTGTTGAAATCAAGCCATGCTAACAATCACTGTCCTTGGATGATTCTCCTCCCCTCCCCACAAAGCCATCCCTTTCCAGACCAAAAGCTGGAAGGAACGTTGCTTTAAGAGTTTATAACTGCGTATTTATTACTTTCTTTCCCGAGGAAACTTCATAAATCGGGAAATATTTACCAACAAAAAGAACAAACTCTCCTGGCTTTTGACTGGGTCCCTATTTAAGCATAAAGTAGCTCTTGCGGCGGCTTGCGTTTGGATCTCAACTTTGTAACTTACTAGCCCTGTGACCTGGCCAAGACACTTGGCCCCTCTGAGCCCCAGGTCCCACGTCAGTGAAACAGCTGCACATCACAGGACACTGGGTAGAGTGGAACGAGACTGTGTGAAAACAACTACAAGACCCGACGTGTAGTGAGTGTTTCACATCCCAAGGGCAGCAGCGGTACTGCTCAGTAGGGGGACATGTCACCTCGCCAGTGGCACTATGGTTTCCCCAACAGTGGCCTAAGAACCACACACATCCCCTTGCTGAGCAGAAATGGGGGCGGGGTTGTGGCTCTGAGTGGCTGCGCTGGGGCCTTAGGTCCTTCAGCAGGAGTGTCAGACTCACGCTCACCCGGGGCCACATCAGCCAAGTGGTTGCCTTCAAAGGGCCGGATGTGGTTTTAGAACCATAGAAATGTAACTAACTCCTTACCTAGGGGCAAGGAGCTCGGTGCTGCCGGGGTAGAAACAAGGTGCCGGTTTGCCCTCGGACCTCATGTTTGCCACCTGTGCCCTACAGCTTCCCAGGGCAGTTGGAGAAATCATTTCCTAGCATTACAGTGGTTTCCCTGACGACTTTTGTCCTGGCTTATCACTACTTGGTACCGGTGGGGCTTGGGTGTGAGTGGACTGGGGGTGGCGCTCCGCTCCTTGCTGAGTGGAAGGTCCAGGTATTCGGGAAGCCCTGCCGTTGGGCTGCAGGCATCAAAGGAACCACACGCCTCATCAGGTCAGAGAGCAGAAGTGCCTGGGAGGCTGGCCTCATCTTCTAACACCTACCCCACCAACATGTTACTCCAGCAAAATGAATAAAGAAACAAGACTTGCCGTGAGAAGTGAGGGCAGGATGTCAGTGGACATCAGTAGATCTGTCTGGCCTGTGACAAGTGGCCCTGGGCCGCTCATGGCTCAGGCTGCTAAGGGACTCGAGCTTCCCAGACCCCCATGCATTATTTAGAGAACAGAGGACCCCCGCTATCCTCTGAGGGCTGTCGCTCAGGCGCTGACCTCAGTCTAGGGCTGTCTTCTTCCGCATCCTCCCCTCCAGGTCACTGGTGACACTGCTGTCTCTGGAGACCGAAGCCATTTTCTGAACTTGCTCTGGGCCCACAGGCGCACACCCGGGGCTCCAAACCAGCTCTGCCACAGGCCGCTGTGCGACCCCAAGAAGTTTTAGGCAGTGTCAGCCTTCTCAGCTACAAAAAAGGACACTGAGACTCATGTCTCAGGGCCCTGATGGAGACAAGACGAAATGATAGTTGAAATAGCTAACAGTGCCTCCCAGTGCCTGGGACTTGGTCTACACACAACGATACCTGAGCCTGGGTTCAGATCAACATTCTGCCGCAGTCACCTGAAGGGGCTGAGGGGACACTGCTGCCATCCTGCCAACCTTGCCAACCGCGGGGCAGAGGGATACCTGTTTAGAAGCCCAGACTCGGCTGCACAGAATCTGCGCTTCTCCTACGACTGAGGCAATCGTGGCTGCTCATCCAAACTGACCCAGAGGAAACCAGGGTGACATGGGGAGGCCACCGGTTCCCTCAGCACATTTACACCTCGCTCTGACCTAAGCTGAGGGATGTAAGGGCCATAAAGCAGCCTCTGCTCTCAACCAAGACGCTGTGGGTGCGGCAAGTGCTGTGAAGAGGGGAAGCGTGGGTGTCTTGAGAGCCCACGGCAGGTGCGCTCTCCAGAGGTCCCGGGGACCGGGGAGGCGAAGCGGTGCCCAAGGATGGGAAAGGCATCAGGCCGAGGGAAAAGCTGACGCTAAGGCTCAGGACAAGAGAAGGGGCGTATGGGCGCATGGGAAACAACCAGTTCTGTCACAGAGCGGGGAGAGAGGCAAGGCCAGAGGAATGGTCTAGGACCAGGTCCTGACAACCTCACACACAAGTGCCTCTGATGTCAGAGAAGCCTGTGCTCTCTTGGAACCTGGCGATGGTGACCTCTTCCCTGCCCGCCTCCCCAAGTGGCTCAGACAAAACAACAGCTGCCAGCGAGTGGTAGGGAGCCCAGGAGCTAAGGGTTCTGCTGTGGGGAAAGCAGGGACGTATGCTGAGGACCCAGGCAGGATGATTTCACAGTGATCCACAAAACTCGCTGGCCTGCTGCTCCATCCGCACTGCCCAGCGGGGTGGGGCACCGCCATGCACATCCTGCAGCCAGGGGACTATGACACAGTACCCCCCACGTCCTGGCTGAAAACACAGGAGGGCATGCTAGTTCAACTGTTTTTAATTAAGGAAATCAAGTGGTTTACATAACAATAACAGCCTGTAAACACTGACACACAGATATACATGAGCTGCTGCAAAGAATTCTTACTCCAAAAAGCAACGCAAATCTGTACGAGGTCCCCCCACTACGGGGCTGGTGTGGAAAAGAGGGAGACTTTCGTAATCAGGCTGACAGTGGAATGAAAGGAAAGATGGAAATTTCCCATAGAGACACAACATGTGGTCACTAGCAGACTCTGACACGGGGGCAGTTAGTGAGCACTGGTACTTGGCTGTGGCTCTCCCTGCTGCCCTTTTGTTTTTGGCTCCGGCTTCTTCTTCTGCTGGGAGAGGCGGCTCAAGGCGGACTCACCGTTTCTCGGGGCAGGCCTGAGCGCAGGCGGCTTGCCAAACTGAGTTGGATACTTGGTTTTCAGCTCATCTTTAAACAGTGGTTGGGAGAGCAAATGGCGCAGCTCCCTCTTCAGCACCTTCATCTGCTTCTGTCTCCGGCGCTCTTCTTGCTGGTCGGCTCTACCTCCTTGAAACACGATACAAAAAAAATCATTTACTAGAAGACGGTTTCTCCTGATGGAAAATACTTGCGATGAAGAATGTTTTGGAACTCCTGGACAGGAAGAGGTCAGAAGTCCTCTGCAGAAACTAGTGTCGACTGTCCCAACACAGTTCAGGAGGGACAGGTACTGGGGGCCGCTCCGTCCTCTACCTCTCACGAAAACCCTCTAAGGTAGGAATTACCTTCCCCTTACAGTCCAGGAAACTCAGAGGTCATCTGCCGAAGGTCACAGAGCTAGCTGTCCAACAGATTGGAACCCAAGTCTCTGGACTTGAATATCAGTTTTCTTCCTATGACCCACCCCCTCGCAGCCTGGAGTTGGACAACTCAATAGCAGCAAACTCCTCAGGAGACAGGAAACGCCGTCTCTGCCACCCAGCTCTTCCGCACCTCCCCACCAGCACTGTGACGGCCCCTGCGAAGGCGGGCACAGCCAAGGGGCTCCACGCCAGCCTGTCCTCAGGAGGGAAAGCCAGAGCCTCGTGCGCCTGCAGCCCTGGCCCCAGGCCCGAGCTACCTCACTGTCATCAAGCCCAGTGGTCTGGTTTCTGGCTTCCACGCTGAGCAGACAGGAGCATATCTGCCTCTGAGTCTGTTGGGTTTGGCACTGAGATGCCAGCATCCCAGCTGGGCTCACCTAGGGGCTGGAAAGAGCACTGGACCTAACTGGTGTTGTCAGTTCCAGATGCGCTTCTGCCACTTAGACTCGGGAGCTTCCTAAGGCAGGGACTACACAGATTCAGCCCTGAATCCTTAGCCTTGGGCCCAGGAAATGCCGGGTAGGGGGGCTGTTCTCCTACACAAACTGCTTCTCCTCTGTGAGCCCTGGTTCCCCTACTAACCAGGGGTAAAAGGGTAATTATTCTTGCTATTTGTCATGAGAGTGTGGACATCAGATGAGAAAATGACCAAAGTGCTTCATTACTTGGAAGACATGTGTAGTAGTAACAATGACAACAAATAACTTAAGCCCTGGTTGGTGAGGCTCAGTGGACTGAGGCCAGCCTGTGAACCAGAGGGTCACTTGCTGGTCCGATCCCCAGTCAGGGCACGGGTCTAGGCTGCAGGCCAGTTAAGAGGCATGTGAGAGGCAACCACACATTGATGTTTCTCTCCCTCTGTAAAAATAAAGTCTTTTTATAAACAAGTAAATAAGTAACTTGAAATGTACCAAATACTTTCTACTTGCCAATCGCTGTTACAAGCACTTCAAAACCATTGAGTCAGGCCCTCTTCACAACAGCCCCATGAGACAGGTACTTTGTAATCTGCATTTTATCCATGAGGACGGCCTAGGGACAAGAAATTAAGAACCCTGACCGGCTAACAGAGCCAGCTGGGGGAGCAAGCTGGCACTCAGACACGGGCAGCCTGGCCACGAACCCTGCTCCCAAAGTCACTGTCTCCTCCACATGTGGGTTGTGGCCGAAGGCTCCAGACAGGACAGAGGGAACAAGAGTTTTAGGTTCATCTGGGAGGAGGGCCTGCTGCAGAGAAGGGAACGGCATCTTGCCGACTTTGACAGCACCCCTGGTGGTGGGGAGGTTCCAACAAGACAGAGGTTGACAGGAAAACAGAATAAACAAACTGAATGCACCTGCACTCCTGTCCCGCCAGCCCACTCACCCTTATACATCTCCTCGTCCAGCTCAATCTCAAGGGCAGCTGCCGCCTGCTCGATCCACGAGTTGTGCAGACACGCCTGGAAGTTCCGGTACTCCGCTTTCTCGATCTGCCGGGCCAACTGGATTCGCCCCTGGGCCAAAGGAACAAAAAGTGTTCCTCTGATGATGGGTTCAGGCTGCTGGGAACCAAAGTCTATCCGGGTTGCGGGTTTTTGTTTTGTTTTTTTTTAGAAATGCTCTTGGGCCCTGGCGGGTGTAGCTCAGTGGATTAAGTGGGGGCCTGCGAACCAAAGGATCACAGTTCGATCCCCAATCAGGGCACATGCCTGGGTTGCAGGCCAGAGGATGCAGGAGAGGCAACCATACATTGATATTTCTCTCCTTCTCTCCTTCCCTTCCCCTCAAAAAATAAATATAATAATTTTTAAAAAGCCTTAAAGAGAAAGGCTCTTGGGACCAGTGGTCCCTGGTAAAAAAGCAGAGGGCAATCGTTACACGTGAGTACACACAGGAAACCAGAGTGGCCGGCTTCCCACACAAACCCAAGGAGCCCCCCCTTGGAAGCCCACTTGGCTCGGACCGCCAACCTGCAGGTGTCCGAAGGAACGCCTTCCCAGGCACCATGGCTGGCCTCCACGGGCCAGCCGGGACCCCGAAGCACCTCCAGCCCTCAAGCGCAGGGACCACAGACTCGCGGTGCTGCCTTCCCTCTCTTCCACGCCGTGCTTTCGGAGAAACATTTCAACCCTCCCTCTCGTGGGTGCTGGGGCCAGACAGCGGTCACAGGACACACCAAAAAAAGGGGAGCGACCTTGCCATGTGAGGGAAAGGAGCCATGAAAAGCCAGGGTGGCCCCTGATCTCCTTACTAACGGTGTCCTTTGTACCCGCTCTCCATCCTCATCTCCCCATGTTCTCCCGAAGTCTGTGAAACGTCCCGTGCTTTTGCTCCCTTAGTTCCTGGAACTTCACCTCCTCTTCACATCTCCATGTCTCTGCCTAGAGGAGGCTCAGAGAAACCCTCATCGCCCACCAACTCGACCTTGGCCCACTAGTCCCACAGGCCTCCGTTTGTGCCTGAACACCAGCGTGGGCTCAGCCTGCCTCACAAGCCAGTGGACCTCCACGGAGAACGCAGCCCACTTGCCATCTGACGCACTCTGGCCCACAGGGAGTGGCACCCGCTCAGCGAGTGCCGAGGAAGATAAAACAAAACCCCAAAGGTAGAATTACTGGCACCTGCTTCAGGACCGCGACAGACCTCGAGTACCTGGCTCACAAGACACTGCCCTCACTTCCCTGCACCCACCGCAGGGCATGGCCAGACTGCCCTTGTCCGGAGGAGGAGGGGGAGGAGGGCGAGGCTTTAGGGGAAGGTGGTTCAGGGAGGAATCCCTCCCTTTCGGCCGCTCACCCTTCCTCCTTAGACCAGGGACAGCGCGCCACCCCACGTTGCTATGCACCCCCGTTTTGCTCCTGGCATCCTTAGTTTCTCAGGTGTGGGAGCGACTTTCCACACAAGTCCCGTGTGTCACGGATGAGAGTAAACATGACTGAGACATGATGTGATCTGCTTGGGGAGGAGAAGTGGCCCATTTCTCAGGGGAAAAAGGCCTCAAATCCCCTCCTCCAGGGCTTTTATTGGGTTGTAATACACAGGAATACAGGGGGCAAGGATCAAACAGTAGATGACATTTCAAAGAAATCTGAGGGCTTACTATGAGTCAGTGTCTGTCAGGAACAGAGTTTTAGGGTTTCCTACTGGAACCCTTAACATATGAATGAAAGCACTCTTAGCAGAGATTTCACAAGTCTTTGTGGTACCAGATTTTTTCCCCAGGGCACGATCTAGCAAGGCAAGGAGCTGCACCCTCCCCAACAGGTATTCAGGCTTAAGGGGATTAGAGCCAGGAAGCGCTTCTCCCAGAGGACACTGGAACTCGGGCTTTGTCAAAGCCGGGGGTGGGGGCAAGAGTCCATCGCTCTCTGTTGCAGCCCCCCCGAGTCCTTCCATGAAGGCCTCCCAAGTGATCGAGTCTGGCTTAGGTTGCCCCCCGCTGTGAGGGGGTCTTACCTGTCATTGACTTCTGACAGAGCTTTGGGGGCAGGGAGAGGAAACTGAGGCAGCGTTTGCTACCTGAGACAAGCTTTGTCTCCTGCAGCTGGCATTCCAGAGGTCGTCCCTCGCCCTTAGCCACAAGGGGTAAAGTTACGATTCCCAGAACCAAGCACAGCTGTCTACAACACTCAGGGTTATACTTCCGAGGTGAGGGAGCAGCACGACCCCTCCCCTCATTAGCAGTGGGCTTTCACCTTCTTCTTACCTTGACTGCGTCCATGTACTTTGTCTGCACGGGGAAGAATGGGATGTCCTCATCTTTCTTGAGGGTTTTGTAAATCTTCTTAAAGTTGATCATGTCCTCAGGCCCAATCAGCATCAGGCTGAGACCCTCACTGGCGGCCCGAGCAGTCCGACCACTTCGGTGCACGTAAATCTCCGAGGTGCGGGGGACCTGCCGAGGGAGGACGGGGAGTTTGTATGTGGCCACCCCGGCTCTTCCCCTCAGGGCCAGCTGCCCTCTCAGCCCAGCAGCCAAGACCCTCTCCGGCACCATGGGCTGAGCCAGCTCTCCTCCCCCTCCCACAGGCAAACTGTCCCCAGGTTTACCTCCAGTTCACCATGCGGGCCCTGGTTCAGCCCCTCACGGCTACTCCAGTGGAAAACGGCAGGCACTTCCTACGTGGTCTCTAGTCCTCCCCACTCTCCCTGACCCAGCCCAAAGCTGCCAGCGTCACCTTCCTGAGTCAAAGCTCTGACCTTTATACCCAACCCCCTAAACCCACTGGCTCTTCATTAATTCTACACACACAGCTGATGACAGTAAGCATAGCCAACATTTACTGAGTTATTACAATGTGCCTGGCAGTTCTAAACACTGCATGTACTGTCCCACTTACTCCTCAGAAACAAATGCTAAGCAAGCAATTCCTTCTAGGTCATCCAACTAAGTGGTGAAGCCAGGACTTGAACTGAAGCAGTCCAGCTCCCCACTCCCGCGGCACACACTGCTGCTCAGTCTCGGTCTTCTCCCTGGAGCCCAAACTAAGGCACAAAGAGACTAAATAACCTGCTTCAGGCTACACCGTTGGGATTTAAGCTCAGGCAGGTCGTCACTAGACCCCTTTCTACTTCTCTACGCCAAGATAACCCTTTCCATGCTAAACTAATTACCGCCATTTCGTGGAAGAAACTAAGATTCTAAACTGCCCATGTCATGTAGCTTGCAGAAATCAGAGAGGCTGGTGTCAGACAATGCCAAAAAGCTCTGAAAATAAATCTCACCCGAGCGTTTCAACAATGGCAGCAGCTGGCCCGGACACCAGATGCCAGTGGTGTTGTCTGTTGCACGAGGCCTCAGGACCAACAACTCCGCCTCCCCCCCCAACCTCTGCATTAAAAATTCCCCATTTGGCCCCGGCTGGCGTGGCTCAGTGGCCTGAGTACCAGCCAGTGAACTGAAAGGTCGCTGGTTTGATTCCCAGTCATGGCTAGGAATGCCTAGGTTGCAGGCAGGGTCCCCAGTGGGGTGCGTGTGTGAGGAACTGACGGATGTTATCTCTAGCAAATCAATGTTTCACTCTCCTTCTCCCTCCCTCCCCCTCTCTCTAAAAATAAATAAAACCTTTAAAAAATAAATAAATAATTTCCCCATTTGATGCTGGGAGATGCCCACAAGCTCCCTGAGCCCCTACCTGGTAATGGATGACATGCTGGACTTTAGGAATATCCAAGCCCCGAGCCGCCACATCTGTTGCCAGAAGGACACAACTGTGGTAGAGAAAGAAAGCTCATTAATGACACCTAAGGGCTGCTAATTAAATTCTTAACACCTGCTAAGCACTCCCAACACTATAATGCTTACAAACACTGAGTTGATACTATGTGTCTCCCTTCTATGGCTTTAGAAACAGGCTCAGAGAGGTCCCTTCCCAAGGCACACACACGGCCGCAACCAACAAGCCACAACCAACAAGCCGCGCTCTGCGGGCCTAAAGACCACCTCCGGTGAACTAAGTGACGCCACACACATTCCAGGTCGGTGACCGCTTACCTCCCTCCAGCCACACAGATGTCTTCGCTCTTCTTCACACACGCCAAACATGCCCTTTGCCTTTAAGCCTTTGAACTTGCTACACCTTAGGTCTTAAAAGGTCTTCCTCAGATAGTCACAACTTACTTTCTTCCACTCTCTGCTCAGATCTCACTTTATCGGAGAAGCCTCCCTGGCCACACACACAGCCTGCACTCCCCACACAACTTTACTACTCAACACTGGTATCTTACTTCTCAATTACTGTTTCCCTCCCCTGGAATGTGAACACCACGGACTTTGTGATGTCCACTGTGCTATTACCACCCCCTAGAACAGTGCCTGGCTGCCAAGTACGCACTTGATAAAACGTGTGGGGTGAGTTTCTCAATGTGTGTATGTATGTACAGTTCAAGAGAAGTTGAATACATATGAGGTCCGTTTTAAAAACTTAAGATCCCGGGCCCTTCAAGAATCAAACTCCTTGTATCTCTGAAAAAGGAATGAAGAATATGATGCAAACTTAAGTTTATAAAATACTAGACCACTGTTCGAGGTCAAGGTCAGCAGACGTTTTCTGCAAACAGCCAGACTGTAAATTACTTTTGCCTTTGTGGGTGGTAAGTCTCTGCTGGAACGACTCAGCTCTGCTACTACAGTGCAAAAGCAGGCCCAGACAATACATTAAGGAACCTGGTTATGCTCCAGTCAAACTTTACTTATAGGAACAGGTGGTGAGCCAGATCCGGCCCATGGGCCAGTTGGCCAACCCCCGATCCTGTAAACCACGAAATCTACCTACCAACATTCAGAGGGAGGTACACCGGACACTTGTTCTAAAACTAATCACCCAGTAACCAGACAAAAACCACTGTGGGCAAACGCCAGTTCAGAATCAGCCTCGACGTCCCAGGCCCTCATCTTGCCAACGTGCCCCCTGCTGCCTGAGCACCAGTCTGGCTCTGAAGCAGACAGGACAATGACAGCACGCAGGGCACAGCATGGGCTCTGGGCTCTGCCAGGCTGAGAAACCCGGGGCAGGCTGATTGGCTTCTCTAGAGCTTACTCCTTTCACCTATAAAATGAGAATGATAGTGATATCAAAGCTAACGTTCAGCAAGTCCATACTACGTGCCAGGCATTGTTCTATACATGCACAGATTCACTAATCTTCGTAACAGCCCTCCGAGGTGGCTTCTGTTAATTACACTAATTATAAGACTGAAACAGAAAATTTGACCAGCTCACAGTGGCACAGCCAGAATTTCATCTCAGGCAGTCTGGTTCCAGTCTGTACTTGTAACCATCCATCTATCCTGCTGCTTCTCAAGAACGTCAGAAGTGAATGCCGTAATGGATCTAAATTGCTAGCACAGTATTTAACCTACTGGTAAGTGTTCATTATGCTGGGTATTACTGTCATCACTGCTCATTATTGAAGTTTCTGTTGGGCATCACCTGCAACCAACTGCTTTAGACGAGGGCGAGCCTGCCTCGCTCTGTGCAAACAAAGGGCTCCTTCTACCGATGAGGCCCCCCCGACAGAAGGGAGCTTCCCACCATCTCCCCATCACCCTGTCAACCTGGACCCAATGGCTAGAGAAGGGGCTCTCGGGACAGGCCTGACTTACTCTTCCAGGCGGGCAAACTGCTCCAGGTTTCTGAGCCTCTGCTTCTGATGCATACAAGCGTGTAGGGTCAGCGGCATGATGTCTAAGACTTTGAGGAGCCCAGAGAGGCGTTTGATGCAGGAGATACTGTTGGCAAACACTAGGGTGCGGCCTGGGTGCTGCATCAGGAAGTAGTACAGATATAAGTCCTTCTCATCATTCTCACAATGGATCTTGGTCTCTGTCAGCGTCTCCACTGTAGCTTCATTTCTTGTGAGGTCAACGACCTTGGGCTTGCCCCTCATGCCAATCTTCTGCATGAGAAGGTCAAGTTTGGCAGTTTTGTCAATTTTCTTGGTGTGCTTCTTGTGAAGGATTCGAGCAGGAGCTTGATGTACCAGGGTCAGTGTAGCAGAAAAAACAAGTGTCTGTCGCTTTGGGTTGTACTGGGAGTCGTTGAGCATCTCTAGCAGCTGTGAGAGCTCAGCAAAGTGGCCTTTCTCAACCATCCGGTCAGCCTCGTCAATCACCAGGCACCTGCAGACCCAGACACCCGAGCTGGTTAACAGCCCGTAAGAAGAACCACCTAGAGCAGGAGTCCCCATCCCCCGGCCCGCAGACCAGTACTGGTTTGTGACCTGTTAGGAACCGGCTGCAGAGCAGGGTGAGGGAGCGGAGCCTCAATCACATTACCATCTAAACTCCACCTCCCGTCCTCCCGTCTCCCCCCAGCCCCCTGCCGTGGAAAAATTATCTTCTACAAAACCGGTCCCCAGGGCCAAGAATGTTGGGGGCTGCTGATCTACATAGCAATCTACTACGGCCCCCACCCGAGAGAGAGAGAGACAGAGACAGACAGACAGACAGACACACACACCCCACCATGCCGGGGCCTCGACTAATGCCCCCCATGCATGCTCGGTTTTCTAAAGGCCAAGGTCTGGCCGTACAGTACCACACCATGGCACTTCGTGACAGGGAGACGGCACTGCCCACTACCGTGTCACCTCAGGCCCACTTCAGAACAGAAGGGGACGGGGCAGGGCAGTCACTGCCTCTCACCTGAGCTGCCGAAGGTTGCTCAAATGAGGGTGCTTCTCCTTAACCAGCTCCCACAGCCGGCCTGGAGTGGCGATCACAATCTCAGGCTGGCGGTTCAGCATCCTCTGCTGTTTCTGCGTGGACATTCCACCAACCAAAATAGCAGTTTTAATTCCTATACACACAAAACATAAGGGACAGTGTTACTCCGTCTGGCCGCTCTTCTTCCACAGCTGACACAGGACCCCCGGGTCAGCAGAGGCAGTCAGTGACCAGCACAGCTCCCCTCTCCGGGTGGGGCTGTTGGTACCACCCAGAGGACTTACCAGGTCTTCTACGAGCTGGGCCTTGCCTATGTCCCCCACCTCATCGCTTTCTACTCCCTCCTCTGCAACCACAAGGAAGGGATGCATTTGAACCCAGGCGTGCTTACACCCAAAGCTCCAGAACAACTGAGCAGCGCTCCACCGTGACACTGGAGTGAGGTTCCTTGTAGTGTGTCACGCCTCCCCCAGGAAGCCCTGCCCCCCCCCAACCAGAGTTAACTTGAATCTCCTCTGACGCCCAGCACTCTTCTCTCCTCTCTCGTGGAGGACTCCTCCAGGTATCCGGAGTGAGAGCAACACACGGTCGCGTGGGCAGAGCGCTCAGCAGAGTACCTTGCACATAGTAAGAGCTTGGTAACTGCTGCTTTTATCATAAAATTCAAATTCCCACTGAGCAGTGGGTTCTTCCCAAATGGAGTTCTACGGGGGAATTGGGTCCTGATGCTCTAAAAGCAGAGGTCAGCAAAGTTTTTCCTAAAGAGTCAACAATAAACATCTTTGGCTTTGTGGTCTAAATGGCTCTGTCCCAACCACTCTCCACTCCACCCTGCCCTGCTGGTACAGAAGCCACCAGACAGTGTATAAACGAATGGGTGTGGCTGCAGGTTACTTACAAAAACAGGTAGTCTGCCAAACCCTGCCCTAAGCATACACTGTACCCCATAAACTAATTTCCTGCGCATCTACAATGGCATTAGCTGTGTCGTTCTTAGGACAACTGAGGAAGTGTCACTCAGTTTTCTGCAGGGCTTAGTTCTCTGACAGATGAAGGAGGTTTCCCTGGAGGGCAGCAGCCACAGCCCACTCACCTCTGCCAGCCCAGCACCTAGGATCCTCTCAGGAGATGTTTATTAAGTAGAACTGAAGCTCACCTGTAAACCTGGCCACAGCATCCATGTGCTGTTTGACCTGGACGGCCAGCTCCCGAGTGGGGGTCAGAACCAGTCCAAGCAGAGGACGCTTTGGATGTGTTTCACAGGTTACAGGTTCACCACCCAACTCTCGTTCCAGCTTTCCAGGCTGCTCTTCATCAGACTGTTCCTGTCTGTCCCTGTCCTGTTTGGGAACAGGTGCCTCCCTGATCAGGGAAGAAGGTCCCTCCCCAGCATCGTCATCACAGAAGGGCAGCACCTGGTCTGAGGTGGCAGCTCCAGCCTCGGCTCTTGCCTTGCTGGGTGGTGCTCTAGGCCTTGTCCCGGCCTCACTGGGCAGTGCCGCACCGTCAGTTCCAGTGTCAGCAGACGACGCTCCAGACTCAGCGTCAGCCTGGCCTGGTGGTCCTGCCTCGGCTCCAGTCTCTCCGGGTGCTGCTGCTGTGTTACTCGGAGGTGGGGCAGGCTTCTTCACCTGCCACTGCAGCACTGAATGGATCATCGGAATGGCAAAGGCAAGAGTTTTCCCACTTCCTTTGAAGTAAAACGAGTGGACAAAAACAGGATGAACCAACAGGTGCACATACTTCTGTCTGGGGTTCTTTCTTTTACCCAGAATAAAGCATCCTTGAAATAGCAAAGTGCCACCCAACCAACCCAAAGCCCCTCCACCCTATGTAAGTTTCCTTACAGCTCTGAACCTCTAATTTAGGAGCCTGAGGAAAACCTGGCAAACTGGCATTGAATGTCCAAGCAATGAAAACCCCAAAGACATGGGAAAGCTGTGCATGTGTGCGTCTTGTTGCTGTTGCTAAGGAACACAAAGGAAATCTACATTCTACTCTCCCCAAGACCTTTCTTTGGTGCAGAAGGAGGGATTAAAAAAAAAATTCTGCCCTGGCTGGTGTGGCTCGGTGGACTGAATGCCAGCCTACAAACCAACAGGTCACCAGATCAATTCCTGGCCAGGGGACATGCCTAAAGTTGTAGGTCAAGTCCCCAGTTAGGGGCGTGTGGGAGGCAACCAATCAATGTATCTCTCACACACCAATGTTTCTCTTTCTCCCTCCCTTCCCCTCTCTAAAAGTAACTAAAATCTTTTTTTAAAAAGTCTTAGTTTATGAGAAAATTTTAACCACCTGCATGAGAAGGTGGTCTATGCTTGAACATTACCAACCCGGCCTTTAAGTATACATGGAATCCAAATTCTTGGAATCCAAATTCTTATCACCTGGGTGGTCAAAACAAACAGTCCTGGCTGGTGTGGCTCAGCACAGTGAGTACAGGACGTGAACTGAAAGGTCACTGGTTTGATCCGCAGTCAGAGCACATGCCAGGGTTACAGGCCAGGTCCCCTGTTGGGGAAGTGTGAGAGGCAGCCAGCTGATGTATCTCTCACACATCAATATTTTCTCTCCCTCTCTTTCTACCTCCCTTGCCCTCTCTCAAAAAATAAAGAAAATCTTTAAAAAATATTAAAAAACAAACAAAACACCTCGAGGTGAGAATTTAAAGTGCCATAGTTCCAAAGTTATAAAGCCTAAGCAGAAACAAATAAATGAGCTCTGGAAGAAAAACCCTTTATCACAGGTCTCAAAAAAATTATCAAACATAATTTTCGAAGGAAAAGAGCAGTTCTCAGGATTAAAAAATCCACAAGGAAATGAGTTACTGTAAGCAAGAACTAGAAGGGAAAAAAGAGCAAAAACAGACCCACAACACTCAGGTAAGAAAAACAGCACTTTCCACCAGAAACAATGAAACTGGAAGACTGTGGAATGATCCTTGTACTTGAAGACTTGAAAAAGGAACTGACAGTCTAGACCTCGACACTCAGAAAAATCTCTTGCAAAATTTTTTAGGCATACAAAACCTGAAACAATCCATCACCAGTAGACCTGAACTATAAAAAATGTTAAAGGAAGTCTTTCATGCAGAAGAAAATCTGGACCAACAAAAAAATGAAGAGCACCAGAAATGGTAACGTGAAAAAATATAAAAGATGTCATTTTCTTTTTTCAACTTCTCATTAAAATAGTTGACCAGTTAAAGCAAAAATAGTAAAAATGTATTTTGAGATTTCTAACATACATAAAGTATAAAACAAAAAGCACAAAGGACAAGAAAAACAGAAATATCAGAGTCTGCCTGTGGATAAAAAGGAGGGAGGCGAGGGAAGGAGGGATTATGAGGGGGGTCCACAGCACCTGGTGGGGCTGGTGCGCATATGCATTGTCTATATGGCCACAGCCCCCGTTTTTCTGAATCTCCGACCTGCAGGTTCCCACCATGCCACGCGGGGGGCCTGGTAAGAGCTGCGGTATGAATCCACTGTCAGGCTCTAGCCACAGGGGCTCACGACAACCTTGCCTCTCTGCCTCCGGAAACCCACTTCCAGGCCCCTGAAGCCAAATGTGTGACAGCATGAAGACCCGGGCTAGAGTCTGGGCAGTGCCACCGCCAGCTATGTGGCTTTGGAGACAATGTCCATCCTCTGTCATACCCAGTTACCGCACCTGCAGGAGGTGCAAATTATAACAGAATTTATGCTCAGGGTGGTTGTGAGAACTTAATACAGGGCTTGATGCATTTTAAATGCCAAGTCGGTATCTAAGTCGTTATCACCCCCGTTCCCCTTTAGTAGGCTTTCCTTGCTCCTCCGTCTGTGTGATTCTAACACAGGACATCACCCTGTGTCTCCTGAGCCCTCTTCCAGAAGGCACTAGTCCAGTCCTATGCCGTATGATGTAGTGGTCACTAGTCCCATATGGCTATCGAGCACTGAGGATGTGGCTACTCTAATTTGAGATGTGCTGCAAGTTCAAAATATATATTGGATATTGAAAACTTAGTATAGCGCTGGCTGGTGTAGCTCAGTGCATTGAGTGCGGCCTTCAAACCAAAGGGTCGCCGGTTTGATTCCCAGTCAGGGCACATGCCTGGGTTGTGGGCCAGCACTCCAGTAGAGGGCGCACGACAGGCAACCGCACACTGATGTTTCTCTCCCTCTCTTTCTCCTTCCCTTCCCCTCTGTCTAAAAATAAATAAATAAAACCTTTAAGAAGAGAAAAGAAAACTTAGTATAAAAAGGAATGTGGGCTGTTCTCTGGAGTACTTGAGACCTTAGTTCCCTATATGTGGTCAGTTTGGCTCAAATAAACTCTTACAAAAAATAATTAAAAAATAAATGTAAAAAAGATCATTAATAATGCTACATACACACTGAGAATTTTTTAATATTATTGGTTAAACATATCATTAAAATTAATTTCACCTCTTCTTCTACACCTTTTTAACACGGCTCCTAGGAAATTTCAAATTACGCATGTAGCTCACATTTACATATATTACTGCTGGTCTAGTTGGAGGACCAGTTCCAGGCAGTAAAAGCTCCTTCCCCCCAACCCCTCGTTTAGCCCACCTGTCGCTCTTCAAAGTCTGCGATGGCTTGGAGAATGAGGCACTGCTTTCCCTGAAAGCCTAGTCCCAGCAGTGGCCCCATGCCCAATCTGCCTATGTGGCTATCTACCACACATTCAGATCCTTCCAATGACATAAACTCACCAACTCCCAAAGCCGTCCTGTGCATCTTCCTGTGCATCTTCGCAAGAATTCCGCACATCTTCCATATGCCAATGAAAATCTACCTCTCCAGAGGGCTGATCTCACCCCTACTTTAACCCTGAGCTGTTCAGAAAAGGCTGGAGAACAGGAATAACTACCTCGTGCAGCTCAGCCACAATGACTGTCCGTTTTCATTTACTGCAGCATTCACATTTAACCCAGAGCGAAAGAAACGGGTATTGCTGTCATTCCCGCTTCATAACGGGGCCTACACTGCTCAGAGAAATGAAGTGACTTGCCGAGGTTACCAATCAGAACTGCCAGACTGCAACCCAGAGCTGGCTGACTTCTATATACCTCCATTCAACATTGTTTTCGTGGTTCTGCTCCCAGCAGCCCCCTCCCAGCTGCCAAGCTGTTAGCAGCTATAGGCGAAACCCAGAAGCAATCTTGCCCTGACCAGAGAAGGGTGCCTCACCTGTCTCGGCAGCCCCAAGGATGTCCAGCTTGTCACGGATGGCAGGTGCCAGGGTCAGAGCTTGGATGGGTGTGGGTGCAGAAAAGCCTAGAAAGCTGAGCGCGCGGAGAACTGGCTTGGGTACAAACAGATCCTTCCAGGCTGACACATCCACCTTCTGGTCATGCACTTCAGGCACCCACGTCTTTGCTCTTTTGGGCACCTTTGCAGTAGGAGCCTGGGAAGCCTCTGGGGTTTTTTTCCCTTTCTTTTTCTTCTTTTTCGGAGCAGTCAGGGCCAGGCTTCCTGACGCCGCCTCCCCCACCTCTGGATCTGGACACCTGGTGCCATCTCCCTGGGGCTCTGGCTCGGCATCTTTGACCTCAAACTCTTTCTGGGCACTGGGTCCTTCAGTGTCTACGTCTTTCTTCTTCTTCAACTTCATTTTTTTCTTTGAGGAGCTACACTCTCCTTCCTGTCCTTCTGAAACAGCTTGGGCCTTTCTCTTCTTGGGCTCCTCCTTGGAGAAGAGACTGGAGGGATTCTTGGCAGGGGAGACCAACCGGTAATCTGTCAGTTCCTCAAAACACACCAGGTCATCCATCTGTCCATCTGCAAATACACTTGGGTCAATCTTCACCTGCTTCCATTTTCCCACAACTTTGATTCCCTTCATCTGAAACTTGCCACAGCTTCGGGACTTTGGCCCTGACTTTTTCTCCTTCAACTTCATGGCTGCTGAAAAGGAGAAATGTTCCATTAGGTTGCCAGCCGAGAAGCATGGGGTCAGAGGCAGCAAATATTTTCTATGCGGCCCAGAGACTATCACGCCCTGCAAAGAAGTGAGGACAGTGCGACCCACTCTACCATTGAGGCTCATGCAGGTACTAGAGAAAATCAAAGGAGGAAAGAAATACACCCCAAGCGGCAAACACAAGGCCCTCAGGCCAAATCCAGCCCTCTCTACCTTGTTTTATCTGGCCAAGCACCTTGTTTCTACCCAGTGGCAGCACCGGGCTCTCACTTAACTGTTAAGGAGTAGTTACATTTATGCATTCGGCCCTTTGAAGGCAATCCCGAGGCTGACGTGGCCCCTAGTGAAAATGAGTTTGACACCCCCGAAATACACCCTCAAAGTAAACAGCATGGCCTGGAACAAGGGGGACACAGAAGGTGGAGCAAAGACACATGAGACAGATCCGCTTTGGATTCCAGATCCAATTTCACTAGTGCACCTTGGAAAGCCCTGCTGAATTCTCCCTGAACCTCAGTGTTCTCCTCTTTTTAAAAGGAGGAAGGGCCTAATAAGAAGTCACAAAATGTGTGATGAAAAGCATGAAGGATCAATTCTACCCCACCCAAGCCATTCTGAAGGCAGAATAAAAATCTGGGGTTTTTTTTTTCCGGGGGGAGGTAGGTAATTGAGGGGAAACCACTTTATTGAAAGTGAACAGAACTTTCTTCCTTCCCAAGTCTTGCCTCAAGACGGCAAATAAATGTCTGTCCCACCATTCCGGCCTTTGCCAAACAGCTTAAAAACATCCAACTTTTTCATTACATGTGAACTGATTAAGAAAAATAGCGTCCTGCAGAAAATGCAAAGGTGAGGCCCGGTTCAAAGCAGGACCCACTCGCCAGCTCTGAGGCTGTGCTGGCCCTATGGATGATCTCTGGGCCTCAGCTTTCCCATCTGTAAAATGAGGGTGAAGAGGCTATTGGCTTCATTGGATCCTCACGCATATACAAAAAGGTGACGCACGTCAAAAGCGCACGGCGTGGCGCCTCGCGAGGCGAGAGCTGCGGCCCGCAGGAGGGCTCGCCCACCGAACCAGCGCACAAGGAGCGCAAACAATCCGAGCTCAACCACGAGAGGTGTGCGCGATGCTCACGCACGTGGGGGCGCTGAGCCCTGCCTGCAGATCAAGCCGGGTCCCTCTTTGCGGCGCCTGGTCGCCGGACCGCCGTTGCGACTCACCTTAAGCACGGGCCGCAGCACAAAGCGAAGAAGATGAGGCCGCAACCTCGAGGCCCACCGAATGGCCACGCGCAGGGTCAGCAGTCGGCCGACCTCGCTCCACCCGAGAATCCAGGGAACGGGGGAGGCCCGCGATGGGATCCCGGGAGCCTGCCCCCAGCTTCTCTCCAGCCCCGGCACGCACCGTATGGAGACGTCGCCGCGGACCCCTCCGATGTCGGGGGACGGAACTCAAAAGACGACACAGTCCTCTCCCAGCTGCAGCGCCATCCGCAGTTCCGGGGCGGAGCTTCTCCGGGCGCACGCACGCTCTCTGCGGCAGGAAGTCCAGCCCCCATTCTAGACGCAGCCATTTGATTCGCTACTGGGTGTTATCAAGTATTTCTGCAGTGTGGGAGTGAAGAGGGCGGAAATTCTACGCTTTGAAGGTTCGTTCTTCCTGTGATTAGTGGGCAGGGGATGGTCTCTATGCTCCAAGGGCCAGCTCCAGCGCTGGGACGCAAGCTTGGTTGTTTTTTTGCTTGCAGTGCAGCAGCTGCTTACCTGTGAGTGTCGCCTTGCAAATGTTTTAGCAATTAATTTGCAACCCAACCAGCCTGCATTGGAAGTGTTGTTTTCCGCAGTTTTTTCATTGTTCGCTGATGGTTGAGGGCAGGTCCTCGTCCAGGCTTGAACCGCAAAGTTAAACTGGTTCCTTTCTTATATGCAGAGAAATCAGCTTCACAGTCTGGGGAACTTTGGGAAGCCCTAAAGCAGCGGTCCCCAACTTCTTTGGCCCCAGGAATTGATTTTGTGGAAGACAACTTTTCTTGGGGAGGGGGGCAGAGATGGTATCCAGATGATTCAAGTGAGTTACATTTATTGTGAACTTTATTTCTATTATTATTACATTGTAATATAAAATGAAATAATTATGCAGCTCACCATAATGAGAATCGATGCAAGCCCCCAGCCTGTTTTTCTACAACTAGACTGTTCCACCTGGCAGTGATGGAACCACAGTGACACCTGAAGTGTGTTGCTCATGTCCAGTCTACTCTGTCTTCTTGTTTGGGTTCTTGTCACTGCAGAAAACCCTGCTTCACAAAGATTGTTAGCGATGGAAGCAGGCTTTTCAGTGCTTTCGTGGCAATCTGCCTTGAATTTAATCCGGAATGTATGGAGATTTTAAGTGGTCTTAAATATACTTTTTAAAATTGATTATGCTGTTACAGTTGTTCCCATTTTACCCCTTTGCCCTCCTCTGCCCTGTACCTCCCTTCCCTCCAGCATTCCTCCCCTTAGTTCACATCCATGGGTTGTGTAAGTTCTTTGACTTGTCCAGTTCCTGTACTATTTTTAACATCCACCAGTCTATTTTGTACCTACAAATTATGCTTCTTATTTCCCTCTACCTTCTCCCCCATTCTCCCCCCGTCCCCCTCCCAGCTGATGATGGCATCTCCATGTCAGCTCCATGTTGTGATTCTGTTCTTGTTCTGGGTTGTTTGCTTAGTTTTTTTTTTTAGATCTGGTTGTTAATAGTTGTGAACTTGTTGCCTTTTTAATGTGCATGGTTTTGATCAAGTCTCTAACATTTCCTGTAATAAGGGCTTGGTGATGATAAACTTATTTAACTTTACTTTGTCTGGGAAGCTCTTTTATTTGCTCTTCCATTCTAAATGATAGCTTTTCTGGATAGAGTAATCTAGGCTGTGGGTCCTTGCTTTTTGTCACTTTGAATACTTGCCAGTCCTTTCTTGCCTCCAGTTTCTTTTGAGAAATCAGCTGATAGTCTTATGGGAATTCCTTTACCCATAACTCTCTGTTTTTCTCTTGCTGCTTTTGAGATTTTCTTTTTATCTTTAACCTTTGGGATTTTAATTATGATGCGTTTTGGTGTGGTCCTCTTTGGGTCCACCTTTTTGGGACTCTGTGCTTCCTGGATTTGTATGTCTATTTCCTTCACCAAATTAGGGAAGTTTTCTTTCATTATTTTTTGAAATGAGTTTTCAATTTCTTGCTCTTCCTTTTCTCCTTCTGGCATCCCTACAATTAAGATGCTGGCATGTTTGGAGATGTTCCAGAGGTTCCTAAGCCTAACCTTATTGTTTTGAGTTCTTGTTTCTTCTTTTAGTTTTGGTTGAAAGTTTATCTCTTCCTTATGTTCCAAATTGTGACTTTGAATCCCAGCTTCCTTCCCTCCACTTTTGGTTTCCTGTGGATTTTTCTTTATTTCATGCAGTGTATCCTTCACTTTCTTTATTTTTCTGCTGTACTCAAGGAGTTCTCTGAGTATCTTGATAACCAGTGTTTTGAACTTTGCCTCTGATAGGTTGGTTATCTCCATTTCATTTAGTTCTTTTTCTGGGGTTTTGTTCTGTTCTTTCATTTGGGCCACATTTCTTTGTGTCCTCAATGTAGCAGCCTCCCTGTGTTTGTTCCTGTGTATCAGGTAAAACTGCTTTTACCCCCTATCTTAGTAGTGTGACCTATGCTGAAAGGCACCTGTAAAGTCGATTCACCTGGTTTGTTCACAAATGGGTCGTGGATCCACTCCTTCCCAGTTCGGGGGTCTTTTGTGGTTGGGGAGTAAATGCTCCAACTCCTCTGAAAGCTGAGACAGGTGCTCAGACACCAGCTGGGAGAAAGAAGGTCCTGGCTCGGTCTCTTTCAAAATCTGCAAATGTTTGAAACGTGTCAAAAATCCCAGTGTCCACTCGTCGCCCTCATAATTCCAGTTTGGCTTTGAATGCAGCTCTTTCATCTGATGACTTGGATACAGTTGTCATTCTCCCCTGAAGTGACAGAGTGAGTTTCTTGAGCAGGTTGAATATGTCACACTGTGTCACACAAGTAAGCAAGTTTTGTGACCCATTCTGTGTCACTGAAATGTTTTCCCAGTGGTGACTGTTTCTCTAAAAGAAATCTGTGAAGCGGCTCTCGTAACTCAGAAAGTCAGGCCAGTGATTTCCCTGTAGAAATCCGTCTCACCTGTGTGTGTAAGAGAAGACGTGTGTGTAAGAGAAGACGTGTGTGCTCTGCATCCATCTCCTCACAGAGCTGCGTGCACAGATGTGAGTTAAGGGCATGCACTTTAACGTAGTTGATCATTTTAATCACATCCTACAAAGCATTAAGTTCAAGTGACATTTTTGGCTAGCCAGCATTTCTCTGTAGGTGACACAGTGCACAGACTTGCATTCAGAAGTGACCTCTTTGGCCAGAGTAGTGAAACCAGAAAGCCGTCCAGTCCCGGCAGCTGCTCCGTCTGTGCACACACTGACACGGAATGACCAGTGCAGTTTTCCTGCTGCGGAATCACTCAGAGACGTGACTAGTTCTGGAGCGGAGGCATTGGTGGGCAACAAAAGCACTCATGACACATCCTCCTGAAAAATATACCGCATGAAAACAAGACGCGTCAACCTGGATTGTGGACCACAGTGCCTCATTAACCCTCTCCAACGGTTGTACCTGAGCACCCTCCGCTGTTTCATCGACTCGTCTAGTGATGGCGTCGGAGCACGTGCCACCTTCTGAACTGAAGCTTCTCCTAAGAGTTCACGACAAACGTCCTTAGCAGCGGCAGCATCAGGTCTTCACCAACAGTGAAGGGCTTCTTAGCTTCAGCAGCGCGGTCAGCCACTAAGAACAGTGCTCTCAGTGCAGATACATTCGAGGAGGGGGACTCCAACAGTTGCTTCTGTTCTTCAAGGGCATGTTTTTTTTCTTTTGAAAAGCTCCAAAGGCTTGTTTTTTAATGCAAGGTGCTTGGTGTCCCTGTGGTGAATCAGTTGTGAAGGTTTTGTGACTTAATTGGATAGCCAGTCAGCACATGTTATATACAAAGCAGGCTTGGAGAAGGTGAGTCACCTGTTGCAATGAACCCATAATTTAGGTAAAACTCTTGGTATTTTCTTTTAAATGCAGCTTTCTTTGTGTTGGCAGTCTCAGAGTCTTCTGCTGTCTCATCCTTGGGTCTTTCCCCCTTTTCAGAGAAGCTCTCCAGCGATGTTTGTTTTTACTCATTTGGGTTGGGCTTAGCTTGCGGGCTCACCAAAACCGTGACTGAGACAAGTGCATAGTGCAGGAAGGAGGAGCGGGTGGAAATGGTAAGTAATATAATGGGTGGGCCACTCGCGGACTGGAACAAGTGTCGGATTCCGACTTAAAGCCTGCCACCAGATGCAGCCTAACTGTTACTTGCCGCTCCCGACGGGGCTTCCGTGAGTCTGCAAGCAGCTGACTTACCGCGGTCTCTGTGCGGTCAGACGTCTCTGCTGCTGATGGTCTGCACGATCAGCCGCCCCCGGCACTGGCATCGCTGCCTCGGCTGCACCTCAGAGCACCAGGTGTTGGAGTCTCGGAAGGAGCGCAGAGCCTAGATCCCTCGCATGCGCAGTTCACAGTAGGATTTGCGTTCCTACGGGAAATGAATGGTGCTGCTGATCTGACGGGAGGGGGGGCTCAGGCGGTACCGTGAGAGATGGGGAGCAGCTGTAAATACAGATAAAGCTTCTTCACTGACTTGCCCACCACTCACCTCCTGCTGTGCGGCCCAGTTTCTAACAGGCCACAGACTGCTGTTGGCTGTTGGTCCATGGCCCGGGGTTTGGGGATCCCTGCCCTAAAGGAAATGGGGGAGATCACCAAGCTTAGGTCAAGTGAGCCTCCCTATCCCCTTGCAGCCACCATGAGACAGAACTTGACTCATTTCTTGGGGGACTTGACCAGTGTGTCCCCAAGTGTCCGGGTGGCACAGAGCCTGTGTCCTGGTGGTTCCTGAAGGAGTCGGATGACAAAGACGAGCTGTCCCTGGTGGCAGAGGAACAAGGAGGGACTTCATGTCTCTCCATGGCAGGACAAAGATGCCCGTCTTCCCTGGGCAGTTATACACCTCGGAGGGTGAGCTCCGGCTATCAACCTTTTGCACTGGCAGTTGGACCATTGGAAAGGGATTGAACCCAGTGGCTTGGAAAATGGGAACCAGAGGCGTCAGTGACCATGAGTAAGCCCTTGTGGGATCAGGATATATTGATAGACATTTGGGTCCACCTGTAAGAGCTCGAGGCAGTCTTGTTTCTCACATTCTGACCCATAAGGCACTGACGCCCTCTGGCAATCAGGAAGCTGATGCCCTAGCTCCAGTACCAGCCCTACTGGCTGGTCAGTGGATACGGCTGATTGGATGTGTGAAGGAGTGGCCACTGCATTATCCGGGTGGGATGGCCAATTGCCCTTGAAATGCAGTGACTCGGTTAACGCAGTAGCAGCCTGTCCTGTGTGCACCAGACAACACTGAACGCAGCTACCAAAGGAGTCTGGAACTGTCCACCAGTGCTCCCAGCCAGTGAGAGACTAGTAAATTGATCCCTTCCTGTGAATGAGAGTTCCAGGTATGCCTTGGTTTATTTGGACGTTGCATCTGACTTAACCCCAGCTTTACCATATTGGTATGCAATCCTGGTGGCCACCATTTAAGGGGGCTTCAAGAAGCTGAGTGTCATCTATGGGGCATTGTGTTGCATTGAAATCACCCCATCTTTGCATTAGCAAGGCAAAGGTGAGGTCTCCCTGGCTCTGAGCCCAGAGTGATCGTGACTCATCTGGTTCATCCAGCTCTTGGAGTTGCACGTCATCCAGGACGGGACTATTTAGCCTGCTAGAGGCCTCAGCAGCCTCACTACACACAGGACTTTTGACACTGCTCTGCCTTCTCAGGCAATTACTTCCCAAAGTAGGCAGAGGCGTGGGAGGTGGAAAAGGGGAAAGACTGCACTCACACCATCCCTCTTTGCTGCCATCCAGGGCTGCTGTCACCGTGATCAGAGGTGAGTGTGCTGGGAAGGGGTTTGAGTCCACTTTTGCCCTAAGACTTAGGCTGGGGTGGGGCCGGTGGTTAGGGGACAGATGAATAGAACCCTGGAGATCAGGGAGCCAGGCAAAGTCGTTAAGTTATGAAGCTGGCTGGGGTCTGTGCCGATTTGGGGGATGTGCCTGGAGGGGCCCACTGACTGCTATAGAACAGAGGGCAGGGATCTGGGCTCCAGAGAGGTGCCCCCCCTCACCCCAAGTCCATCACAAATCGGGCACAGCCCTTCGGTGTTCAGACTCTGTTTCTGGGAAACATAGTGGTGACCATATGCTGTGTACCTAGTGTTCCAGCACCTCCAGCAAGATGTCAGCTAAAGCCATAGAGAACGGGGAAGGGTTTGCCCCTGATGCCCTCCTGCAGGAGTCGGATGGTGAGTGCCCTCAGGTGGCTCTGGAGGGCCAGGTGGCCCGGGGCTTGGGGTGCATGGCCCAGAGCACAGGGGGTCTCCCAGAGCCACCACTAAGGTACATCATATGGGTGAATCTCTTCCCTCCTGGGCCTCTGCCTGCTCCTCTGTGAAGTGAAGGACCTGCCCGCTCTCGGTGGCCATGTCTCCCTCTCTCTGTCTTCTCCTCGGTTTCATCTCCAGTTCCATCACCATTCAGTGTGGCTGTCGCCGAGGTCCCCTCCCTGTACCAAAGTTCTTGAGAGCATCCAGAAATGGCAGAGGTGCCATCTGGGGCCCCTGGCTCTCATGCCCCCTCAGGGGCCTGGGGCAGGCCCCACAGCTTTGGTCCCACAGCTGCCTACCCACTGTGGGCTTCCCCCCCCTGCTTCTTTTCCAGAGGAGGAAGAAACATCCCAGCTATCCCCAGCTGGTTCTGCTATTGGGGGGCCTCCGCAGGGGCCCCCATCAGGGCCCGATGGACCTGGCTCAGACTCCACTGACCCGCCCTCACATGGAAGAGAGAAGTTCTTCCACCATGCAAGTAATTGCTCCCTGGGTGTTAGTCTACCAGACCTCCCTCTCCCTCACCGCTCAGCTCAGCCCTCTGACTTGTCCGCATTAAGGCACATGTCCCTGGAGGACACGCTGGTGCACCAACGTTGCCAGAAAAGGGGCCTGGTGTGTATGGGCGAGGAAGTGGGTGATGCGCTGAAGTCAGAGGGACTGCCCTTCAGGTTCTGGCTTTGTGGCCAACTTACTGAGTGACCCTGAGCCAGACACATGCCGTCTCTTAGCGTCGATCCGTTTGTGCCTGAGTGCAGAGGCCTATGCTCCTCACAGAGGTCTGCTGCTCAGGCTCTGGTCCCCCAGGGGGCACAGCTCAGGCCTGGCTCTTTGCCAGCTGAAGTCCAAGGCCAGTGCCCTGACCTGCGGGCCCCACAGCAGCCAGGCCAGGCTCAGTTTCGTTTCTCCCACTGCTCCTCCGGATGCACCAGGGCGTGATTGGCAAGCCACTCCCAGGACACATTCCTGGAGCAGTCTCATCTCTGAGATTCAGCCAGCCCGGGGATAGGCCAGCAAAAGGTCCTCTCTGCTTTTTTTTTACTGTGGCAGAATACATGTGACATGAAATTTGCCGACTGAGCTGTTCTTAACTGCACAGTCCCGTGGTATTGAGGGTATTTGCACTGTTGCATGGCTGGTCTTCAGAACTTGTCATCTCCCAACACTGACACCCTGTCCCCACTCAGCGCGAACTCCCCGCTCCCTCTTCCCCTCAGCCCCTGGCACCCACCGTTCTACTTTCTGTCCCTACGCATTTGACGACTCCAGGGATTTTATGTGAGTGGTGTTGATGCCCGACATGTCCAAACCTGAAGAGGATTTCACAAGAATTTATAAGTCAAACTGATGACTTGTGCCCAGAAGCAAGATCTCAAATGTTGCTGGGAATAACAGTTTTTTAACCGTCTTTTGAAGTTTTGAAATTAAGGAGGGGACATAAGGAAGACTGTAGAAAGCCGAGTGGGGGCTGGATTTCAGGATCGTTAACAAGATCATGTGCTCTCTTGAGGGTTAGCACTCCCTTCCGGGGTGTCACTTCTGGTATTTCGAAGGTGTGTTAGCCTAGATAAAGGAGCAGAATAAAGGACCCGGCGGGCTTCACACCTTTCACTACAGAAGTTATAGGCCTGGGGCTTGACTCCCCACCACGACCTGCCCGGTTAGGGATCTGTGATCGGCTTGCCCTGTGAGGTTGCTTTCCATGGCAGATCCCCTTTTATTGCCCACAGTGGAACCATACAGCATTTGTCTTTCTGTGATTGGCCTATTTCACTTAGCATAACGTCCCACCGTTCAGCCATGTGTCAAAATTGCCTTCCACCTAAAGGCTGAACAGTATGCTGTGGTATGTAGACACCACAGTTGTTTATCCATTCATCCGCCTGTGGACACTTGGATGGCTTACCCCTCTCGGCTGTCCTGGGTAATGCTGCTGTGAACATGGGGAGCAGGTATCTCTTTAAGACGCTGCTTTCGGTTCCTTTGGGTACGTAGGCACAAGTGGGATTGCTGGGGCACAGGGCATTCTACTTCCATTGTTGGAGGAACCACCTCCCTGTTTTCTGCAGCTCCTGCACCATTTTACGTTCCCAGCAGCAGTGCGTAGGGTTCCGAGTGCTCACATCCTAGCCCACGCTGGTCATTTTCCAGTTTTTTGTTTGTTTTTTTTTAGGTAGAAGCCATACTAATGGGTATGAAATAATATCGTGGTTTTGATTTATATTTCTCCAATGACTGGGGATGCCAGCATCTTCTCCTGTGTTTACTGGCCATTTGTAACCTTTGGAGAAATGTCTGTCCACAGTCCTTGCCCATTTTTATTGGGTTATTTGGGCATGTTACTGTTGGAGGGATTCGTTATATGTTCTGAGCACTGACTCCTTATCAGCTACGTGACTTGCAGGTTGCTTTTCCCCTCTGTTGGTTGTGTCCTGTCTTCGTCGGCGCTGCTGTGGCAAAATGCCATAGCCTGGTGGACTGTAAACAGAAGTTTAGTTGTCACAGTGCTGGGGACAGGGTGGGGGAGTCCAAGGTCAAGGTACCAGCAGACTAGTGTCTGGTGGGAGTGCACTTCCTGGTCGGCCATCTGTTCGCGGTGACCTCACATGGTGGAAGGAGCAAAGGGGCTTCTCCGAGGTCTTTTCTAAGGGAACTAATCCCCATTGTGAGGGCTCTATCCTCCAGAGCCGGCTACTTCCCAAAGGTCCCCTACCTCGTAATCCCATCCCATTGGGCATTGGGTTTTGCTCTATGAATTGGGAACACAACGTGCAGACCACCGTGAGTCCTTCAATGCACAAAGGTTCCCTCTTGGTCTGTATTTCTTTGAAGTTCTCACCTCGCTCCTTCTTGCTCACAGACCTGTGCCTGGCGCTGGGGAAGGATGCCAACAGCACGGCTCTTCCCTGTACCCCAGCAGCGAGCATACGTTTTATTCTGTGTAATGTCCATGTCGCTGATCGTGGACAGTGGGGGGTGATGCCAACCAGGGTGGCAGTGGTGGAGGTAATAGGGGTGGTCCGATTCTTGACCTGTATTAAAGGGGAAGTCAACGGGAGTTGCTAACAGACTAGAGGTGGAGTGAGATAAAAAGAGGGGAATCTAGGATGGCCCCGCGATTCTGGTTGCTGAGAGAACGGTGCTGCGCTGTGTGGAAACTCAGGGGCCAGTGAGGAAGCTACTGCAGGAATCCCGTTGGTGGCCTGGTCCGTGATGGGAGAGGCAGAGGATGGTCGGGCTGGGTACTTCTGAAGGTTAGTCAGCAGGATTTGTGGGTAGGTTGGAGTGCAGAGAGGGAAACTGGAGAACACCGACCCCACATGTGCAGGGCTGCCGAGAACCTGGGGCTGAACGGCCGTCAGAGGGACAGCTGTGGCAGGGGACCTGTGTCCAGCTCATGGCGCGTCTGTCTGAGGTGCTTCTCAGACACCCAGGCAGACCTGCTGAGTAGGTCTGGGCTGGCTGTGTCCGAGTGCAGGTGGCCCGAGAGTCAGGGTGCTGGGTGAGGGCAGCCGAGTGGTGGAACGGAAGTGGAGTGGGGATCCGAGGACGGAGCCCTGGACATGCCGTCGCAGAGGTCAGACGGACAAGAGGAGAGGGGCCTGAGAAGGCGAGGCAAGGGTGGCAGAAGAGACGTGGGGAAGGATGAGCCCTGAAGGCCAGGTGAGGAAAATGTTTCCTAGGACGGCCATAAACAAACATGGTGTCTTAAAACCACAGAGATGTACTCTCCCACGGTTCTGGAGGCTGGAAATCCCAAGTCAGGGTGTCCACAGGGTCGTGCTTCTTCTGAAAGCTTGAGGGGAGAATCTACTCCACGCCTCCTCTGGCTTCCAGTGACTGCCAGAAGTCCTGGATGTCCCTTGGTTTGTGGCTGTATCACTCCAGGCTCTCTTGGTCTTCACACGTCAAGGTGCCTAACCACTGTGCAATACCGCCTCTCCCTCCACGTAGAAAACTATTCTGTGGATCTTTGCCATAGGGAATGGGTCCAAGCGAGGTGGCAACTGCAGGAAGATGTGGTGCAGAGGGAGAGGCTGCCTTTGTTTTTCAGCTGGGGGGTGGTAGAGCCTGGGTGGGTGCTCTTGGAAATGGTCCAGGGCGGAGGGAGACTGATGGTGAACAAGCAAGGGAGGAACACTACAGGAGCTCTTCCTGGAGTTGAAAAGAGCGGGCCAGCTCAGCACGCAGGTGGCCGGGAGCAGGCAGGCAAGAGGAGTGAGGGGGCAGAGACATGGCGACAGAAGGGGGTGCGCAGAAGCTCTCTTCTGGTTGCCTTGGTTTTCTCGGTGAAGTAGGAAGCTGGGGGATGCAAGGAGGTGGAGGTGCAGTAGGCTGGGAGATGAGGGGGAGAGAGGCTGTGAGTGCTGGGTGTTCCCAGGGAGTAGGGGAATGAAGAGAACAGGAAAGCCTGGAGGGCTTGAGCACAAGAGAGGGAGAGGCGGGGAGAGCGCCAAGGGTCTGCGGGCGGCACTTATGGTGAGTGGGGATGGAATCTACATGGATGAAGAAGACGTGGAGGACGTGGGGTGAATGAGGGACGGTGTTGTGGGTTATATTGGGTCCCCTCAAAGAGATACATGCAATCCTAACCCCCAGTACTTGTGCATGTGACTGTAGTTGTAATAAAGATGTCAGTTGAGGTCCTGGTGGGGTAGCACCGTTGGTTAGATCGTGGTCCTGATACGCCAAGGTTGCGGTTTCGATCCCGGTCAGGGCACATACAGGCCACAACCAGTGAATGCATAAGTGAGTGAAACAACAAATTGATGTCTCTCTCTCCCTCCCTCTATCCTTCCCTCCCTCTTTCTATCTTACCCATAAGTAAAAAGCAGTAGTTAGCATTGAAATGGCATTAAAATACTTTTTAATTGATGTAAGTTGAGAGGAGGTCATATTGGAGTAGGGTGTGACATGTGTCCTTCTGGGAAGAGAACAGACACGGGGAGAAGGCCATGTGAAGACGGAGACAGAGGTGGGAGTGATGCAGCCATAAGCCAAGGGTTGCCGGCAGCCACTGCGAGCTAAGAAGAGGCAGAGAAGGAACCCCTCCTAGAGCCTTCAGAGAGTGCACAGCCCTGCCGATGGCTTGGACTCAGGTGCCTGGCCTCCACAGCTAGAATAGGAGAGAATCGTGGTACCTGGTTACAGCAGCCCCAGAAAACTAATACAGATATTGGAAATGCCAGTGTGAAGACTTGTTCCAGGCTGTGCTAGAATCAGAGACTGCAAAGGGAAGAGGTGAGGGACTCTGGGGGGCTGCGGGATGCAGACAATGGGAGGAGGCAGTTGTTAACGACAGGGTCAAGGCAACTTTCTGCAATAATGAGCATGTTCTCTGCGCCATCCAATGTGGTGACCACTAGCCACGGGTGACATGTTAAGAACTGCACTGCCTGGTTTCAGAAGCTGTATCCACCCCTTCTCCCCTCCTCTGCCCTGCCCATGGCTAAAAAGACCTTGGGGCCCTAAGCCACTAAGGAGACAAAGCTTATCTTCCTGGAAGGGGCACCACCTCTGCTCCCTTTACTTCACCCTGCTTGGCCCCAGGCAGATGACTGGTTAGCCGATGATGCATTAAAGTTCTCAAGGGAGGGATGGCCTAAGACAGGCACGGTCATGATGGGGCCGTCAGGGAAGGACTTGGGGAACTATAGAAAAAGGGGGTGATGGACCCTCACCCCTCAGCTTTGACATAGCCCGAGTCTTCATTCTGTCTCTAAGAAGTCTCCTAATCTCTTGGCTGCCTTACTTCCCCCACCTGACTTAAACCTGAAACAGTTTTGGAGGTGGGTGCGGCCCTGGGCAGGAACAGGCAGTTCCCTAGGGCCATCAGGCCTAGGAAAGAATGCATAAAATCCTGTGAAACCTGCTTTGCTAGGAATGCCCTTAATTTTCTGATAAGGGTCCAAACATAAAATAAGTTTGTTTCCCAAAGTTTTATGGCCCTTTAGCTGACTGACCCTGACTCAGAATAAGCCCTCATAGTTCTTTGAATGTTATGTATTGTTTGATCCTTACTGCCTGACGATGACTGATGAGCTTGCCTGTGTTCCTGTGCAAACTGAACCCAGTAAAAGCCCACTGAGGAACAGGCTCAAGCCCTTCTCCTTTGACAGATCGGCCATGTTTCCTCCCCAAACAGATCGTGTCTTGGTAAACGTATTCCCATCCATGGAGAATGGGAAGGGGCTCTGTGGTGGAGCACCCCCGCCCAGTGATGTTTGAACACTGGAGGTGTGGCTAGTACAACTGGGTTTTTAATTTTCTTTCTTTTCAGTTGCTTAAGATTTAAGTGGCTACATGTGTCTAGTGCTTACCTTAGGGACAACATGGACCTAGGATATGTCTGTGTGGGCTATAGAGACAAAGACTCTTTGGAAGTGAATTTGTTGGAAATATCACCTGTGCTGAAATGTGGCAGGTGGGCTGAGCCCCAGAGGATGGAGGGATTTCACTCCACCTGGACCTGGGACCCTGGGACCCTGGGACCCTGGGACCCTGGGACCCTGGGATGGGCACAGGGTTTGTGGAAGAGGGAGAGGACAGACAGGTTGATTTATCCCACAACAAATAATAAAGAGTGTGTTTTTCTTGCTTCTTCATTTTGTTTTTGGTTTTTTTTGGACAATGATGCCCATCGTAGGGGCTGCAAAGAGCAGGGTGGAGCCTTTTGAAGGCTGTGCACTGCCCGACCTGGAGCTTCTCAGAGCTTTGGACACCGGCACCCACCTCTGCCTGCTCAGTGCATCAGACTTCCCAGGGAGGCGGCGGGGGCTGTTCTGTCCTCCGACCCAGCCACAGGGCACCTGCCTTGGGAAACGGGGGGGGGGGGGTGGGGGGAGACCAGCGAGGTGCGCTCATGCGTGTTCTTTGTGTCCCCAGAAATGGCTGGTCTGGCTGTGACCGGAGGAGGTGAGTCTCTCTGGGGAGGAGCCCCAGCCCCCGCCTGCCCCTGGTCCTAGGCCTCTGGGAGGAACCTACCTTGACCAAGCCCAGGATTCCCTCAGCCCCACGTGTAAACCCTGGGAGAGCCATGACATCTGTCCCCAGGAAGCAGGGCCCTGCAGGTGCGTGGTTCCCAAACTCACAAGCTGAGCTGCGTCTGGTTCCCGCAACTGCTCTGCAAACCTGGTAGCTCATCTGGTGAGCCCTAGAGCAGCGTCCACCAGTACGGTGGCCGGAATGAAAGAAAAGAAAAACGTTTCAGTCACACTAGCCAAATCTCAGTGCTCGACAGCCGCATACGGCTGCAGTATCAGACAGAGCAGGTGCAGAGATTTTCGTCATTGAAGAGTGTTCCGTGACTGCTGTGCTCTGGAGATAGAAGAGAGGAGGGAAAAAGCGCCCCCTCTGCTCCCCCTGCCTTCTCCCCATGCCTGCAGGGCCCTGAGGGGCAGCAGGCAGAAGCCCCCACCCATCACTCCTTCAAAACAGCAGCTCTGGTGTGCCCTTTGTGCTTGGGGGAAGGACCCTGTGTTCCCTTCCGGAGGGAGAGGGCCGAAGACCGCTGCTCCTTCAGCGTAGTTCATGGTCCACGAGCGCATCTGAGGCTGGGGCTTCGAGTCCCAGGCTGCGAGAACAGCACAGGTGCCAGAACAGTCCTGGGAGCCTGTTGGCTCCTTGGACCTCATCTGCAGCCTTCCCTTGTGTGGGTCCCTGTCTTTGCTCTGGGACTCTCTCAAGGACAAAGCAGACCCCAATTTATCCACCAGGAAGATGTCAGGGAGATCAAGGGGCATCTGTCCCATGGCCAGCCTCAAACCCCCCCTCCTCCCCACAGTGGTGGCTGTGGGCGCGGTGCCCGTGGTGCTGGGCGCCGTGGGTTTCACCGGGGCAGGCATCGCAGCCTCCTCCCTAGCGGCCAAGATGATGTCAGCAGCCGCCGTTGCCAACGGGGGAGGGGTTGCCGCTGGTAGCCTGGTGGCCACTCTGCAGTCTGTGGGTAAGTGTCCTGAGCGGGAGGGGGAGGAGGGGAGGGTGGGGGGTGCCCCTGGTCCTTTGTCTCTCCCTCCCCGCTCCCTCTTTTGGTTGGGGGTTGGAGGGTGGGTCTGGGGTACAGCCTGGCCGGTCTGCATTCCCAGTCAACCCTACCAAATCTGGGCAGCCACCCCCCTGGCCCGCTCTCGAGGCCCCAGCCTAGTCCTGTGGAACGGGAGTGCCTGCCATTTCTCAGAGGGTCTGCCCTCTGTCACTGGTGGACTCACCACCAGGATTCAAGTGTACTCTCTGGGCAGCCCCCTCCCAATGCAGTTGTCCTGGGGGTTTAGGAAATAGGGGCGGGAACAGGCTTGGGATGTTGGGGCCTCTGGCCTTCGGAGGGTCCCTGGGATCTCTGACCCCACATCCTTGCCTGGAGCCACTGGGGCCACCTCTTCCATATGCTGTCAAATTCTCTTCTTCCCCAGGGGCGGCTGGACTCTCCCTGTCATCCAAAGCCCTGCTGGGTGTGGCTGGGTCATCTTTTGGGGCCTGGATGGGGCGTTCAAAGCAGACAGACCCTTCCTCTCCACCAGATGGACCCAGTGGAGGTGACTGTCAGGATGGCAACCCCCCCACTGACAAGCCCCCTGCCTCCCCAAACTGCTCAAAGAAGGATGAGAAATAAAGATGAGATGCCGTGACCTCCCCCAGATGTCTGCACTGCGTTGTGTCGGACAGGGCAGGGTGGGCCAGCGGGAACTCTGTAAGCACACGCGCCGGCGTCCTCAGTGACTGGAAGCTACGGGTGGTCCCCGTTCGGCCGCTTACTTGTGACCCTGAGAATGTCGTGTGTCCCCTTTATGCCTCAGTTTACTGCCCTTCAGGTGGGGCCTCAGACCAAGTGTCTTTGAAGATCTCAGCCAGGGCAACGTGATAGGACAGCTTGGCTCTGGGGTGGTGGTGGACCCTGTTTGAGCCCTGGACCCTCAGCTGGAAGGCGCTACTGACCTCAGGCATTATCACCCCCCCCCCCCCACTGGAGACTCAGAGTCTGACTGGTGACTCTAGGGCAGCGGTTTCCAACCTTTTCCAGGGCACACAGAAACTAATTACTAAAATGCTGCAGCGCACCAAAACGTGTATTTTTTTTTGTCGATCTAACAAAAAAGAATTACGTGTAATTTTGATTCATTCACGCCAGATGGCCATTGTTGTGTTGGCTGCTGTCAGTTTGTCAGTCTAAAGGAAAAGTGGTCAGTGCCCCCGACTAAGTGGTCAGGCCCTGGTGTTTTAAAGATTCTGGAAGGAGACTTGCCTTGGGGTAGAGAACACACAGTATAATGTACAGGTGATGCATTACAGAACTGTACACTTGACACCTATGTAATTTTATTACCCATGTGTTGCCCCAGTAAATTCACTTGGAAATAAAACAAAATGCCTTGCAGCACACTGGTCGAAGATTGCTGCTCTGAAGTTCAGGGGCATTGTGTCTGCCTGGCCTGATGGCCCCTGGGGCTCTCCAGGGAAGTGAAGGTGTTGCATTTCTCTGGGGAGCTCTGTCCCTGTCGGTCCAGAACCCAGGGTTATTGGCTCCCAGAAGGCACTGACCAGTGCCTGGACAGACAGGACTCCCTCTTCTGGTGGGGCTCCCAAGAGGTGGGCCGGCGCAGATCACTTATTTCCCGGGGCCCACTGCGTGCCCAGCCCCGGCTCCTGAACCAGGCGTTCTGTGCCCACTGCCCTGGCGTCTGCCCCTGCCTGCCATGCAGATAACCCACACCCAGCTGCTGGAAGGCCCTTTTCACCTTCGGCCTGAGTATCAGATCTCAGCCTACTGGCTCCGGGGCCTCAGCATGGGTCCCACTGCTGACCTCCACACTCCTTCCTGTACTGGAATCGGCCCCTGTGTTGTGTTGGCTGTTGTCAATTTGCCAGTGTAAGGCAAGACCCCAAAGACGTGAATGAGCTCTGCTAGGATCTTAAAAGTCAGCCCAAAGCTGACTCTTCATATACAGGGGAGTCCAGCTGTGACCAGAAGAACCACCTGTCTAAAGTGCTGGCCCCCTGAAAGCATGCAGTCAATATTTTTAAGTCACCAAGTTTTGTGACCCATTGTTCCTCATGGAGGGCTAATTGATAACAATGTGTGCAATATATTCAGAAGATTGAGCTAGATGGCATGGAGGACAGAAAGTAGAGATTCTAATTGCAGCTATTTGGGAAGGCTTCCTGGAGGAGGTGCCATTTCATTTAAGATTATGTAGTTATAAGTCATAGAAACTTGACTACAAATGGCTTGAGTTCAAGGGACTTTGTTGGCTTCCTGAAGCGAAAGACAAAAAAGTACGTAGGCTTCAGTCAAGGTGGATTTAGCAACTCAACCCTGATGCCAAGGACCTGTTTGTTTTGGTCCCTCCTCTGCTTCTGAGTTACCAGCTTCATCCCGTGGCTGCCGAGTCTCGTGGCTCCAAGCTGGCTGTCAGCAGGCTCTGGCGGCTGGCTGCTTCTTCATTCATGTCTCTCCCAAAAGCGCTTGTCCATGAACCTTCTGCTGCAGAGCAAGAAAGGGTCTTTCCCAAAAGCCTCTGGTAAAGCCTCCTGTTCTATTCACCCCCAAACCAATCGCTTTGGCCCAAAGATGTGAAGTGAGTATTGGTTTCAGTCATTCTGGGCTCAATTTTGGAGGCTGCAGAGAGAGCACAAGGCCTGGACAAGCCCAAGGTCAAGACAGGGGCCCCCAGTACCTAAGAAGTAGGTTCCTGCTTCAAGGGGACCAGAAGTAGACAAAGACAGGGACTGTCCTCAGAGGGGAGACTGGGCCTCCAGGGGCCCCGCGGGAACCTGAGCGGTGCCCTAGCCAGGCAGCCTGCATTGCGTCTCTCTCTCTTCCTCAACTCTGCCTGCTGCGGCAGCGATTCGGAGAGCCCGGTGGGTCTGCAGGCGGGCCGTCGGCAGCCTCCTCTCTCTTTATTTTTTAATTTTACAAAATGGGATTGTAATATTTTTAAATAAAAACCAACATTTCATTGCATTTAAATGACCTGAAGTGGGAGGTATTGACAGTGGGGGGGGGGGGCTTTACATGTTGGTGGAGCAGGGAGCATAGGGGAAAACCACTGTGAACCTAACACAGCTCTGAAAAAGTTCTTTTTAAAATATTGTCTAAGAAATATTTTGCCCTCAGAAATGTAAATTGCTACAGATAAGGTTGAAGTCTCTTCGATCTGATAACTGTCTTGACCCATTGTCAGTCTCTCACTCCCAGAAGTAAAGGCTGCTACAATTTGGTAAGTACTTACTACACCCTTTTAAAGTGATTTCTGTTGATAGCTGATAGAGCGGCAGGTAGGTAGGCCAGAGACAGAGTAGATATCTCTGTAGAAAACATTGTACATAGTGCTGTTCTATACCTTTTTTAAAAAAGATTTGTAGAGGGGAAGGAAAGGAGAGAGGGAAAGAAATATCAATGTATGGTTGCCTCCCATGCGTCCCCTGCTGGGAACTGGCCTGCAACCCAGGCATGTGCCCTGACTGGGAATCGAACTCCAATCCTTTGGTTCGCAAGCCCGCGCTCAATCCACTGAGCTACACCGGCCAGGGCTATGCCTTTTTATTGTATAGTTTTGTTGAGGCACCTCATACATAGTGTTCGGCAGCTGGCCTTTTTTTCTGTTCTGTAGGTCTTTTTTATTATTTTAATCACTATGTAATATTCCAGGGTAACAACATACCACATTTTATTCTGCCTTTTTCCTATTTTACTAATGCTTGCGTAGCCGGATGTTTAAAAGTTCTGTGTTTTGGAGAAATATTGGCTTAAACTTCAAAGCTGAGAACAGAAGGGGACAAGGACCCCAATTCCAAACAGAGCTGCTGGTCGTGCCCCTCGGGTTTGGTGAGTGTAGCTCTTGACGCCCTGGGACTCCCGGCACCTAACACCCACACCCGGCCTTGGTAGGGGGGCTCAGGATCCACCGGGAAACACACTGCAGAAGGGGTTTGCTCAACAAGCACTTGTTGGGTGTCCACTCCAGCGCTGAGGGGTGTGGTGCAGTGGTCAGTACGACAGGGACCTCTGTCCTCCTGGACTTCTCAGGGGGGCTGACAGGCGTTTGGGTTCTTCTTGGTTCCCCTTGATGCACAGGGGCAGGGTGTGAGCTCCTTGACACCCGAGTCCCTTGCCTGCCTGGTGGAGTTTGTCCAGGACTGTGGGTCCACAATGAGCTGGTGGAGGAGGGACTATTGGAGCTGGGCGGCCTCCGGAAGCTGCACTTCTAGGGGCTGCATGGAAGCTTAGAAACACAATGGGGCTTGCCCAGGTGTGGAGACCCTGGAAAGAAAGAGGCAGTGGATGCAGGGGTGGAGGGTGGGGGTGTCAGGGAAAGAGAAAGGGTCCAGAGAACCTTCCACATGACTCGTTAGCGCATCTGTAGAATGGGTATAGTTGTGCCTCTTCCTGTGGTTGTGAGGATTAAAATACTGTAAGAAACCCCCAGAGCAAGTGCCTGTGCCAGACACCCTGCTGATGTTGCTGTCTGTGGTGCCCTCTGCTGGGGAAGGTTTGAACTGCTCACTTTCTTTGCAGGCTATTGTGTCCTCACAGCAGGGGTCACTCACCTGCAGGGTCCTGACAAGGTAGAGCCTTCCCCAGCTGATACCTCCAATTCTGTCCTGGCTGCTGCTCCCCAACAGTCCACCCCTCCTGGGTTCCTTCATCCTCTAGAAGGCACAGTCTTCCGTCTTTAGACTTTATAGGCCCAGCTCAGACACCTGCCTGGCTTCCCTCAGGTTCCAAGGGATTCATGTCAACCTTTCCAAGTGGTCCTGCTGAGAGCCAGGTAGGGGCCAGGTGGGTAGACCGCTTTCCCTCTTTTCCCTGCAGAGTTTGGGAAAGAACAGCCCACCAGTTTGCTCTTGTTCTTTCTCCCTCTCTCTTCCCTTCCTCTACAATCTCAACTCAATAATTAATTCCTCTACTTTTTATTTTTTAGAGATTTTATTTATTTATTTTTAGAGAGAGGGTAAGGGAGGGAGAAAGAGAGGAAGAGAAACAGTGATGTGCGAGAGAATCATCAATCGGCTTGTTACCTCTCACACATCATCTACCTGCAACCCAAGCCTGTGACCTGATCAGGAATCGAACTGGTGACTCTTTGGTTCGCAGACCAGTGCTCAATCCACTGAGCCACACCAGCCAGGGCCTAATTCCTGTACATTTAAAAAATAATGAATGGTATAGTTTCTTAGCATACCCTCTTGGCAAAGGTTGGGAAGTGGAGGTTCTTGGCACATGCCTTTGAACCTCAGCTGAAACCCTGATGAACCTTCAAGGGTTCCCAGGGAAGTTCTGCATTTAGCATTTATCCATGGTAAAAGTATAAAACCATCCATGGGAATAATTAACTGTAAATTCTGGAGAGGGGTTACCTGTGGGGCGGGAGGCAGAGAGAGGAGATTGGAAGGGATTCTCAGGTCATGTTCGTTCTATCTGTAGCATCTGAGTCCTTGAGTGGAGTGGGAGGGGAATAAGTGTTTGCTGCATTATTATCTGTAGCTTTTTGGATGTATGGACAGCAGGACCAATAAAATGGCATTGGCCCAGTCAAGACAGGGTCAAGTGTGCAAACCAAAGTGGAGTCTGTCGTGTCAATCAAGATGGCTTCCAGTCAGCCATGGCACTTTGGTTCAAGAGGGAAACTACCTAAGTGAATGCAGACACATCTGGGAAGGAGACACACCTAAGGCATCTGCACATGTGATCAGAACAGCTGAGTCAGCAGAGTGGGACCGCCCAGAGATAGGCTCCTGGGGAAACTGCACTTGCTGTCACGGATGCCAAGAGACCCAGAAGGGTGGAGTCCACTACTTTAAGGGTATAACTGAGGCAGGCTCCGGGCCACTGCCGAGACACCAGAGGGCTGCTCCACGCCATGCTATCTCCCCTAGCACCGGCCACCAGAGGCTCTGCCCTGCTGGACTGAGGACTTCGCCTGCCCAGCTGCCCTTCCAGCTTTGGAGACCCTTCCTTATTACAAGACGCTGACGACTCCCTTGTCCCCTGTGCTGACTCCCAGACCTGCAGACAGAGTCTCTGGGACTGGGGTTCGTGAGCCCCCATTGATGGCTGTGTGTGTGTGTGTGTGTGTGTGTGTGTGTGTGTGTGTGTGTGTGATATTTCTCCTGGATTGTCAGTGTGGGTATGATATTAATGTGTGTTGATGTTCTACTTTGAGTGAACCTGCCTTCAATAAAAGCTGACTGAATGGCATAGTTACCGTGTGTGACTCTGGTCTATTCCTCAGTGCCCAGCTGCTCAGCAGAAAGCTAGCCGAGCAGTTGCCAACTGATGAATAGGAAAGACTGTATTGTGAACATACACTCAAGACAGGATGCCTGAAAACATTTCCTATTATAAACGGGGCAGATTTTAAGAGCACCTGTAAGGTAAGAGGGAGGAGAACAGGTGTAGACATCTCCTTCAGCAATGTGCTGGATGGCAGCAGAGAAATTTAGTGGCAGTTGGTGAGAGTTTGGGGGTCAGAAAGTGATTAGAAAGTTGATCTCAATAATCTGTAATAACAAGGGTTTTCCCTTGATGGAAAAAGAGGAGACAAATGTCTGTGGTTTCGGTGTCTTAGAAAAACAAAATCTGTGTCATCTGCTGCTGTTTACCTTGGGCCCTGCTTCCTGCTGGTGGAGCTGCTTTGAGCACCCGAGCCAGACCCCCCAGGAACACTGCCAAGCCCAGTTCTCGTTCTCAGGAGTTCAGGACAGAGGGTGGAGAGTTACAAGGTCAAAGTCTTTGAGCAGGAGGACAGTGTGAAATCATGGGAGTGGGGCTAGTTCCCGCACAGAGGTGGACGGAAGGCAGTCTATGGAAGCAGATGCTGGGTGTCTGTGGGGCTGACGTGGCACAGAGAAATCTTTTCTGATTGTATCTAAATAACCTCTTGATAAAATAAGAAATGATCACCTGAGTGTGAGCTGGGAAGAGATGGTGGTAGAAGCTTTAAAAGTTGAACTTACTCTTGACACTTTGGGGAATTGCTGGGTAAAAGCCATACCCATGTGCTGGTCATTTGCCCTCCCGTCCAGAAGCGACTGAAGCCTCGGCCCCCATGTGAACTCCCCCGCAGAATCAGGATGGACTCTCCACCCCCAAATGTAGGTGCTGAGACTGATGATCACACACACACACACATACGTTTACCGTGTCAATTAGCAATATCTCTGGTGTTGAATGTAGCTGGTGGGAGGTGTGTGGATTCCTGAGCAAGGCTACAGATCTCCATCTGAGTGTAGCGGAAACGAATGAAAAGAACAGGTTGCACTACTCATGCTGAGTATTTAAATTAAGTTACAGGGATTTCTTTTCTGTCTGCTCTCAGCGTGGCAGTGGTGGTGAACCTGACCTTGTCATCTGTCTGCATCAGGCCTGCACTAGCTTCCCGTCTCGCTCAGAGTGCAGGGTCCAGTCCTGGAGTGGCCTGTGAGGCCAGGCACAGCCTGGCTCCCTGTTAACCTCTGACATCACTTCCTGCCCCCTCCCTCTTCCTCTCACGCCATCTTGTTCCTTCTTGCACCTGGACCTACGTTCCTTCTCTGCCTCCGTTTGCTTGCGTCTTCAAACCACACACTGTATACCAGCTTATCTTATCTAATGTCCTCTTACAGTGTGTAAAGTCCATGAGGGCACGTATTTTGGTCTAGTTTTGTTAGAGAAAATTGGCAGTTATTTTAAAACATAGCACAGCACCCAGGGAATGACTTGTTTATGGCTTGTTTTTTTCTTTTGCTTCTTGCTTGTCCCAGCGCACCAGAGATAAGGATTGCCCCTGTGTGCTGGAGATAACATTCCGCTTCTTGCTTCTGTAAGCGGCTTCTTGCTTTCGCACCAGAAGTAATGGTCTAAGTGACAGACCACCCCTCACCCTATATAAGCAATTGCTCCCTGATGATCGGGGCCCAGAATTTGGAGACTGCCTCCTATGGGTCTGCACCCGTAAATAAAGGATCCACTTCGCTTCTTCCAGTGTTCTGCCTGAGTTCTTCCCATAATAGTTTGGTCCTTGATCTAAGGCAGTGCCTAGATCCCTGTCTAGCATGGCGGGCCTTTAGTACAGATTTTTGGGATAACTGAACACTGTCCACTGGACATAGGGGTGTCCAACCCTCGGCCCAACATGAAATCGTAAATTCACTTAAACCTTTTTTTTTTTGACTCATCAGTTTTTATTAGTGTTTGTGTATTTAACGTGTGACCCAAGGCAGCTCTTCTTCCAGGGGGGCCCAGAGATGCAGAAAGGTTGGACATCCCTGGACTAAGGCTGTTCTGAAAACCACCTGCTTGTCTCCATGAGAAGTTAATGTTTATCCCTTTACAATATAACTTGGATCAGATTTCACATGATCTTTATCATGCAGAGAGAGGACACTCCACCCCCATTTAAACAACAAAGTGTCTCCCATTAACCGACAGTGGTGGCCTGGGTACAGTGACCAGGTTCCATCCCTATAACTAGAATTTTCCGTCAACCGGGAAAGGAGGACCATATGGCTGTAGTTTCAGTTTCGTGTGAAACAAATGTAGTTTCGGTTTCCTATGAAATGAAACCTATCATCACATTTGCGGCTTGTATCCCTAGGGGGCGGAGCTGCTCCAGAGCCACACCTCCAGGGTGCTGTCCAGACTCAAGCCTGGCGCTCAGTTCCACATTCCAGAAAATCCTTCCCTCTGGGTAAGACACCGGGGTGGAGGTGGGGGGCTGGCAGGGGCTGCTCTTTCCTGGCCTCCAGCTTGGGGTGGTGGTGGGCTCAAGGCATGGAGGGGGACCCCTGTGGATCCCCTCACAGAACGATGCTGTTTCTCATCAGGATGTCAGCTGTCAGAGAAAGTGGGTCTCTGGAGGGAAGTCCCTCCAGACGCCACTGGCCCCTGGGCTCTGGGACTCTGGGGACAAAGAGCCTGGTCTATTCCTGGTTTGGGGGTGAGATAGGCAGGGGGAAGAGACCATTGAGGTTTTGGGGAACTGGATCGGAGCCATTCCAAGCCCGGGCTTTGGAAGCAGCTGGCCCTTGGGTGAATCACTCACTCTCTCTGTCCAGACCCTGTTCTCTCATTTGTGAAAGGAAGAGAGTACGCTCTTCTTCATCGCTGTGTTAGTGAGGAGCTTGCATCAGGGCAGGGACCCAGAGTAACCTGGAAAAGGGAATCGGTACTTACTCGGGGACATTCTAAGTTGCAGTGCGGAGATTTAGGGAGTTCCAGGAGTGTCTAAGGAGTTGACGCTGGCGTTTTTAGGAGGAAGGAAGCAGCCCTCCTTGGGAAATAAAATCCACCTCCCACAATGAGGTCTTTTCATAACCCCAGTTCCCACACCTGGACCCTTTCCAGACCTGCTGCCCCACAAGCTCTGAGAGAAGCTTCTCTATGCTCCACCAGGACGCCTTTGGGGATGGCCAGGGGTGGGGGAGGGGCAGGGGAACAGGTGCAGCTTCCCCACCCCGGTCAGAGCTCCACCCTTTATGCAGGTTTGCCTCCGCTGGGTGTTCATTGTTCTGTGCGCTATGGAAGCCATCCTAGCCTCCTCCCTTGCCAAGGTAATGTCCGCAGCGAGCCTGGCCAAAGCCGGTGGAGCAGTCTCGGGCAGTGTCCTGGCTGGACTCAAGTCAGTGGGTGAGTGCTCCTGGGAGGGCTGGTGGGGGTTTGAGGAGGCGGCTGGAGACAGGGGGCACAGGGAAGGCCCTGCTCAGTGACCTGCAGGGACAGAGAGGGTGGCTTCCTCACCTGCGGCCTCTCTCCCCTGCCCTGGGCATCTGTCCTGGCTCTTTCTAAGAGGAGAGCCAGAGGGAGGCAGGACCCAGCGGGGTGGGAGCTCAGGAGGTCTACTCCCTACCCTACCCTCCAGACTGCAGGGACCTTGCCTGGCCCCTGCTCCCTGGCCCTCCTTGCCCCTGGATTCACTACCAGAGAGAGTTCACTGCTTTTAGCGTTTTGCCTATGTGCCCAGATTGGCCCTTGGCAGCGGTTTATAATGTTGGACTCGGATCCAGAGCCTTGATTGTAACAAACTCTTCAGTTTGGTCCTGTTTTCTCTGTTAGTTCATGGGAGCACCCTCCTGGGTGTCGTTTCTTTAATTTGCTGTTTATCTTCTCTTTTGTCCCCACCTCCACCCCCAAAGTCAGCCTTTCTAATAGGTTAATGTGTATCTGTTTTTCATACATATTCTTGCAAAATGGGTATCTTCTGTTTGCATGTCTTTGTTTACTTACAGAATAGTGTGTTATCTATCTCATTCTGTTGCTTTTCTTTGCACGAAAAACTAAGATTTTGACATCTGTCCATGTGCTGGGTGAGCCTCCGACCCTCCCTCCCATTGCTGCAAAGTGATCGAATGTGGACTCACCACCAGTGACTTCTTTCTCTCCTCTGGGTGGACACCCAGGGGTCCTCCTCCCCCACCAGCACAAACAGCATCGTATGGAATGGGGGGAGGGAACAGGGCTCTGGCCACAGCCTGATGTCAGGCCCCAGTGCACCCACTCTGTGACCCTCTTGGCCCAGGGCTCGTCCTGCCATCCAGTGCTGCCCTGGGCTCGGCTGCTTCGTCCGGTGCTGTCCTGGGCTCTGCTGCTTTGGCCGGTGCTGTCCTGGACTCGGCTGCTTCGGCCGGTGCTGTCCTGGACTCGGCTGCTTCGGCCAGTGCTGTCCTGGACTCGGCTGCTTCGGCCGGTGCTGTCCTGGACTCGGCTGCTTCGGCCGGTGCTGTCCTGGACTCGGCTGCTTCGGCCGGTGCTGTCCTGGACTCGGCTGCTTCGGCCGTGGAATCCTTGTTGGAGACACTGCATGTCTCCTCCCTACTGCAATCCCCTGCCGAGGCCCTGACTGCTTACCCACTTGGAGGTAACTGGCCTTGGGTAGCAGACACCCTCCGTGGGCCCCCACTGAGTGCACAGAAGTGTGACTGGAAAGTTAGGGCCTGGGCCAGATCCAACAGTCCCTCCTGTTTGTCAGAAACACAGATCCCTCCTTAGCAGATGATAGATAAGAAAACATCTAGATTTTTCTCAAAATGCTGTGAAGTCCTGATCAGTAGGCTTAGCAGTGGACATTTATCAGTTGGTTTAGTTCTCATAACAACTCCAGAGGAGGATAATGTCCCTTATTTACACTTGCAGACACGGTTGTGCAGGGGCCTTGGCCGGGAAGGGAGGGTCAGGCAGCTGGGAACTGCAGTAGCAAGGAAATGTGGCCAGGCCTTGAGAGGAGGGCCTCCGGGCACAGCAGGTTTGGAACAGCCCAGAGGAGCAGGCCCCCCTCCCCATCCCTGGGTGACCTCGGGGGCCGGCCAGCAGGCAGGTTGTCAAATCTGGCCTGCTGACGTCAGAACCTCTGAACGCCAAGCCGCCAGCCAGCCTGGCATTGCTCGCTTGTCAAGCGATAATGTGAAGCAGCAAGTACATTCTGAGCAGACTTTTGATTCTGGAGTCTCTGGTTCATAGCCCACCCAGGGGGCCCCTCTGACCATTCAGTTTTGGTTTATGTACCCCTCTCTTGTTATTTCTTTGTTACCTCAAGGCTGTCTCCCTGGGGGGCTGGCTGAGCTCACTGCTGCACATCTTGCTAGAACTCCCGGCCCCCCACAAGCCCCAAAGATTGCAGCCTTGGCCACTAGATGGCAGCAGACCAAGACCTCTGCCTGCTCCCCAGGGACCATAGTGTTAGGGAGTCAGGCCCATGCACAGCTCAGTATGATTCAGTGTTTTGTTTTGTTTTGTTTTTAAACATTTAAAAAATATTTTATTTATTTATTTTTAGAGAGAGGAGACAGGAAAGAGAAAGAGTGGGAGAGAAACATCAATGTGTGGTTGCCACTCATGTGTCCCCTACTGGGGACCTGGCCTGCAACCCAGGCATGTGCCCTGACTGGGAATCAAACCAGTAACCCTTTGCTTCACAGGCCCGTGCTCAGTCCACCGAGCTACATACACCAGCCAGAGCTGTATGATTCAGTGTTTTGAGTGGCTCCAGCCACAGGGCAGCAAGGATGAATTCTGATTGGGAGGATCTGGGAAGCTTCCTGGAGGAGCGGGCAACAAGTCAGGTCCTGAAGAATCAGCAGCATTCATTTGACTCATTCAGGCGTGACTGTCAAGTAGATTCAAGCATTGGACAGTGCTTGCCTGACTTTAGCCCAACAGAACATATGAAGCACATTCTCTATGGAGAGGGACTGCTGTCTTAAGGAGCTTTTATAATTCCCCACTAAGCAAACAGTGACCCAATTTTAGATGAACTGACATGCTGGCCCGGCAAGCATGACCCCCGTCCCCTTCGTCTCACCTGGCCCCTTTCAAAGGACCACGCCCTAAATTACTTGGCGAAGAAGTCCCCCTTGTCCGGGAAGGAATGAGGCAGCGGTTCGCTTGGGTTTCGTTTGCTTTCATTCCGTGTTTGGTTTTAACCAACCAAACATGGCTTGGGAGGTAGAGAGCAAGAAAAGGATAACTTCTGGTCTTCCCACAAGCCCCCAACCAATCAGCAGACAGATCAAGCCAGACCAAAATTGTAACTGATGACTGTTTTTGGGCACAAGGACCTCAGACCCCGTCAACAGGTAACTTCAGGCCAGGGGCGCACACTTGTTGAGGACCAGCCTTTTGCCCTGGCAGTCAGACTCCCCAGCAATGCCCACCAAGCCCAGGGCAGTGAAGCCCCCTTTCTTGGAAATCCCAGGTCTCAGTGAAGCAGGGGGAGTGTGGGGTCAGCCTCCTCCCTGTAGGTGGGTCATGAACTTGGGGAGTGAAAGGGAGGCCAGCGTGGCTCCACTCACACAACATTCTTTTGGTTTCCAGCCAAGACTGCTGCAGCAGTGATTGGAGGAGGTAAGCCTCTTTAGGGAAGGGACTCGAGTCGCTGTCACTGGGATTTGGGGAGTAACTGGCCTTGTGTGTGGCCACATTTGCCCCAGGCCTCACGTAGATGGTAGGGAAGGAGATGGAAGGATGGAGATGAGCAAGGAGCAAGGGACTGGAAATGAGAAATGGGTTTTGAAACAAGGAGGGTGATAGCAACTCTGGTGTGGAAGCAGCCGCGGCAGGAGACCCATTTCCTCTTCGCAGAGCACTGGCTGTGTGACCTTGGACATGTCTTTGAATTCCTCTGAGCTCCCATTTTCTCCTCTGACATATGGGCCAATATTGCCCACCAAGGATTATCTTGAGGCCAGTACAGAATCAGGACAGGCAGGGCATTAAAGAGAGGCCACATCAGCTCAGTGACCTGTCCAGTGCCTTCCTATAGCCCTGTGGTGATGCCATGGAGCCCCTGAGTTGGGATTCACTGGGATTCACGCAGAGCTCGGGGTGTGCTCCTTGCTCACGCTAGGCCCCTTGGAGGGTGAGATCGATTGTATCACAGATTTCCTCAGCAAAGATGAGGAGCTTGTGAGCCATGCCCTGCCTGCGGCATCTTCCTAGTGTAGAAACTGAGACCCAGAGGGCAAATGGCTTTGCCAGGGAAGGTCCTGCTGCAGACCAAAGCTGGGCCCAGAGCCCTGTCCCCAGTGACCGCACAGCCTCGCCTGCTGGCCAGGCCCATAGTCTCTCCCAAGTTCCGAGTACACCCTCTTCTCCACCCTCTTGAGGTCCTCCAAGCTTGAGCAACAGTGTGGAGCGTGGGGGAGGGGAATCTGTTCCTTTGAGTGTTGCCTTGACCTGGCTCCTCTCCCTGGACAGCCGTGGCTGTGGGCGCTGTGCCGGTGGTGCTGGGCACTGTAGGCTTCACGGGGGCAGGAATCACAGCCTCATCTTTGGCAGCCAAGATGATGTCAGCAGCTGCCATCGCCAATGGAGGTGGGGTTGCCGCCGGTAGCCTCGTGGCTACTTTGCAGTCTGTGGGTGAGTGTCCTTGGGGGAACAAGAAGAGCAGAAGCCTCAGAGGGGCCAGCCCAGACCCTCGCCCCAGTGATCTTTCATCTGTCTGTGCCTCAGTCCTGCCCTCCATGCCCTGTCTCTGGGTTTCTCTGCGGGAGATGTAGGAGGCAGGGGAGGAGCCCCAGCCTGGGGTATGTGTGGGTTCAGGTGGACTCCGCCCAAAGTGGGTTGCTGGGTTACTTGGAGCATCTCCACCTACCTGGGGCTCAACCTCTTTCCCTAGGGAATGAGACAGCTTCCAGCTCATGGTTTAACCCCTGGAATTCATGCCACTGGGTAGTTGCCTGTAGCAACCCTCCCAAAACAGAGATCCAAGGGTTTGGGGAAACCAAGGCGGGTAATGGGTAGGGTTTCTGGGCTTCGGGCCCCCTTAAAAGGTGCTGGAATCTGCAACCCCATTGTCCTGTCCCACAGAGCTGTCCCTGCCTGCTGGTCCCTCTCCGCTCACCCTCTGCTTTTTCCCAGGAGCAGCTGGACTGTCCTTGTCATCCAAAGTCATCCTGGGCTCTGCTGGGTCAGCCCTGGGGTCCCTCATGGTATAGGTCCTCATCGCGCCCAGTGCAGAGAAGAGGACCAGGTAGGGCCCTGCCCACCAGCCTTATGCAGTGGGGACCAGACCCAGGGTGACAATGTGCCTCATGCTGTACCCCCAGAGGAAAATAAGGAATAAAAATGAGTTGCTGTGACTTCTCTTTCCTAACCGAGTGGTCACAGCCACACAGTGTCGAGGTGCAGTGAACGGAAAGGAACGTGAACGAGAAGACCGGAAGTCGCCCCTGCCCAGCTTCTGACTCCGAATATGACCCTGGGCCTGTGTTTGCTCCTCTCTAAGTGGGGAGTTGATCTGCGTGACCTCAAAGATCCCAGCCGGGGTGGGTGTTGGCTCAGTTCCTGTGCAGAGTCAGGAGAAGGGGGACAGGAGGGCGTCCGGTTTGGAGCCGCTCACCAGACAGCCTGAGTGGTAGCCTGGGGCCCTGCTACCTGCCAGTGTGCACAAACAAAGCACAAAGACTCGCGGGGGAGGAAAGAAGCTTTTATTAACAGGGCACCCAATCGGAGGGGGCTGCGAGTATCCCTGCTCCAAGGCAACCTCCACAAAGCCCAGAAATTCCATTGTTTTCAGAAAGACCAATCCAAACCCATGCCCAGAAGTTCCCTGTTATTACTTACCTGTCCTTTTGGAGCCCAGGACAACCACACAGATGGGTCTCCATCCTCAGTCCATCTCTCTGTGGTCTGCACTTGTGAGTTCCAGAGTCGCCATGGCCTAGCAGCAGCTTCCTCCCTTTCCTAGGGCTGGGACACGCTGCCAGACCACTGCAGCTGGTCGTGCTAGGGGCTCCATCTGTGGGGCCTGCCCGTGCATTTGTGTGCTGCTCTCAAAGCGAGAATGGGAGTGGTCCAAGACCTGTGTGCCGTGCGGCCATGTGTCTCAGGGTTGCAGCATCCTGTGGGCTGCTGCTGGGGAGTCATGCTCCCGACCCTGCAAGCAGGGCAAGGCAAGAGCCCCGGGAGGAGCCGGGTGCCCTCTGGGTCCTGCAAATGCAGCAGTTTTCTCCAATCAGGCAGAGTGAGGGGAACGCAGAAAGGGCCAAGTCTCTGCACACCCTCTGTTTTAAATCTTTTGCCCCCAAATCCCACACGAGGTGGAAGTGTCCAAATTCCCAGCCAGTCTTGGCTGGTGTCTACCACACACAGTGTCTCTCTGCCTGGGGCAGAGCGTCGCCATGTTCACCCTCACGATACACGTGTACTGTGACCTTCTCAGGCCACGTGGGCTCTGCGCAAACTGTGTCACAAGCCACGTTAGTCGTTTAGCCGTCTCTGGGTTATGGAAGCCTGCCTGCCACGCAGTTTGGGTTGCAATTCGATCACCACCTTGGTGTTTTCTCTTTTCTGGCCCTTCTCTGGGAAGTGCAGCCTCATGCTCCAGATCGGGGATCCCCTGCTCCCCAGAAATCTGGTCAGACCCCTGCCCCTGGGGGGGGGCCCTGCCCCTGCCCCCTTACAATCACAGAAGAGGAAGTCAGAGTTTGAAGCAAGAGGAGGATTTGAAGATTCTTACCACAGCCTCCAAATGAGAGCCTAGTCTGGATGAAAAACCTTGATTTTGACCCTAAACAGAGAACTCAGTCAAGCCCACTTGAACTTCTGACCGACAGCTATAAAGCAATCAACCAATGGGTATTATTTTAAGCCCCTAAACTTTTTTAAAGATGTCATTTTATTTATTTTTGGACAAAGGGAAAGGGAGGGAGAAAGAAAGGGAGAGAAACGTCAATGTGTGGTTGCCTCTCCTGCGCCACCAACTGGGGACCCGGACCACAACCCAGGCATGTGCCTAAATGGGAATCGAACCAGTGACCCTTTGGTTGGCAGGCTGGTACTCAAGCCACTGAGCCACACCAGCCAGGGCTAAGCTCCTAAATGTTTAATAATTTGTTAGACAGAATAGGAAACAGCCTTGATACCCCCTCTCTCTTTATCAGGCTGAAGGTCGTTCACTTGGGAGCTGGCTGAACGTACCAGGATTATGGAAATTCCTGGCTCCCACCGACCCCTGGGACTCGGTGTCCCCACCCACCTACAGGAGCCCCCAGTGTCAGGGAATCCAGGTCCCTTTGCCACTAACCAGTCCTGGGTATCCGCCCTCCGAGAGGGGCCCACGGTGGGAGCCACGGAGCTGGCTCGTGGTTGGGGAAAACAGCGGGCACAGAAAGGGGCCCTGAGACAGGTGGACATGCAGCGGCTCCCACAGCTCCTGGACTGGGGCGGGCGGGGAGGGACAGAAGGGCTTCTGTTCCCCCGGAGCCCCGCCCCCATCTGCCTGGGTCCCACGGTGACTTCTGGGGCCCCTAGATGGTGGCTTTTAGAGTGACTCTAAAAGACGGAAACAAGAGGATAAAAATGACACTAAAGGGTTATTTACTGCTGCCCGTGGCTCCTCACAGAAAATCCGCACACCATTCCGAGAAAGGGGGCGCTGCCTGTTTGATAGATGTTAAAAAAAACCTGTAAGAAGCAACCCTAAGCCCCCAACTCCCACCACCCCTGAAGATGGCCATTCTTCGGCAGGCGGGGAACGGTCCGCAACACGAGTTCTTCCCAGGTTTGGAGCCTTGAACTGGCCTGTACCTCCCGGCTCCCTCCCAGCTGCCTCCTGGAGCGACCACTCCCGTTCAGGGAGACAAGAGTATTTTCCTCGTGAATCAAACAGCGTCCAGCTTAGGACAACCAGGGTGTGGGGTGGGCGGAGTGGGTCATGGGGGTTGACCACCTGAGGGCCAGCCCCAGCCAGTGGGGTGCTCTCAGCACCTTGGGGAACAGGGGCCATGGCCACTGAGAAGGAACATTGTTCACACTGGAATTGTGCAGTCCTTTCCCTGACAAATTGCAAAGACTCAAGGACAGTTCTCTGGTGTGAGTGATTTACCCCATGGCCTTTGGCACGTGGCATTCGTCCAGAGTCGCCTGGCTTGGGGGCCAGACCCTAAGTTGGGCTGTGTTCTCTGCCGGGATTCCGACAGCCCTGGGGTCTGGGCCCGAGGCAGGCCGTCCCTGTCTGAGCCTCCTCCTGCCAGAAGGGGGAGGGCGAGGCCCGAACCGCCGATGTCAGGCACAATCGGATAGAGTGCTGTGGCGAGAGCGGTTCTGGGCTGTGCCCCCCAAAACAAGGACCTGAGTGCAGCAGTTTATTGGGAGGTGACTCCAGGGAGCACGAATGAGGGAATAGGGGATGAGACAGACAGACAGCCAGCCAGCCAAGAAAAAGCCCATAAATGAGTGAGTTTGCACTGTGGGCAACTGAGGCTCAACCCTCCTGACCTCTCGGAGACACTGTGGAACTGGCCTTGGAGCTGTGTCCCACCCAAGGATGGTTATCTCCTGCCTAAAACCCATCACTGGCTCAGGGCCACCCCGCAGGGACCAACACCGGACACTCCAGCCAGCCTTGTGGGCCTCGTAGGCTGAGCTCTGGGACAGAGTCACAGGTGGGGGCGGTGGGGGCAGCAGGCAGGAACTGGAAGTGTCAGGGGTACATGGGGGGAGAGCTCCACCAGTGTCTGCGGCACAAGGCAGGGACAGAGGAGAGCAGTATTTATGGCGGAAGTAGGCATGCCTTGCCCGCTGGCCCTGTGCGTGGCAGGCCCGGCCAGTCTCATCAGGGTCGATCGGGCTGGGTTTGGGTGTTGGTGTCGCTGTGGTCACTGCCCCCACACTGCCTGCTTCAGATCAGTGTGCCTCCTGCTTCCTGCTTCTTCTCCAGCCTGAGCTTTAGGCTTCCGTTTTCTGTGTGCATCTTGGACCGGGCCTCTCCGCACACGTGCAGGGCCCTGGGGTTCTCAGTGGGCCAGTCAGTCTGGGCAGGGGCAGTGGGCCTGGGCCGGGGTGGAGGGTACGGGGGCACTTTCTCCGTAGCCCTGCAGCTCTCTCGGTGGTGGGCGGGTTCTGTCTGGTCCAAGAAGGTTCTGCACCCCAACTTCAGGGGTGATTTTTTTCCTTGTTTTCTTTCCCATCTGCCATGATCTTCACCTGTGCTTTGTGGGGTGTGGGGTGGGTTTCAGGGTTTACTGCCCTTCCCTCAGCAGTGAAAGGCTTATTCCCTGGGAGAAGGAAAGTGGGGGCCTCAGGCCTTGCCTCAGTGTGGGAAGGTTTCCCTGGGTTTCTGCCTGCCCTTAATCCTTCTTGGGAGCACCCAGCAGGTCCTCCGAGAAGAACCTGAAGGTTGGTCTGTAGCTCCTGAGGGACGCATAGCCTCACACTAGCTCATACGTGGCCTTGAGCAGTCAGTTAAGACCGTCAGCTGAATCCTCACCTGCTTGCACTGGGGCGCCCCCTTTTTCCTGTGTTCGGCCCCAGGCGGCTCAGTGCTCTCCTGCAGGCACCTGACTTCCTGAGAGTTCAGGCCATTGGGGGCCCTGCCATGTCTGCTCTCTCAGGGGTTCGAGAACAGTTATGAGTGTGTTGTGGACTTTTCCTGTTGCAGCTTTCTACACTCTGGACAGTCCTGTTCTCCAAGAGGCCATGGAGCGGGCTACAAAATGCAGCGGGTGCACCGGAGCCTTCTCAAAACCATCTCCTGGGTGTAAGAAGTCTTGGAACTATTCTTATTTATTTTACATCTCATCCTTAAAAAAAAACCCACAACAGAATGACACCTCTCTAGCAGGAAAAAAGACCTCATCCTGGAGACGAATAGAGACTCAGAGCCACCCAAAGGCCCTTGTCGCCAGGGTAGGAGCTGGTGAGGGTCAGTTCCTGTTTGATTTCCCAGGCATGGTGTGATGGTGAGTGATTGGGTCCCCTCCCCGTGAAGTGCCGGAGCCCGTGCAGCATCTGGCGAACCGCACTGTCCTGGCGGTGTGCCCGCCAGCTCCCCCACAGGAGTTTTGAGGTCTCACAGGGGAGGCCAGTGTCTCTCATCTCTGGACGTCTAATGCCCATTCAGGAGGAAGGGCCAAGGGCTCCCAGGCCGGTGGCTCAGTGTGCATCCTGGCTACCCCTCAGCCCAGCTTCCCAACAGAAAGCTTATCAACCCCACCATTGAATGAAGGGTACACTGAGGCCCACAGAAGGGCTGTGAATGGCCCTGGCTATATAGCCCATCCCTTGTGAGACTAGGACCAGCCAAAGCCTCCTGCTGACCGATTCTGCGCCTGATCAGCCTGCCAACCCCGCAGCCCCT